CCCCCCCCAAAACCGATATATATTTACCGTGCCTTGACAAGCACTCTCTTCATCAAACGACGATCCCAAAACCCATGCAAGTTTCCGCCACAGGCCCTCCAATAACATACAAAAGCGTTGAATCGTACAGGTTAAGGAACCACGGAACTGGCAATCTATGCTTCTGGTTTTCGAGCCCGGATTTCGATCGCCAGTAAGGGATGCGGCATCTCTAATACATGATACGAGAAAGTTGGACGGATGGCCTGTTTGGCGACCCTGAAATCATAACTTTCAAGGAAGTGAATGGCCATCATCTTCATGTTCAGTGATACAAAGTATCGAGCCGGGCTATTGACGAGTCCTTGTCAGCCATCAATTTGTGGTAGCCTCGACTGGACCTGTACTCACCAACCCGTTTTTGGGTTGCCCCAGAAAGGAAACTCCCGGCTCATATCCCAAAACCTCGAAGTAGAGCGATTACCTTCCGTGTCCACAAACCTAAACCCTTGAAAGGTCTCTGGATTCGAGTAGGCATTGGGAAGGGTCATCAGGGGTGTATGTGGGACACATATCCAATTGTGTTTTGGAACATAAGTGCCGTCCGCAAATGTGAATGGCGACATGACTTTTCTAGGCAACGCAACTGAAAGTCTGTCAGTAGTAACCCGCCTAAAGTAGTTATTTTTTGTCCTTACTGTTGGTCAACGGGTTTAGTCGCCCAACCTCCCTAAGGAAGCTATCAAGATACGGAGTTCCATTGTTCAACTTGTCGAACTCGTTGTCTCTGATCGTATGAATTTCTGCCCGCAGTGTTTCAATATATTCCGAATGCAGACACAAGTTGTAAAGCACAAATGCTGCAAACTACCATGGTGTCAGATACTTGTTCTGCTGGTGGGAGTGCTGGGTTACCATCGGTTGTTGATGCGCCCCGCCAAGCGTGAGAGAAAGTAATTGCCTTGCAATATATTCTGTAGACTTGTCACGCGACGATTCAATCACCCATTGCATGCAATCCTTCTGCAAAAATTTAGCTCACACCACAGATAGCGTGGTAGACGAAACCTACATACAGTCCTTGCTCCTCTGAGCTCTCACTTCTTCTTTTTGATATTTCAGACATGAGCAGACTTTTTGCCTTGCTTCGGCCACCGCTCCAGTTCATTGTCATGAAGCTTATGGGGCGGTACAAAATTTTTGGTATATGATTAAAAAATGCCAATGTAATTGTAGCGTCAGTCACGAATTGAATCGATGATTCAAAAAAGGTGGGATTGCTTGCTACGCCTTGTTAAGAATCTTTCTCATCATGCTTTAGGAGTTGACCATACCAAGGTTTTCGCCAACAAGTAGCAAGTTGTTCATTCGGGCTGTTATTCGATTTGCAACATAGCACAGCGGAACCCGCGACCATCCTTTTGGAGTGTCAGTAACATTGCAACTGAGTGACATAACTTAAATCAACTTACCGTCACCGAGTGGCTTGCCTTTCATTTCTTTTCTAAAAGCGTCTTCTACAGTCCAACGCATTGGCAAATACATGCTAGAGAGGTGTTTGCGGATCTTGTGCTTTAGCAAATTCGGAGCGATGAATCCTGCAGGGTCTTCCTTTTTTGCGTTAAGTGTGAACTCGGGGTTTAACGTCTACATTGGTTAGGCTTTCAAGTTCTGAATTCGAACCTTGAAGTTGTCAAGGATCGGAATGGAAAATGCTTACGTCGACCATGATCCCTTGGCTTGAGAGTTTACTGTGTTTCCGCGTTGACTCTACGGCCAGCTCTTCGATCTGCTCAGGGGTTGAAACGAGCAGGAGAAAGCGGTCACGGTGCGGGGTTGCAAACGGCTTGCCTTCAGCCATAGCATATCCTTTTGCCACCAAGCCATGCGTATCAAAGAGACTCTGGAGCCCAGTGGCGATATTTCCAAATAGGTTGGAATTGCCGATTATCAAGACATTTTTCTATGAATATTCTAGTACGAGGTACCGCACTAGGCATGTGATAGTACTTGCCGGCTTTCGGAAGTGATATGTCCGGATGATTTGCTGGGCTTCCCAAGCCAAGTAGAGAATGAATATATACATGAGAATGTTCGTGATCCATTCGTCATATATTTGATCCACCGGTGGTGTGTTGGGGCTTGTTGACACTTCTTTCGAGGTGGTATTATTAGAGAGGAATGTGTGAGCTTCATTGAAAAATCCCGCTGTGCTGTTTGAAGCCAACATCTTCAAGAGAAGATTAAACGCAACAAAGATGGGAGACTCAAACACAGTTCACAATCCGCTTTACTTTATATTCAAGCTTGGACCGGAGGGCTTGAAGGGCATAATAAGTTGGTAGGTAATATATATACCTCACCATTGCTGATTCCTAGTTTGGAAAGGTTTTAAGGCTTACATAGTTGTCAAGGTGGGTAGATTCCCGGGGCTGGCCGTTTCTGCCTCCCCTCCGCTAATACCGTCTATAGATCTTCGGCGGTAGTCCATACGTTGTGGTGCCATTACATTGAATATAGCCCCCATCTTGCATATTGCCATTCCTTCTGCGAATGCCAGCTGATCTCGAATCTTCTTCGTCGTGTTGGCTATAATGTTCTTCATCCTATCCCTTGTTAGTTAGAACGGAGGATATACCCAAGTCCGATTCGTAAGATAAGAATAGGGATCAGCATGCTTTACAAGTCTATGGCTGCCACACCCGCTCCTCTATTTATTAAACGGATATCAAGCCCCGCGGTTAAAATCATGAACTACTCCTCGAGCCGAGTGGCAGACTAGGGTGTCTCACCCACTGGTTAGACTACGAGAAGCCAACCAACATAGGGTCATGGACCGCGTACAATAACTCTACAACGCCGTGTAGGCACAGCGGTAGGATCGGAAGGCCGCAATTTGCCTCCACATGGTCTGCACGTCGTTTCAGAATTCTATGATTGTGAGGCTTCACACGGACATGCATCCAACAAGTGATTGCAGCATGCATGCAATATGCCCTTGCTTGATCGACAAATTCTGGCCTTAAGCTAGGCTTCCACCAAACCGGCAGTGTGTTTGTTATCGATTGCCAGTGTAGGGCGGGGTCACTATGCTGCTCGGCCACGCCAAACAATCTCGAGGCACTTTCCATTATTCCCAGCAATCCCCAAGTATTGGGTGAAACGGGCTAGGACAGTGACGAAGGATTCTTTCATTCCTTCGAAATTAACAAGATTGAAATGGAAATAATCCTCATAGTGAGGAAAGTGGTGGTATCCGTAACTATTTCTATTTTCAACCTCCTCAGCTGTGGTATTACAGCTAACCTCAATTCTACGACCTAAACCTGCAAAGTGTTGGATTATGTCACAAATACAGATGGAAGCCCTTTTTGTCACAATTTTCCCGAGGTCTCATTACTTTATCTTGGTTCCAAACTTGCGTAAAATGAGAAATTTTCTGATGCCAAAAATGTTCCTTTTTAACAGATCCAAATTTTGACTTTTTATGTTACAGAAACAGATTGAATTGAACTTGAAGCCCTATGCATGATACTTTGCAACATGTGAAAGCTGACTCTCCTGACGATCCAAAATTTGTTCGCTGGAAGCTGTCCTGTAACCTTCTGGTCTAATTTTGCCTGAATGATGAGTATCTCCATTAGATATATCCTTCAAGGCAATACTTCCATCCTTGGTACGGTTTATAAGTCGTCTCCAAGGGTTGCTCATGAAGGAAGAGTTGCCGGTTCTGGTGTACGACCCTGTAGGGCGAGTTCGGACCGCAGCTGAGCCGAACAGGGCGCGGAAGGAGATGAGACAGGAGATTATCACCGCTATTATGTCGTTAGAGAAGGAATACTGAATGAAAATAGAAGATGAAGTTATCTTACCGATAGGAGGCTCGATAGCACTCCACATGTACAACCAACTGACATCGGCTTGTTCGGTGGCCGAAAGAACAACGGCTACTCGCACGATGGCGAAGGTCATTGTGACAATTGTCAACCCGAATAGGCCTGCAAGTGCCAGCCTATGCTTCATGGGAATTCGCGTGTTCCACAGTATTGCTACTGGAATTGTTATAACTGCGATACACGTTAGGTATTGGCACTTTGTTAGGGAAGCTTTGTCTTCAACTTACTAAGTGCGTCTGTGACAACATCCATAACGCAATTCGCTGTTAACGTAATGCGCTGGAAATTTACAGACCACTGTTTGGTGCATTCCTGTACAATCTTAATATAAGGCGCCGCCAAACATTTGTACTGAGTATCCGCAATGCATGCGATCCAAGTCACGATTGTAATTCCGAAGACCACCCACCACTGAATCATCAACACCCTGATATGTACCCCGCTAAGAAGTCTTCGAAAGAACAACAGGAACGATATTTTGATGGCAGCTAAACTAGAATAAAACAAGATGATGATGGCCACTGTCGACTTCATATAATGCTCAGTGTCTGGAATGTAGGTCGTATATTCTAGTGGTGAGAGTTGGCCAGCAGCGACTTCTATACTGAGGTACATTGCTCGCTCTGCGTAACGCCAAACAATTGACGATCCTAGTATCAAGAGCCACCCTATGACGACGAACAGGTCATCGAACCACAATCGACCTGAGGTTCGGAGACGGACGATTATGCGGCCACTGACGAACAGGAATGAAATTGCCGTTCCTGCCCAGACAATTGTCTAAATTGCATTAGCCAAATATAATTTGTGATGAAGTTAGTTGACATACCACAAAGACTGACTCTTTTACCAAGGCAGGCTTTGTAACGCTCGATCCGGGTGGTAGTTGCGCGATCACCGCCAACAACTCCATTAAGTCGGACGACATCGTCGGTAACTTGGAGTAACAAATGGATATAAGCAATTGAACAAAAACCAAAGAAAATCTTATGGTGTATCCTTTGCAAAGAAGATTGCTTCAATAGAGAACTGTGGCTGAGCTCTAAAAAGCTGAGTCTTTTCGAAGATGGGGAACCCCTAATCCTCGGTGGCCATATTAAAAGAATGCATACTGGAAATATGACCAAAACAGAAGACTCGCAGAAGGATCTTCTCTATGTGTATTTGGAAGACGCACTCGATTGGGCTTGCGTTGAGCAGATTACCAGTAGCAGAGACTCTCTACTTGCGGAAGAAATTATTGCTAGGATTGTAAGACGCATGTATATCAAGGTAAAGCAGAAAGGAATAGCCTCGTGGCAGCCACTTCGTTTGGGGGCGGATAGGCATCTTGCAGTATAGTGCAGCCTATTGGTATTATAAGAAATGTGCCTGGTGGTCGCCGACTCACCGTGCTTGGTACACTATATCTCAGAGTAACATGAAGAACGTTCCCGCTATCCCGCTGGAGAATATGCACGTATATTGTGGCGAAGCATAAATGAAACACATAACTTGGGTGAGCCGTGTCGTTACCCAACGACACTCAGTATGGGCGAGGACTTCAAAGCAACATCGAGGCACAGTAAAACTGTGGCGAGGTAGAGAATGGTAATTTGGCAAAAGTCTACACACCCTCAGTAATGGGATCCTCACCCTCAGTAATGGGATCCTTGCTGTTACCACACGTGTACCTCACAGCATGTATAGATTGAGAGATTTCACACCACATGTGTGAGAGCTGCACGAAACAACCACGATGGCCCCTAATATTCCACACTGGGAAAGTACTCCGGGAATCAAACCAGACTGCCAGGCAAGATGAATATCAACTTCTGGCAGATTCCCTCGTCTCTGAAGACCGAATAAGCTGGGCTAATTGCGCAGCAGTTCGAACGCAAGGACCATCTCACTCCGCCTTCCATAAGCCCCCAATGACTGCGACCCAAATATAGCATTATTTTGTTGGTAAAGAAGGGGCGATCATAAATTGTTAACTCTGGTCTAATACCTATACGGATTTCCATTTTATCTCAAAACAGCTCAGGATACCGTGCAACTTCATATTCAACTCTAGGCGTTTTCCATCACTACCTGCTAGAATTCTTCAGAAATCATTATAATCTCAGTTTGAAAATGATTATGTCCCATGTCCCCGGCGGGGCCCGTGGCAGCCCTACAACAAAGTCCGTTCTCACTGGATCTCTTGTCCTGGCGTTGGGAGTGAAACTTGGATCACACAGTTACCGCCAAGAACCTCACCAGTGGTATGATTGTAAGTTAATATCTCCTGGAATCATAGCTAGTGAGTGCTGATTGATTCTAGGCTTCTGCTTTTTGGCTGCCGTAAGTTCAATTACTTGGTTTATTAGATCTAGTAGTTTGATGTTAATTATGACGCTTAGTTATATCTCTGGTTCTCAAATTGGCAGACTGTGTATGTGGTGGTGTAATGATTGATTAATACATGGGATTCGCCAACAGACTTTTGCTTCACTCCAAGTTTTGGTTGGTTGTAAGGAAATTATAGGCTAGGGAACAATCAGAAGAGACCTTGATACCGCATGGGAAAATCGTACCGAATTAGACATAGAGAATATGTGGGTGCTGAATGGATAACGAATATCGCTATTGAGGAGTCAAATTTGCTATCCTTGATTTACCTCCTCACCAATTTTCTGCACCTTATGCCCGATTCTGGTCCTCCTCGTTGGCCTCTTTTCTCTTCTTCGCGACCACATGTACATTGAGGTGCTCCAACCCACAAGCAAAGGGTATAGACAGCGCAGAGGCCACCACTGCAAGAATGAAGACCACTCGGACAGCGTCAGCCCATCCTCCACGTACGGCTTTCAACACCTCAGGATCCGCCGTCAAGAGGTCCAGATTGGATGCACCAGCACGCATGATCGTTTCTGGGGATATCGATGGCACTAGGCGAGGTATATTGGTTTGCAAATTTGTGAGGAGTAACGCTTGGCTAATTGAAAGACCGAGGGCACTGTGGCTGTGGATTAGCTAGTGCGCGTTTAGAAGATATAGAGAGTGTTGGACTTACCCTCCTAGTTGAGATGCGAATACCGCAAGAGCTAAATCTGGTCAGTATTGTTAAACAGGCAAGTATCAACCACGCAAGGACATTACCATTTCCAGTTGGTAGGTCATTCTCGTCCAAAACTAATTGGAGTGCAGTATATGGCAGTTGTAATGATCCTCCTAATCCACTGCCAATGATGACTTCGTATGTTGCCCATATCGCCGTTGGAGTATCAAGCCCAATAGTCGTGAGCAAACCACATCCGATTGTGCAAACCATCGCCCCTGCAATTATATATGGAGTCTATCATAGCAATAAGCATCTCGTGGGATTTTGGTCTGGGAGGCTGGGATTGACATACATAGTAACCCCATTTTGTGGCCACAATACCACCAAGCATCAGGAATACCATTTGCGGAACGATTAAGGCAATTATTCGTACTCCACTTGTTGTGGCTGATAATCCTCTAACGGATTGGAAGTATATCGGAATATAGTACGAGAGCTGACAGCCCATCAGTAGAGGGTTATGGGAACTCTTGGGTTACTTACAATTGTCAACCCCATGAGAACAAAAAACAATAGACCCATTGACATTGCGACTGACCGTTGACTCATAACTCGAATGGGAATAATTGCGTATTCTCCCTTTTTAAATTGTATAAGTCCGAAAATGCACACCAGCAGGGCAAAACCGGCAAACAAACCTACGACCTTAGATGAGTTCCACGGCATAGTTTGACCTCCCCATTGGAGTGCTAAGAGCAAGCAGCAAATGGCACCAATAAATGTCACAGTGCCCGTGCCATCAACGTACTTTAATTTTGTCTTCAAGGGCAATGTGGCGTTCTCTTGACTTTTCATCTTCAAGAAGAACAAGACAATGACTAGAACGACGCCGCCGATTGGAACATTTCTAGGTAGAGTCAGCCTTTTCATTTGTTCAAATGAATAATATGCATTGGCATCTAGGATTAGGCTATCGATGGTGGTTCTGGGTGAACGCTGAGGGGATACGTACATCCAGAAACACCACCTCCAAGTAACATGATCCGTCAAAGCTCCACCGAGTATAGGTCCAACACATGCACTTACCGCGAAGGAACTAACAACGATGCCAAAATATAGGGGTCTCTTCTCCAGCACCACCGTATAACCAACTATACCTAGAGCTCCTTGGTATATCCCCGCTGCGCCAAAGCCTGAAATGGCGCGGCCGAGGATAAATATTGGGGATGAGGGAGATGCTGCACAAAGGATTGACCCAACTAGTTTCAATTAACACCGACCCCTTCAATAGGGAGATAGTCAAATGATAATGTACCTTCAAACACAACAATAGAAACTATGTATACAATTTTCACATTGAAGAATCTGTAGAGAGTCCCGAAAGAGGGCTGGAAAGCTGTCACGGTCAACAGGTATGCGCTCCCGAACCACGCAATATCGTTCAAGTTCTTGAATTCGGACGTGATTTTAGGAATTGCGACGCCTATGATTGTCGTGTCTAAAGCAATGAGAAAGATTCCCAAGGTGAGGGAGGTGATTACTATTCCAAGTTTCCACCCATGGAGGTAGAGGTCAGATGTTGCACTGGAAATTGCTCCATTTTGGCCGACACAACTTTGAGATGTTTCGATTTGTGAAATCTTTTCTTCTTCAACAACAATACGACTCGTCCGGAGATTTTCGAAGCCGGAAGCCCCTTCCTTACTAGGGAGTTTGGATCGTGAGTTGTCCATTATTTCCGATTGTGGCCGTAAATCGGGTATCGCTCGCGGCGCCGGTATGAACGGCAAATTCAACACGCTTCTCGAACCTTTCTTGCTGGCATTTTCTCATCGAAAGTGCCTGAGCCAGGTGGGAAAGTCCTAGGTCGTCTTGCCTCCGTACGAACTATCCAAGTTGGATGACATGATGTTGGCGAGAGGCGCAGGCCAACAGTAAGAGGAGCCACTCCCGATTCCTCAAGGGGCTGGTTCGGTGTGGACCAGATCAAATCCCCTTTATCCAAGCCATGGGCTTTGCGCATTGGACACACTGCAGGCTGCCTGGGGCACATCTCTCGTTGGAACTACATGAAGTCATGGTTTGGATTGGGGACATTTGGCTTTTCCCGGCAATTGATTAATGTCCACATGGAGGTGATGCAGGGCGAACGTGTACGAGTTGCCAGCCACATACGGTGATATCACCGTCAGGGCTGCAGTGCCTGATCGATTAGCGGTAGTTTGTTTTCAGGTGCTTCGTATCTTGGTGGCTGATACACTGCACAACGTTAACGTGCAATGGTGTATGAAGTATGTATACTTTGCCAGGGAAGTCGTATATGCGTGGCCACGGCCCTGCAAGGCGGCCTGGCCTGGGCGGATCGTGCCGCAATGTGCTTGCATGCATAGTTCGACATGTACGAAGTACTGTCCAATATGATGTAAACGGCTGTCCGCTACGCACCAAGTTACCAACCAGGATGTCATCTTGTAAACCACCAAAAGCCTGCTTGCCACTCAGTACAGACTCTCATGGAGGATTTTTGAAGTACCATCTGACTATGCGAGTAAGATCAGACTGAGAGGGGGTGTGGCCCAACAACCTGCAACTTACCCTCAGTTGTAATGCCGTGAATCAGTGATAATTACGCCGATTCGGGGAGGCTGTACTGTACCGGCAATAGCGAGCATTTTCGAGTGTTCGCTATCTATCTTGTAATCTCCCATCAATAAACTGCGATTAGATTGCCCGGACTCCGGAGACACGACTGACGTCTTCCCCACAACTTACTACAGGACTTGGGACAGATTCAACAAGATATGCAACTTCGTGTTTCATGAATTTGAATACCACTACTAAATCGGAATACACTTCTTCCGTACAGCTAATTGTTCCTGTCCAAGCTACTTATCTAGAGCTCATATAAACTAGGCCCAAACCTTGCTCTATTATGATCTTTGGCAGGGCAAAATTCAAAATCCTCAAGTCACTTGAAGATATATCTACGGTCGATAGGGATGCGGAAGCCCTTTCATGTACCGTCGTATTTCAGGGTTGATTAAGGATCAGAATCCTGAAGGAAATCCCGCATCGTCTAAAGTTACCCTAATATGCAGCAAAAATAATTAGTTGAACACGTCGAACTTTTCAAACACCGCCCGAGAACCCAATGGAGATGTGTAATGTGTAGCCCATTTGTTGATTGGCGTTGTAGGTGTTGTGGTATACTGCCTGAACACACGAGCACCCCTCAAAGCCCTGATCCTTCGGATTCCTCCCCGCCGACCCTCCCCCCTGAACGAGCTCGGCCTGGGGCCGCCCCCACAACCGTCAACCCTGCGATGTTGTGCGTCGCCGATGCATACGAAGTGGCATCGCACGATTCGCCCCACAAGGTCCACAAAACATGGCAATGCATCTTCGCCTCAATATATACTACTTATGTAGGTAAGTACTTATTTGGACGCAAAATGGACGTTTGCCTATCGAGAATTCCCGGAGTTGGGTAAACTCGGCTCTCCATTGGGGGGACCGATATTAGCAACACTCAAGGTTGACAGCAGCAGCAGGGGCAACAACAAATGGTGCCAGATGTGTCAGGTAATCTACCACACTCTTCTGTTTTGCGCTGTTTTTATCACTCAACGACGACAGCTCAGTTTGCGATTGACGTGTAGTTGCGAGGCTATTCGCAAACCGGTCCGAAGTCATGACCTATATTCTCCTTACCGTTTTTCTGCTCCCGCCCATAACCTTTGGGCTATGGAATCTACAATGTCTCCTTCGGAACTACCGCGCAGCCCAAACTATGCACATCCCGATTATTGTCGTTTTGGCAAGTGGTGATAACCCCGTGTGGATTCTCCTCTCCAAACCGATTCTCGCCGTCTTCCGCTTCATTTTCGGAGAAATCGATATCGTGAAATATGGAAAGCCAGGTTGGGAAAGCAAGGATAAATACAAGATGCATGAGAAATTGGGGGATGCGGTGGTTCACGTCAGCCCAGGACACAATTGGTTGTATATTTGTAATCCGGCAGCTGTAAATGATATTTTTAAGAGGAAAGACGATTTTGACCGGCCTCCTGAGTTGTTGGGTATATATCCTCTCACGATTTGAGGCCTGCAACTTTGGCTAACCTCCAAATTAGAGGTGTTGGGAGTATTTGGACCAAACCTCTCAACGGCAAGTTCTCCATTTACCAGCGGCGGGACATATAAACTGACAAAATGGCAGGCTATAGGAGCTGATTGGCAACGCCAACGCAAAATAACCTCCGCACCATTCAACGACAAGAACAACTCGTTGGTCTGGACGGAAACCCTCCGTCAGGCCTCCGAAGTGCTGCAATTCTGGAAAACCGCTAAGGGTCCGATTACCACTACGGACATCGATACACGCACGCTCTCCCTCCACGTTCTTTCTGGCGCCGGATTTGGGAAGAGTTACTCTTTCAAGAAGAGCGCCGAGAAGGCAAAGGAGGGGCATATGTTCAACTACCGCGATGCAATTTCTCTCATCCTCGAAAATTGTCTGTTGATCCTCGTCCTGGGGCCAAGATTGCTTGGAAAGATGGCAGGATGGTCCATTTTTGGAAATTGGTCCCGAATCGGACAAGCAACGATTGATTTTAAAGACCATATGACGACCATGCTTATCGAAGAAAAATCCGCAATCGCCACGGGCAAGGTTCGTTCCCCAACAATCACAAATGCCCTCATCCGCGCTAGCGAAGAAAGTAACGCAGCCACGGGTGGGGGTTTTAAGGGATTGACGGAGGATGAGATATATGGCAATATTTTCGTGTATAATTTCGCGGGCCACGATACCACAGCTACAACGTTCAACTGGGCGTTGTACTTGTTGGCTGCATTCCCGGATGTGCAGGAATGGATGGCAGAAGAAATAAACGCTGTCCTTGGTGATAGAGAGGCGGAAGATGTAGACTTCAGAGACGTATTTCCTAAACTAAATCGCTGTTTAGCTGTATTAGTATGTTGTATTTTCCTTGCATCCTTTGTTGATGAAAAGCCTGACACTTGAAAAGTACGAAACCCTTCGGCTCTGGAATCCGTTGCTTGGAATCTGCAAGTCTACATTCCTCATCCCACAGCCGTTGACGGTGGGTGAAAAGACAATTGTAGTTCCCCCGGATACGAGGATAATTCCCAATTCGAACGCGATACACACTCACCCTCGATATTGGGGCGAAGATAGCATGTCCTGGAAACCTGCACGCTGGATCCTCTCATCCGCCACCTCTTCCCCATCGTCCCAACTCAACGCCCAAGCAGAAACCTTCAAGACATTTCCAAAAGGCTCATACATCGCCTGGTCCGATGGCGTACGTCCCTGCCCCGGAAAAAAATTTAGTCAAGTAGAGTTTGTTGCTGCTATGGTGAGTTTGTTTCGGAGACACAGGGTCGAAATTGTACCAAATGCGGGAGAGAGTGTGCTGGAGGCGCGGGAAAGGGTAAAGAAGGTTATTAATGACAATGTCATTGTGCTTTTGTTACAGATGAGGGAGCCCAAGACTGTGGGGCTGAAGTGGGTTGAGGTAAAGTAGAAGGCGTGCTCACGCAGTTGTTGAATCGTTATAGGCTGTACCTATGTGATAATATCAGTTAGTAAATTTATAGTATCGGATAGAACTCCTACCGCGTTACCTTTCTAGTCTCGGACCCCCCTTATAATATACTGCAGTTGTTCGATACAACCACAGTTTATGATTCGACTACTCCGTATTCAATAGTTCCTTAACTCGCTTCCCTATTCGGCTATGCCCTTTCCTTCTTCTCTTATCAATTGGTTATGAATTGCTGCTGAGAAGCGGTTTTGATAGATCGGACTACCCGGTCAGCAGAGATGACTTCTGTACAGTCTCTGATCTTGGCTCTAAGGATTTTGCGTTTACACACGCTGCCTAAAGTGAATATCAAGAGCGGTGTAACTGCGGAGAGCAAAAACAGATTAGGGACACAGACAAGCCGGCATTTTGAGCGCGTCGGCTCGCCAACTTGCAACCCATAATAGGCGAAGGCCAAAAGAAAAAAAGTCTCGACAGCCGTCATTTAAAAAAAATCAAAATAAAGGCAGGAAAAGCGGAGATTTTTTATATTTTATACACTCCGGAAGCAAAAGAGTTCGGCCCGGTCGATTGCCTACATCTCTTGTCGCTTTTTGTTGTTGTCGCTTTTGTTGTTGTTGTTTCCCCTTATTTTTCCCTTGTCGTCCCTGGCGATAACGAAAGTACAATTTGACCAGAACACACTTGACCAAGTGCCACGCCCTTGTACTCGTTAATACCAAAATCTCTTATTTTAATATATATAGGCAGGCAAGCAGAGCGGTGGGAATGATATAGCCACGTGATCAGCGTTATACAGTCAAATGGCATATCAATTGCGTGGAGATGCAGGAGAATTACGATACTTGAATAGAATGCTTTTCCTGGCATCATGCACTTATGCTGTTGTTTCGCAAATTATTGCACGCCTGGTGGACCTTTCCATCTATTCGAAATAAGCTTTGCCTATCAACAATTTGATAATATAACTACATTCAGATACTGCACTCGTCGTGCTGGTACTCGGGTATTTGAAGCGTTATGACGGTCCACTGTGAAATCACATCGTTCAAATCCAGCAGCGCCTGGAGGGGTATGGGGAACCTTGACAGTAGATCACATAGCTCGTAGTGTTTAAGTATCGGTTTTATAGAATGTAGCTTTCGATGTGTGGTTCAGCGCTAGGTGCCGCCAGATTTCAGCACCCACACAACCTACGTGCTATTAACAAGATGTAGTAGCTACGAGGAAAGGGCCGCCGCATAAGTGACCTTGAATTATAACATCGAGTGTGCTTTTGTCGATGGCATTATATACCGAGCCATAGAGCACTTGCAATTTGAGTAAGTATAGTACACTCACAGCATCCCATGGAGTTTCCAGGTTCACGTACTATGCCTTCACCACGTTGATGGCGACAGGGGAAAGGTTAACGCTCATCTGATTTGTGTACCTTAAAGCGTAAAGACCCGCTGTCAAACTCTATATATCGGTGGAGTGATTACGTTTCTAATGTCTTGTGGTAGCGGTCCCTTATTGGAAAAGATGATAGTTGCACCATCCCCATAGTGTGCTGTCTATATGGAATAAGTGGACTCCTCTAAAGGAAACTAAAAGAGCCTCCGTAAGCCTTTTCCAAAAAGGGGGAAGTGACTCAAAAATCACCCGAAGCCCGGCGGAGGGATTATGCCTTGGCGGTGTCTTATTCCGGCTATTCTACTGCTCTGGGTGATAGACCTTATTCCAATACTCGGGTAAGACAGTTCTATGAGGCTGACTTCATTGCCTATGCCGTGAATAAACAAGGTTGGATGTATAGCACAGCAGATTGTGGTCAATTCCTCACATAAGCCACAAGTATTGCACTGAACTTCGTAGATAAGTTTTGTTTAGGTTTAATCCGAGGCCCGAGCCCCTGTTCTCCCCCACACGTGCCCCCCATCCAGGCTCCAGGCTTGTCAAAGCCCGCCCATTACTCAGCCACGATCCATACGTAAGGTACCTTACTAACTTCCCCCTCGTATTCGGGAAACCACGTCATGACATCGTGCCCTTCAACATTTAGCCTCAACCTTAACTGTAGCTCTTAACTTTTGAGTTCCTTGTGGTGAGATGTAGATGTTTCCCAAATCCCTCTTTACAGCCAACCCACCTAATACAATAATAACCCGAACACGAAAAAGGTGGCACGCCAATTATCACACCAATACAACATATGCCCGGCAGAAGGTCCCACAAGAAGTCGAAAGCAGGCTGCCAGAGATGCAAACAACGCAAAATCAAGGTCTGCTATAGCCCATCAATCATTCAGCCATTGGCACCACAGCTAACTAATTAATTCTCATAGTGCGATGAAGTTCATCCAACTTGCGGGAACTGCTCCAAGCATGGCGTGTCTTGCGACTTCGAAAGCGGTGCCTCTAATGCCGGCACTCCTACTTCACATCCCTCCCCAGCCCCTCGATCCCACAGACCGAGCATAGCAAGCTCAACCGGAGGCACCCCCTCAAGCTCCAGTTCTCGATCTGCAGTTGCAACATTGCCCCTCTACCAGACTCCAAGCGATTTTATAAGGGCGGATGTCAATCCCGCAAGCTCCCGGCTGCTAGAGCTAAGGTTGATGCACCACTTCACTGCCCAGACATCGCAGACTTTCTCAGACATCGGCGAAGCTCGGAATGCATGGCAGGTGGATATCCCGACAATAGCATACGGTGCACAACATCTTATGGATGCTATCCTGGCCGTTTCGGCGCTTCACCTACGAGCTCTACACCCGAATGATCAGACTCTGGTCCGCGCATCTCATGGGTACATGGCTTCTGCCCTGGCCCAATACTCTTCGTTGCTAACGCAAGGCCTTTCGGAGTTAAACGCCGAAGCATTGTTTTCTACATCGGCTCTCATCGCCTTCCAGGCTTCTGCCTCTAGGCGATTCGAGGACTTAGACCGAGGCTATAGCCTGCCGCTGGCTTGGTTCCACTCGTTCCAAGGCGTCAAGACGGTAGTAATGGCGAGCTGGCAGTGGCTTAGGAAAAGTGACCGCGTGTTTCCCATTATCAATAGCCAGCATGCCCTTTCTCTGAACCTGGACCCGCAACGAAGATTATTTTTCGCGCCGATCCTGGAGGGTCTCGACGAACAGCTTTGTTCTCTACCCGAAAACTTGGTCGTCGAGACTAGACAGGCATATGAGCACGCTGTCGCATTTTTGAACTGGGCCCATCAGACCCCTATCCGAAACAGGATTTTAGGATTTGCTGCTACGGTATCCCGTCGGTTCGTGGAGTTGATGGCGCAAAAGGACCCGCGGGCCCTGGTGATAGTAGCATGCTTCTTTGCATTGACCAGGATTGTCGACGACGTATGGTGGTTGCAGGGAGTTGCGAAACGAGAAGTTAATGGAATTTTCGGCATGTTGCCGCGGGAATGGTTGCCTAAGATGGAATGGCCGTTAAAGATCGCCAACCATGAGGGGATAATTGATGGAGAACTCTGGGGGGAGCCTTTGAATAGGTTGAAGATGGAGCAGGATCTGAATTATGATAATGTCTTCAATCATATCGATATATTGACGCGGGTTCTGGAAACCTGCACCCCTCCTCAGATGCCGCCTGATTAAGGATCCTAAATCAGATCAATCCTGCGACGAGGAAATTTTGGAAGATCTCTCTGGAGGAGGGGCAGGCGGACGGTCCGTCGAGCAGCATTGCCCTGCTCGGTAACGAGTAATGAGGGCGACAAAGACTGCATACCGCCATGAGCGACAATCCCCGCTTTCACACATGTATAAGACCGGGGCAATTGGCGTTTGGGTCGAGCTGTGTTGCTGTGTTTAGCAACTAAGAGGTTCAGCCAAGCCCTACCACGATGAAGGGCACAGATACCCGGATCAGATCGGATATCATCATCTCTATAGACCGGAGGTCTATGTACTGTTATATGTATTATCATCAGCCCAACGATTCTGACATTAATTTATTGAGCTTAATAACCCCTCTTTTGTCTTTAGGCCTAGAGCTGATAGAGGGGTGGAATCGTCGAGGAGTTTACTGTCACGTGATCGTATATTTTGATGCCGTGGTTTGCCCCTCTACCCCTATCCTTATCGCTCGCAAATTTGGCGCTGTCAAGTATATTATCGGCCAACGAAATGCGCGACTTGCACATCAACAAAGTCGCGATAGCGAAGAAAGATGATAAGATTCATGCAATTTAAGCCAGAGCTCACTCAACAGTCCGTCAATTAATATGCATCCCATAGAGGATACCCCAACTAAATAATACAGCAATTTACAGCTCGTCCCTCCCTAGAATCTAGCGGAGCTATCCACAATGATTGGATTTGCAAGTAGCGCTCAGCAAAGGCTCAATGCTCCCTAGAGCTGCACTTAATACTGGTCCTCGGCGTCATCCAAAGCCTGATTGCACCACATATCCGCGTCCACATTTTCATCCCTAGGAATCCAAATATAATCCACCTTTCCCTCATCCCTCAATCTATCATCAAGACGAGAAGCCTCCCGGATGAGATCTTGATTCGCAACTGCGTTGCCAGCAGCATTGATCCAGCCGTTCTGCGACCACTTGTAAATCCAGTCCGTCATGCACCCGACAGCGTACTTGGAATCCGAATAGATCTTGACATTTATCTTGGGGTTTGAGTGTAGCTCGTCAATCTTTTCAAGAGCCAACTGCAGTGCTAGTATGATGGCTGTGATTTCTGCTCGCTGGTTTGTTGGTGGGGGGCGCCGGGGCAAGATTCTGGTCCAGGCCTTTTGACCTCCATTCCTGTATTCGACAACCGCGGCGGCAGCGCCTGTCGAACCGGGCCGTCCGTTGCGTCTACAGCCACCGTCGACATAGATTTTCATGGTGTAGACCATGTTGGCGAGACTGGCGGGCCGTGGGCAAGCCAATATTCTTATATCCACTGTCTTGGCGGGGAAGGATATGGCGGGGAGGCTCAAAGTGCTGGAGTCGCAGTATGAGAAGCGTTATCGGTATCGAGATCGAGATTGGAATCGAATCAGAAGTTATGGTCAGATTTGAAGGTGCGGTCTCTCGCCCAGTTTCGGTCCGTTTGATTGCGCGAAGGCACACGAGGTGTCCAGCTTAATGAATGGCGGAGATGGTACTAGATACACAGCTGGATGTGTTGGATGTTAGGTTTGTACCGTCTAGATCGCAACCGGCGGGGCTTGTCATTAGAAGTGAATCAACCGATCCTTGGTTTGTTTTGTTTGTTTTGTTTGCAATAATGTAGACGGGGCATCGAAGTGAATAACTTGTAGCTGTCAGCCACTCCTCTGGGTGGCTTTTAGTGCGCCAGGAACCAACCAGTCACGTCGTTGTATAGAGGAATACTCTTAATCGAGTCGGCGGGGTGGTTCTACCGTAGTAGCATTAGATCGTGATGGCAAATAAGCGCGATACGATACACATAATGTCCATAACTTGATGGTCTTCCGAACTGAAAAGATCCATGTGCAGGTAGGGGAGCGGGCGGCGGCCCCAGGCAAATGGGTAACTCATGTAGGCCGAGCGGGCAATATAATTACTCCTTATTACTTAAATCGCATAGCGCCTGCACGTACCTACTAAACAAACGAACAAATCTTAGTAAAATATATCTCTGAAAAACATAACCGGGCTTTGACGACGCCTTGTGGTTAGTATAAGACATTAAACAAGAACCTACATCACATTATCCAGGAGAGCTGCGATGGTGGCCCTCCTCGATCCACCAAGTCGAGCTTGATTTATTAAGAGGTGGCCGATCCGAACCAGCCCAAGCCTCGGAATCCACCACGACAGCAATACACGACGGCGGGCTATGGCTGGGCTGTCGTCTTTGCGTGCTTCATCCAGACCTTCTAAGTCAACGCCTGGACAAGCTCCTAAGACATCCTCCAAGCGGTGCTCCTCCAGAGCAGCATGCGCAAAGGCGCCGTTAGTACGCTGTCCTTTGTCAAGTCGGCGGGCTTGTCGCTGACCGTGGCTCTGGGGGCGCCTGCGTCTATCTGGCTGGCATGATCGGGCGCCCGCTGGAGCACCCTGATCGGGGGTCGCGATGTTCGGCACCAGCACGCTCCTCAGCAGCTTTATTGTCAGTAATATCGGCGGGCCTGTTTGTGTCGGGCGCCTTGTCCGGCTTGGGAGGGGAGACTTATGTACTGTACACACGATGTCGAACAGCCTGCCGATCCGGTGGTTTGACGCGCGCCTCGGAACGGCTAACGGCCTGGTCAAGCTCGGCGGCTGGCGACTGTGGTACGTGCAACTGCTCTGGGCCGGCTCGGGTCGGGCATCGCGTGCGACCGGCTCGGCTCCACCAACATGCTGCCCGTAATGGGTTATGCTCGTAGCCGTGGCCCTCAACCTCAACGCCAACCCCAACGCCGTCACGATCAAGAAGTTTTATTAAACCTTCTGCACCTACGGCTATTGCCTAGATATAAATCTGATATCGCGCCGAATATCTGACCGAATTTAAAGTATTCAAGTCGCGCGAATATCTCACCGAAATTAAGCTATTCAAGTAGTGCAAATATCTCACTTCCGGTCAGATATTTACGTGACTTGGATATCTCAGCTTCGGTGAGATATAGAGGATACGGTGGGTTTCCGTGGCAAGGAGTGTCTGGCCCACAGGACGCAAATCAGGCAAGACTACTCTAGCGATCTTACTGAGCTCGTGTGCTGAGAAGACGAAATCACCCTCTGTTGTTCCTAGCCGTAGTCGTCGTTCAAAAAGCTTCTCAAAGCTGCCCTTCAGCTATTAGTCTCCCCCCTCCTCGAGTTTAATATGTATTTCTTGATCTACTACTGCACGCGGTAGCAGATGCTCTCGTGCTTTCTTCCAAACTGTAAAAACAATCTCTAGTCGTGAACAGTAAATCCTTACTATAACAGCCTATATTATATACGAATTATCGTGTTCTAACCAAATCTTTGTATTTCGGCTACGAGCCTAGGAGCCTAGCCACTCTCTCTGAGACGCCTGATTCTAACACGCAGGTAGTATAGCCGGTTCCTAATGGCCTCCAAGAACTATCTGGCTCCTTTTTGATATTGCTTATAAACGTTGATACTCTTCCGACTTTACACTTCTTTACCTCGCTTTAGACACTTATACTAGTAAATGTCTCTGGTATAGCGTATTCCTAGGCGAATTTAGTAGAAAACTCTTTTCGCTAGAAATATCAAGTACCTATAACTATTACCTAGGTATAAATCTGATATCGTGCGAATATCTCACTAAATTTGAAGTATTCAAGTAATGCAAACATCTCAATTTCAGTGAGATATTCGCACGACTTGAATATTTTAAATTCTATTAGATATACTTCCAAAGTAAGTCGAAGTTGATGTAGTGTAGGTAGAACGGAGTAGTGACACTTTCTACGAGTTCAAATGCAAGGGTAGAAAGGGTTTCCTTGGCAAGGAGTATCTGGCAAAATGACACACAGGACGCAAATCAGACAAGCTATTTGATATACGATCAGGTTTTAGGCTTATGCCAACTCATTAAGGCCTAAGAAAACTCGATTGGCAGTAGAATGTAATATATTCCCCCTTCAAAAGCCCTCGTCACTAACTACTTCCGAGTTCTCCTTGTCCGAGTTCTCCTCATCCGAGTTCTCCTCATCCGAGTTCTCCTCATCCGAGTTCTTCTCATTTGAGTTCTCCGCATCCGAGCTCACATCCGAGTTGGTCTTGCAGTCTGCCTCAGAACTTAAATCAGAATCATCTTCATCTTCGTCGCTTTCGTCGCTTTTGTGGACATCCGAAACACATCTTGCAAACGGATCCGCTGCCTTGAGCTCCGATTCCGGATTTTCCAATTCCTTCTGCAAAGTCTCCTCCAATTGGTTCAACTTCTGCAAGATCGACTCCTGAAGGGCTAACTTTTCCTCATCGGGCTTGATGGTGCCAGGCTTAGGGGTGGCGTTCGAGATCATCTCTTCGAACTCGCGGCGGATAACTTCTCGCAGTTCGCTGGAGGCCGACTTTAGCAGCTTTTTATTCGTCTCCGTCATAATGTTGAACCGTTTTTTCAGAAATTGGATAGACATGCTATATATCTCGTCGGCATTGTCTTCGAAAAACTTGGTGAACTCTTCCTTCATCTTCAAAAGGCTACCCTTACCTAAAGTTCATTCATTCTTGGTCAGCGGGGAAATATTCATTGAGCTTGTCTAAGGTTAAGAAGATAGTAAGCCACTCACCGCGTTGTTCGCAGCACGTTTCGTAAGCTGGTCGTATTTTCTCCTTTATCAGGGGTTCTAGGCCTCGATGGCAAGACTGGCCGTCTTCCTTGAACCTCGCGTATGCCTCGGCTACACTCTGTTCAAAAATAGGCTGGCGGAGTCGGATTTGCTCGAGCACCCGATTTCCAGGTGCATATGGAGTTTCGCAAATTCCCATTAGAGCTTGCTCCATACAAGCTAAGAACTCTTGGAGAAGGTTGACAACCTTGGATGAATGGTCCTTGTGCACTTGGAAAATTCTGTCTTGGAACACTTTTTTCCAAGGCCGGGATACTGATCTGAGCAATCCATCCGCGATGCCCGCATTCCACTCGAACTTGACTTTGTTAGTTCTAGTGAATGTTCCACGACGTACACAGATAGCTCGCCATGTCTGAAAGTGTATATTGGAGGCGCTATATTCTTCTGAATATATCGTTTCCTTTTCCCAGTTATCGAGATTTATTGGGGGGATCTTCTTTGTGACCTGTTTAGTTAATTTCGTGCGTATGTTTTTAACGGACTTGGTGATGTCTTTTTCGGTTGACTATACAGTGTTAGCTAGCTCCTGAATGGGTTGTTAACCATAAAGTGCAAGGAGCAGAGGCCCTTACGGTTTGCAGCATCGAAAACGACTTCTCTAGAGCTTCTCTGAGTGCCTTGACCTGGGAAGAAGACAAGTCAATGTCGACGTTTAAATCTCTCTCCTTGACCCACGAATTTAATCGGTGCTTGAGGGAATTCCACCGAATAAAAATTGCATCAACGATCTTCGACCGCTCGCCCGAGGTTAAATTGACAGCGAAATCGTGAAGCCGAGGTATATTGGTTGCCTGTACTGTGTCGAAGCCAACGATGTCAGCATCTCGTGGAAACCGGCCTTTCAATTTCTGAAACGCTTTAGAGCTGATGCAAAACGTCTCCAAGTCTCTCAGAAGATCTACAAATTATTAGCAAAGAAAGTATTGAGACAGAGAACTGTCATACCTTGACGTTCAACCTCAGGGCGATCGTTGTCTTCTGCTTCTTTCAATTCTTGGTCCAGTTCTCGGAAGCCGCGTTCGAAATCTTCTTTCAGGCGAGTTTGCGTATAGATGTTTCGTTCGGTAATGCAGCCGGACTTTATTAAAACTATTTGCTTGTTCAGCATCTTATTCTTTTGACGAATCAGTGTTTCTAGCTTCTGTGCTTGCTTCTTTGAATCGGTCATTGACTCTTGCAACATCCGAAGCTGCTCTGACTGATCCCCCGAAGAGTTTCCCGGGTTTGTCACCTCTGGCTCGGCGCTTTCTGTTTCAGAGTGCTTCCGTTTTCTCCCAGTAGCGGATTTTGTGCCCTTAACTACAGCGGAGAGACTCTTCAGCTCCTTTCTGAACTCTTTTTGTGCATTTTTACACTTTTGTAGGCCTTCCTTGGCTTCCTCGAGTGCTTCCTTGAGCTGTGTCTCCTCTTCAAGCAGAGATTTCATACCTGACTCCCCCAGGTTGAGACTACTGATGACTTCATCAGGATTGATATTGTCGGTCTTTGTCATAATGAACGTTACGGCGTTATACTTTCCGTCCATCAACAAACGCGTTCGGAAAGTCCTGCCCATCAGGTCTTTAGCGATTTGATCATCCACAGCGCGAACAATGTCCGCGACGATCCATACATGGTCCAGGGATTTCATATATCTCTCGGCCACCTGCCTCCTTCCAGCGTTTGAATCTCCCACACCTGGTAGGTCAACGAGAACTAGGCCACTCTGCAAAATGGGTACCTTGGTGTAGATCTTTATAAGTCGAATCAGGGGCCAATAGGCAATCTGACCAGACCTTCCTCCATGGTTGCTGCTGTCTATATAGGCCTTGATCTCTTTGTGGAAGGCGTTGGCTTTCGTTCCATAGATGATCTTCGTCTGCCCTAGAATCTTTGACAGGTCTGTTATTTTGAGTAATTTCTTTGGCGGCATATCAATCAATTTCGCGATGTCTATTCCAGGATAAACCGCGGAGAGTTTGCTATATGATGCACTCGCTTCGCTACTTGACTTCGAAGTTAATTGTTCGCCCTCTGGTCGATCTTTGATATCAAGTCTGAGCAGTTCGAGCTCGTCAAGCCATTCTTTCTCCGATATAAACTCCACCTCTGCCGTGTAAGCTTGAGATGGGATGCTGGACTTGTTCCAGGACAGCTCAACCACCGCTATTTCATAGATGTTAGCATTTCATGAGGAGGCTAGCAAGGATACATACCACTGGTTGAGGCCCTCATGGCGTTGCATGGGAGAAGCATCTCTTCATCAACCAGAGCGTTGATCAATGACGATTTACCACTGCCGGTATAGCCTAGAACGCCAACCAAGACTCTTGGGATGTCATCGAGCTTTAATATTGCTTCTGAATTTCAAGTCAGCTGGACACGTTCAACATAAACAGGCAAATAAATGCTCTATAAAATGGTTCAACATACCTGCTTCCTCATGAAACGGGCGACATGCGGGAAAGCTAATAGTTTTGTCCTGAACAAGCTGAACGAATTGCTTCAAGAACGAGAGGCCGTGTGTCGCTACTATCTTTTTATCTCGTTCGCATGTTTCATCAGGTTCAACAGGCTGGTCGCAGGTAGACAGGATTAGCAGTTTTCAAGAAATATGATATGATAACTCACCGAGTCAAGGTGAGATGGTGGTACGGGAGAGCCTTGCCGTTGCTGTGGCGAAGTCGGCTCAGTCCCAGTACCCGGCTCAACTTTCATGTTTGAATTATCCATCGAAGCCTGTATCGTGATGAGAGATAGATCTATTATAGGGGGTTTATGCTAAGGTTTGGCCAGTCCTTGTAAGATGAGGTCGAAGTGTTAGTGGAGGTATAATATTGGACGTAGTTGTAAGCGTTGAAGAAGTTGAAGGGTTGAAGCTCAAAGGCTCGAGCTAAATGGAGGAGGAAGGTGAATGGAGGAGTAGGTTGAATGGAGGTCAGGTTGAATGGAGGTCAGGTTGAATGGAGGTCAGGTTGAATGGAGGTCAGGTTGAATGGAGGTCAGGTTGAATGGAGGTNATGGAGGTCAGGTTGAATGGAGGTCAGGTTGAATGGAGGTCAGGTTGAATGGAGGTCAGGTTGAATGGAGGTCAGGTTGAATGGAGGTCAGGTTGGATGGAGGTCAGGTTGGATGGAGATGTAAGTTGAATGGAGGTGTAGGTTGAATGGAGGTGTAAGTTGGATGGAGGTGAAAGTTGAACGGAGATGTAAGTTGAAGTCGAATAGAGGTGTAAGTTGAAAGGAGATGTAGGTTGAATGGGATAGGAGTTGGAGTAACACAAGTGATATGGCGGAGATACCTAGGGGCGTTGAATAGGTAAAGACGGTCAACTAACGATACGGTTGAAGAGTTGAGTGAATTATGATGTACGAGAAAAGAATCAAGAACTAACCCCTGTCAAGGGAAAGAAAGAGGGAGGGGTTTAGTGGAAATGGGAACGTGATGGGATGGACTCTTAGAGAGTGAGAGCTAGTGCGTCAAAGCCAAAGAGATGGCGACTACAAATACAAATACTGAGTGGTAGCAGCAGAAGAAAATATGGAAGATATACTGCTAGAATGATATCCCACGGGTGGCCGGCGGATATGAGCGAAGCATGAGGTTCAATAATGAGCAAGGAGCGGTAATATATGAGAAGCCCTTCTAGATCTTGCGTGTGCATCTGGATCATGGCCTTCCCAAGGACGAACTTACGAAGAGTAGTGCCCTAAGCAACCCTGGTGCAGACGATAGTAAGCAGTAGATTTCAAAATATCAATTGAAGAGGCACGAGTTTGGACATATGCCAATATCGAAATGATGGCGCCTTTGAAAGAGATCCTCGATTGTGATAAATCGGATGGAATAAGTTGTAGATGTACAGGACTGTTCGCCGTGGAAATATATTCGGCTTCACCGCCTAGTTCGGATTCTGCCGCGCCAGAAAAAGCGACTTCACGTGCTTTACAGCTTTTCCTTTTCCAGCCAAAACACTATCTCAACATCTGCAAGAGGCTTATTATAACACGATGTCAGGCTTTAGTTTCTCTTTCGCTGGTGACGATATAGAAGATGATAACCATGGCGTGGCTTCCGAGGCCCCCTTAGCTTCATCGTCAGCCAACCATGCTGCTGAGACAGGCACTCTCAGACGGTCATCCAATTCCGCATTTCCAGTTGCAGGCCAGCCATTGTTACAGCCACAAAAGCACGATTTGGAGATCATGTTGAAAATGATTCCGTCAAAAGTTTCCTATAGCACGCTAACGATAAAATTGGATGACGGGCAAGAGGTTTACCTACCTCGGAGAGAGCTCTGGGATGTTAAGGTGCAACTGATGGCTGAGGGTGATGACGAGAGTTTGGGGAATTTGGGCAAAGATGATGTCAAGACTGGAATTTACGAAGGTGGGTTCAAGAGCTGGGAGAGTTCAGTGGATGTTGTGAAGGAGCTATACAAGAGGAGAGGGGAGGATTTAGGTATTCGTAGACGATTTTTCGAGGTACGTCGGTGTATCATATTCTATCTCCTATTTAGGTTGAAAACCTTGTGGATATAAATGAGGAACTAACTGGGTCCTCTTAGCTCGGTTGTGGGACGGCACTCCCATCTCTTTACGTATTTCAGTGGCTGTTACAGAGCTCGCCTATGTCTGGTACACGAGGGCTTGACCTTGGGCTTGCGGATTACAATCCCACAGTCCTCCAACTGGTCACACTCCCCAATCTCTTGTTAACTTGGGCCCAAATGACGAAGAAGGATTTATGGGAGGCCGAAGGCGAGCTTGAGATCGATTCCGACGTGGTGCAGGAGTTCCTAAAATTCCTCAACTCAAACTCGGTTACATTGTCGTTCTACTCTGGCGGATGGAGCCCCGAGTTCGTGAACTTGGTCGACCAAACTATGCCATCACGATCTTCTGGGCTCACTATTATTGGTGCTGAGACCATTTACTCTCCGGCCGCATTGGCCTCCTTCGCAGAAACCCTCTTGAGCCTGTTAAGCATCCCAGACTCCGCGGGGAGAAGTGCTATGATAGCTGCGAAGAAGGTATACTTCGGGGTGGGAGGTTCAATGGAAGATTTTTGTAATCTCGTGAGAGCACAAGGCGGTATCACCGAACAATTAAGAGAAGAATCAGAGGGGGTGAGAAGGGAGGTTGTAGAAGTACGGATCAAAGCTTAATAGCCACTCCAGTCTCTAGCCTCTTGATCACCACGGTTATATATATTTCAGAGCTCAGGACGAACGATGTGGATAATCGGTTACTACGATGCAGAAATAGATGGCTTGACTATATCGGGAGTCACTCGCATTTTACTCTGCAAGCTAAGGATAAATCGGCCACACCTTAACATTTGTTCAGGACGGAACCTGGATTCATCATTCTACTATGACCTGGCTCTACTTTGTCTATACGGGTTTAACAACCCTCACAAGGATGAAACCTCCTGAATTCCCGACCCGGCGCTCTGCCCGCTATTAACCGGACTGCATTGGCTTTGCAAGGAGATTCATAGCTACAATACCGTTGCCTCAAGATTGGCACCCCTCGACGAATGCGGTGGATGGAATGGTGATCCGTCTATACCCCTTTCCCATGTTCACTACACTCAGATGAAGCATAGGTTTTGTGACTTAGTTCTACTTCATAGCCAATCGATAAGGATCTGTTGATGGATGATGATGTAATGCTAAGGGTTGCCCTGGAGGATAGGGATCATAAATCGGGATTGGCTGTTATGGCGGCACTGTTCTAGAATTGTTCCGATATCAGGAGATACGTGGGCACTGGGGAACGTCGCGCTAGAAGGGTTCTAGGTGCTGGGTGATGGCAGGTAGCGAGGCATCAGAGTTACTACTTCGTAGTTGACTATCCTTTCCATCCCTAACTGGGTCAAATAGCGCATCAACACTTTTCATTCTCTATTGGTATTCATGGTAGGCGGCAAAACACGTCAACTCTTATTTATCTTTCTTCCCCGCAGTCTTTTTCCAAGCACTTGCCCGCTTTGCACCTCTGTTCGCCGGCTTCCCCTTCTTCCCTCCACCCATCTTCAAATCCTTAGGCTTACCCGATTTGGCGCTGGCTCTATAGCCCTCAAATATGATGTTCTCCGGTGTCCTTGCAACTCCGCCGATCGCACTGGCACCTCCTCTCTTCCCCATGACCATCCCATTCGCTCCGCTCCCCTCCTTCCTCAGTTTGGCCGCGCCTGCTCTACCTAACAGTTTTCCAGCTCTGCCGTGCAACGATGCTTCCTCTCCCGGCACCTTTGGATTGTAGATCTGACCCTTACCTTGGGGTTTAGGGTTCTTGAAATTGGCTCGCGATGCATTGGCGGTCTTTTTGATGGCCTTGGCGCGGACAACACGGAGGATGCGGGGAAGCATCGGCGGGTATTTCTTCTCATTAAAGAGAAGGGCGGCTTCTACCGAATTAGGATCCTAGGCAAGTTGTTAGTATAAGGCCTGGTACAGACACGTGAGACTCTCTGGATGAGAGTAACAATGCGCTTACCTTGAATTGCACATATGCGAATCCCTTGCCGACACGGGTCTTCTCGTCCCGGACTACACGAACGCTTTCCACAGCCCCTGCCTTGCCAAATTGGCGCCAGAGCCCTTCTTCGATGTCAGATGGGATCTTGGAGCGCTTGCGCTCGTTCTCGCCACCTTGATCCAGCATACTCTCATCATCTACAAAACCTAAGTTTCCTACAAAGACACAGCGTCGGTGATCTGTCTTTGCTGGATGGGCCACGCCGTCTACACGGAGATGGCGATCAAGGATGATAGTAGCGTTTAACCGCTTTACAGCTTCCCGAGCTGCATATGCTGTGGAGTAGACCAGGTAGGCATTTGTGCTTTTCGTGGTGGCAGCCATGAGGTCTTTTTTGACAAAGGCAGCTTTCTTGGGGAGGGAGGTTCCTGCATAGGCAGTGGAGCGGAAGCGGATGGATTCGACTTCGTGGGCTGGTTTGCCGGGTGGCGGATCTGGTAGAGAGTCAAGGAAGGATCCCATGTGCGCAAGAAGAGTCTTCTTTGCCGACTTGGAGGTGATGGCTTCGGTTGAGACATTAGCTAGAAAGACAGTCCGTGACGCTTTGTCGAGCTCGAGGGCGTCCTTGCTAGGCGCAAGAGATTCGTGAACAGGGATATCTGATGGTTGAGCTCCTCTAGAGGTTATTCCTTCAGCCTCTAAGCTGTCATCGCTGTCATTATCCCCCTCCGACTCATCGTCATTGCTGCCGTCATTTTCTTCATCAACATCCTCCTCCACTTCTGAGGTATCTGGGTCTGCTTCTGCCGCCAGTCTCTGGCGCTTTTGCCTTCGCTCAGTTTCTAGTGCCTCTTCTTCCTGCTCCTCTAGCTTCAACAGCTTTTGCATATATTTCGCCTCAAGGTCTTCTCCTTCCCCAGCCTTCCGTTTCCGTTTTCGCTCTGGTCTCTGGGTTGTAGCTTCAATAAGCCTATCGAGCTGCGGCTCCTCATCCGACATATTTTCCTCGTCATCATCATCAGAAAGGCCGGAAATATCATTGTCTTCTAAATCTTCATCTACACTGCTTAATTCTTCATCTTCCTCGTCGTCGTCGCGGCTGCTGGAATTGCCGCTTTCCATCTCGGACGCATCATCAACCTCCACGGCAGTAGATCTTCTGGCAGGCGGGGGTTCTTCATAACGAGCCTTGGGAGGGGCTTTGACTGGGCCAGCCTATTTGGTTGAAAATATTAGCTATATCCGAGAGAAAGGGCAGGCTGTTAGTTACACTTGAAGCAAATAACGAGGCTAAAGACGGGTCGATAGCCTTATCATGGGCCAAAATGGTCTTGGTGCTGGGACCATTGCTATTCCCATTGCCCTTAATTGCGGGCTCTGCGGCATCAGGATTCTTCCGAGATCGTTTGCCCATTTTTGAAGTTCAACCAGGAGTTTTCCTGGGCAGTTCGAGGGTAAGGAGGATGCGAGGTTGTGAGGGTCTTAAACTTGTCTGGACCCTCCTTTATCGCGCACAAAAAAAGTTCGCGAGCAACCAAGCACGGCAGAAAGGCTCACCGCCTTCGCTTTCCCCATGATCATCGTGCTGGGAACTGGACCAGCTTCACATCTCTTCCACCATTTAGGCACAACACACCCATTTCAACGCTTCGTACACTGCTCAAAGCCTCATCGGATTATCTGGCCAGCTTATACATGTCAGTGATTGCGCCAACCTACACTAGATACTCCCATAGCGACTACTCTTCCACCCACGTAAGAACGTCGCGCGAATCGCCCTCCCGCACCAATTCTAGCAGTCGCCCCGGCACGAGGTTATGTGAACACCACCGTGGAATAAGGCAAGATTGGGTCGGACTATTATTAAGCGCACTATGAGTATATCTATGGACCAAGGGGCAGACGCATTATTGCAAGCCGCCCGCGAGGGAGCTGCGCTGGAGGCGCTGACCGATGTTGATGTGGACGGCGATGGCTCGAGCAGCTTGAGCGAGATTGAGGATAAGGATGGCGACCAAGATGACGAGGCTGATGGTTCAGACGATCTCAGCAACATCTCTGACGATGAGAACGACTCCGAGGCCGAGACAGAGCGGCTTGAAGAATCTCCTAGCAAATTCAGACCGCACAAGGATGTTGTGCTAAGCTCCCACCACGATAGTCAAAGCTACGACCACACACCCAGCAAGCTCCACAACCAGATCACCGCAGACGATCAAGAAGAAGACGACGACGATGAGCCACTATCTGACGCCGATGTATCGAACGAATCTCCGGGATCCCCAAAAAGTTCCGCTCGCGATGAAACCGACCATGACCATCCAACGGCACCGACATCTCTGGAGAACTCCTCCGTCGAGAGCAAGAATATTCTACTATCGGCTATTGAGGCAGACACAAGGAAGCGGAAAAGATCTATAATGGCAGGCAGCGGCCTTGAGGAAGACCTTGGGGAGCCCTTGCGTAAGCGCACTGGCTCTGTCATGACGCCTGGAGACGAATACGCAATTGAAGAAGAAGTTCAGGCAGATGAAGATGTGGATACATCCAACCCTATTAGCGGCAACATATCAGGGGACGAAGGCGGGGTCGCCCAAGAAGATGAAGTGGTCGAGGAGGCTGAAGAACCGGCTCCAGCGGACGATGAACCCCAAGATGCTACCGAAATACCTGTTTCGCCTAAGAAGAGGGGTCGAAAAAAGAAGAAAGTGGTCGAAAATGGCATCGACAATCAGCTTGAAGATTTAGAATCCCTTCCCAACGCGGAGGTGACCATTAATGGCGACGACGATGTGCGGAACGCTGAGGAAGACAACGCAGATAACGAGGGTGACGATGAGGCTGAAGCTGCCCTTAAGAACGAGGAAGAGCGTGAGTGACCTAGTAATAAATGAAGTTATGGAAGCTGATGACATGCAGTTGAAAGGAAACGGATCGCGTTGGACCAGTTGGGCTCGATCGAACGTCAATTTTCTACCTTCCGAGATAGGTGAGTAACATTAGACCATTCCCAGTATCTGTCGCTCACGCTGCACCAGGCTCTACGAACAACGACTGGACCAATTGAACAGAGAAGAGGCTATGCTTCGACTGGCCAAACCTACACACCCAGAATATCTTGCGATGATACGTTGTATCGAGGCACGGAGGGACGATAGAACTAGGATAGCGGATAACTTCAAGGAGCTAGAATTGCAAACCCTCAAGAAGTCTGCCGTCGCGAGGAGGAGCCAGATCCTCTCACAGTTCCAACAAGATGTTCGAGACATCCGAGAAAAGACGCTCGAACAACTTGGCAAGCAGTGGTATGAGATACAACACGATCGGAGAAGCTACGCTGGTAGTGTCCCGGATTATTCTCTAAAATTCCCGACACGCAAGTCACAGCAAGTTATGAACCAAGTGGCATACAGCAACGAAGTATCTATTCTTTCTGGTGTCGCAAGATATGTTGGGTTTCCAGCTGCTCCGGAAATGGCCCCTGCTACATCCGCAGAATTAGAAGAAGATCTCGAGAAGATGGGGGTAAGTCGCGCCAGCGTCCTCAATTTGTTGCATGCCAATTGACATAATGTGCTAGCGAACAAAACCAGTCCGCCATATGCCGCTTCAAGAACTAGCCGCCCTTCGTTCAGCAGGTTCAACTTCACGGTTCAAGCCTGCTGAGGAGCAATTTATTGAGCAGACACCATGGGCGAATCCTCAGCACCCTTCACATGCGCATCTCCTCCAACGACAAACCTCTGCTCAACAAATTCCGCGCACATCAAGCCCCTTCTCTCAAATACAAGCCCAGCAAAGAAGACATTCCCATCAAGCTGCTCCAGGGTTACCAATTTCCGGTACATTTTCAAGCTCGTCTTCATCTTTACCCCAACATTCTAAAGGCCATACGATATCTGGCGGTCGCATATCTCCTCATAACCCTTTTGGAAATTCTACACTATCTCATAAAATCGTACCATCGCCCTTGGGTAGCCGGCAGACATCATTATCACCCCAGCAGAACCATCCCCCACCATCGCTAGCAGGTCAGCACAGCACGCCGAAGGTGCCAGACGGGCCCACAAGCAAGGGAAACCAGCCTTCACCTCCAGATTCTGTCTCGGATATCCCGCGCGATTTCCCGCAGGATATCAGGCGTGAGCAAACAGCTGTCATGATGGGCCGTTTTTAAGCTAGTTGTTATGAGTCAATGATAGATATATGGCAAAGGCGTAATTTTGGGAGGTTCTGCATTGTTGGCGTACGATGATCAGTATAGGGCAATGCATAGATACACATACGCAACTCATGTCAAACTTTCGCGATAATAGTCGAGCTGCTGCCTGTACTCATAATGTAGAGTTACAATTGAGTATTTCGATTTGATGACTATGGCACCCATTGCTTGCCCGAACTCCTTGTGATGCCATGCCGCGCAATACTCTAAATTTACAGTCTGTAGCCAGAGCGGGCATAATTCCATAAAACTCCCCCTACCCCTACCCTAATAAAACAACAAATATATCTCCAAACCTAACTCGTGCTTGCTTGAGGTGTAGGTGACTGAGCGGCGTCGGGAACTTTGACGTCTTCAAATTCGTCTTGGGATACTGCTTGGATTGTGAAAGCGTCTGAAGTCAACAGTGAGCAAGCATCCCCCAAATAGCAAACTATCTACCCACAAACTCCTATGCAAAACGCGAACATGCCCACTCCGGTAATAGCATTCTTGATCAGGTATGGTTTTCGAGCTCGGATAAGGGCAGCAGATTGCCTGTAATCCCTATTGTAATAGGTGGATCGTGGTAATCTGTAGGGACATTAGCATCAGATGCTTTGCTGTATCCGAGTATCTCAAGGGATTACATTGGCATCTTGCTGGCTTGGGAATTGATTCCTGATTGCTGGCGATGTGATGTGAGGCGATTCTATTATTTGCGAAAGCAGCAAGTATCGTATGCTTTCTACCAAGCTTATTAGAGATGCCGAACGACTTTGCGGGTGTGATTTATGCCTTGCCTATAAGGCATCAACGCTACGCTAAATCCGGTTTGAGCTCAAAGCTTCGTTGTAGATTCGCGATGATGAACGACTCCGTAGGCGCGTCTTCCAAGTCTAGGAGTGAACAACCTCACTTTGCCTCCATCCCCAATCCTTCCTCCAACAACTACGTCCACAGAATGAACATCCAGCCCTGGTCGGCAACAAGCGTACTGCATCATTTTTCGACACATGCAGCTCCCGGACCCTCGTAGAGCTCTGTCGCAACTATTAACACTTCACGATGGCAGAACCGATTTCAGTCGAGCAGCAGATCAAACTCCTGGAGGATGCACGAAAGCTCGTACTTGGTGACCCGAATTACTACCCGCAAATTCTCCAAGGGATTATTCCTATAATAAAACCAGATGGGAGAGCAGACCCCGCCAAGGTAGAGCTGCGGAGATGGGGTGCAGACTTTCTAGCAGAGACGTTTGCAAGCCCTACTCTTCCGGCGGACCAGAAGGAGACATTGAGCTTGAGCGTTCTGGAAGTTATCAAGAATATGATTGAGAATCCGAATGAGGATAGTGCAGTTGTAAAGAGCGTCGTTCAAACTGCTGCAAGCATATACCCCCTTGTTTTTAGATGGATGTACGTTTACCCATGATTCCCTCTGACCTTCTAACACTCCATACCCGGATATCCTGAAAGTGCTAGAAGAGCTAGAATGTTAGATAGTTTTGCCCGCTTGTCATGAAGTGTATTGCCCGGCTTTGAACCTTCACCGTGCTTGGGACATTCTCGATATTTTTGTACCAGCTTCTAACGTTTGCTTGAACAGGATCAACAACTCGTACGATGGGCCAACATGGGAACGAATGCTTGCGATAAAGTCAAGGATACTACGGATATGGGATACTGCTGTGCCAGGAGTGCGAATATGTTGCATCAAGTTTGCCCAGCGAGTAGTACTGGTCCAAACTGCCGGTCCAAATGCTGACCCACGGGTACCAATGCCTTCCTGTTCCCTTTGTCGGGGTAATGCTAAATTCTTCAGCGTGGTGATCCCCTTGAGGTTTCTCTTTCCATGGTTCCCCAAAACCATCCCCTATTGGCCCCTCGGAACCTCGAAGCTGAAGCCTCAGGTCTGTTGGATAGAATGCTTAGTGTCTTTCAAGAGAGCATTAGGTGCGTACAACCCCTTCCCTGATATACGTTGACTAATAAACGAAGTGATGCGATATTGGTTGATGCTACTTTAAATACCCTCTCCATCCTAATCAGAGCCCGTCCACAAGTTGCCAATAGGATCCTGAATGTTATATTGAATTTCAACCCCCTAAAGCAAGCCAATTCCCCAATGACCCCCAAACTTCGTGTTATGGTCAAATCTATGGAAAAGACGACTAGATTATTGCTCATGCACATCAATAAGCGGTATGCGCCTCTTATATTTCCCAGTTCTCTATGGTAGCAACATACTAACATGCGTAGCGATCCACAAAACCCCCTCGCAGGACGTATTCAACAATATGTCGAACGAATGATGAGGTCAAGGAACGAGATATTCGATGAAGCGACTAGGAAACGTGGGCCTCCTGCGCCTATGGATGGACTAGATGCCGCCAAACGACAAAAGCTAGGGGCTCAGCTACCAACTCCCGCGCCGAAATTCCACGTACCTCCATTAACCCCAGGCCCACACACTGTAGCGGAGTTGTTTACCGTTACAACTGATGAAGGATTGAAAGCGTTTGATGTTTCTCAGTTGAGTGAGGATCTCGTAGTCAAGATTGGAATTACCATTTTGCAGAAAATCGACGGAGATACCCTCAACCAAGCGGTCGAAGTAGGTACTTCGAGCTGATTAGTAGGATCCAGCTAATGAATTGACTCCAGGGTGTACGACAAAGATATCTTTCATTACAGGCCGCACAACCAGAATTACTGAACCCGGCAACTGCGCCACTTGGTGTCGATGAGGACGAGGATGATTACGAGCCCGATTTCTATAATGCCGAAGATACGGAGCAAATCCTGAACAAGCTCGACAATGCCCCTCCAGACGAGCCAGAAATAAAAGCACCGGATATGGCACCGGGCCTCTTCGCTCTTCCACCACCACCCCCCTTAACTCAGGATCAACTTGTGCAAGTTGGACAAGGAACAGTCTCTCGAGTATTCGGCGTAATGCAAACCTTGGAAGAAGCTGGGAAGAAACAGAAAGCGGGTTTGAACAGGCTTGCTGCTAGCTCAGGCGACCGAGATGATTGGATCACAATAATTACTAGGCTCGCGACACGTTCTGCTGCTGGGTTGGAGGAGGCCTCAGATATTATCAAAGCCGAGCCTGACCAGCCGGTACCATTTTCTCTCAGCAACACCATCCGCGAATCACTCTATTTATACGTCCTCGAGGATTTCCGAAAGCGTATCGATATTGCAGTTGCATGGCTTTGCGAAGAGTGGTATAACGATAGGGTGCAAATGACGCTTGGCGAACAGACAGTTGTCCACTATGAAAAATGGGTTCTCAGGGTCCTAGATGGTATTGTTCCCTATCTCGACGCCCGAGATAAGGTCTTGACCAGGTTTCTGAGCGAAATTCCTGGGTTGACTCCTGATGTTCTTGCCAGAGTCAAAGGACTTTGTAGAGATCCGGCCATGGTCAATTTAGCATTGACAAGTCTTTTATACCTGGTTATGATGAGGCCACCCGTACGAGAGATAGCGCTTGATGCAGTCGAGGACATTTGGAATAATTGTAAGACCGCCTTCTACTTTTCTCTACTTTTTACTAATACACCGCAGATGAGGATGCAAAACCAATAGCTGCGAAATACCTTTCGAAATGGCGTCCCGGGTTTGCAGAGCGACTAAAGGATAATGAGGAAGACAAGAAAACGAATGGCGTGGCTATTGAAGTGTGATTTATAGCTGTATTTTAGGCCTTTTCCCCTGTGCCATTAGCATCATTGGGCGGCGTTACACGGGAAATGACTAAGGTATATCAGTCGAAATAGTGAATTGGAGAGGAAATCTGGCTGGTTGCTGGGGATCGTGTATTATTGACTAAATAGCAGGCGGCCAAACAGCCATGCTTTACTAAAACCAAGGCGGGTATGAAATTGGCCGTTTATCACGAGCTTAATGAAAGTGCGCTTGATAATATCGTCTGTTTGATCTTGTTTAGAACTTATGAGATCCCTATTACTTGCTAAAGTTCTTTCTAGTTGCCTTGGGTAATCAAGAAATAAATCCCCGTGCCCCTTTGTTCCTACAAGATTCATGGATGCTTTGCAGTCTTTCAACCCGGTCCACCTTCTGCGTCCTGATCATCGTCCATTCATTAACGGCTGGCCTCACAAGGTCGCAAGGCTTTTGGATCTCTCATCAAGTCATCATCACCACCTTATGTTCTAGTGAGTCACGGCTAGCACCAAACTTTTAACTTAAGTATCAGCTGCTGATATCTTGGTCTAGTTAAGGTTCTTGCCCGCCAAATCACACGTCCCCATCCCTTGATATCCATACCGCATATCAACATCAAAGTTTCCTTGCCCGAGGGCTGAAGCGCTTGGGATGCAGGAAGGTCGGTTGAGCGTGTCGTGTTAGGGATCCAGGGGTTAAATAATATCCTTGGTTCTAGCGCATCCTGTATGATGCTATATGCGACTTCTTGCCGGAGGTGGCACACGGAAAGGTCCAAGAGCCTAGATCTTTCTGCGGGCGACACCAGTTACCAGAGACCAACAGGACGCCATCAAGAAGTTCATTCTCAAAGAGCATCCTAGGGTTTCGGCCAACCCAGTCCGCATGTCAGCTGCCGCTGCCGCTGCCGAAGGGTTCCCGATTTGAACGCTATTCGCCAAAAATCCAAATCCTCTTCACAAGCAACTCAAGAGACGAAAGAAGGCCTACGAAAGTCGTCCAATGAAACTATGCACCCCCCCAAACCCCCAATTGCCAGCCATGCCGAGAGAATCCTCTCACTAGTTGCAAGCATGGTATAAGATACCTCATGTGATTTGAACCATCGAGGATAGCACGTCGTGGTGGTGACGTCGAAGAGAATGAGTGGGGTATTGTAAATATTTTGCCGTGGCTCGACCTTAATAGGCAGTTGTTCGAGTTTTAAGAAGCAGTCGGGTGGTGGGAGTGCGGCTCTAGGGCAACTGTTTTAGCCAAGAGGCTATAAGCTTTTCATGAATTAATTGAGGTGCTGCGAACGTTTGATAGCAAACCTTAAGTTGCTTGGCGGATAAATACCGAGTGTTTCTAATATAGGTAGATCAGCCACTATATATTAAGGATGGAACCAATCATTGTTTGGCTCACCTAATAGGTGCGCTAGGGACTTTGTAAGTAAATTACTTCAGTGAGCAATCGTCAGTTTGAACCCCACGGCAGTTCTAGACTTCTACTATAGCCATGGCTAAAGATGTAAACGTATGTATATATTCTAGTCCAACAGATAACTACATATTGCTTCAGCGAGACTTCTAGCTTGTCATATCACTCATGCCCAGAAATCCTACTCGAGCTTCTCCATATTACAATGAAGCTCTTTGACTTCGCTTTACTCCTAACATGTGTCGCCAGTGCAACTGCCCATGGCGGGGTCTACACTTACAACATTTCAGGCTCGATATACCAAGGGTAACTATCCAATCCTCCTCTTTTCCACTCACCTAACATCTCAAGAAATCCATGGCACATCTGGGATTATGGGCCATTCTATGGCAACGGAAATGCCTCTGGCATCCCAGACGGGATCAACAGCATCCAACGGCGCTGGTACTTCTGGCCACTCTACGATGTCAGCGACGGAAATATGACGTGCAACTTCGACGGTGTGGCCACAACTAACTCTCTGCATGCCCCAGTAGCAGCTGGAAGCACGATAATTGTTCAATACAACGCTTTGCAGTTCACCCTTACCACGGTTGACAAAACGATATGGTTCCACCAGTATGGTCCGCTTCTCGTGTACATGGCGCGCTGCCCCGGAGATACTTGCCAGAGTTTTGATGGGAAAGGTGCTGTGTGGTTTAAGATTGCGCAGTATGGACTTGCTCCTGGGGCAGTGAATCTGCGTGGGCCGTGGTTGCAGGCGAGTATGTTGGAGGGAGAAAACGCGACGGGGTTTCAGGTGACAATTCCAAAGGATTTAAGACCAGGGAATTATTTAATTAGACACGAGGTGATTAACTTACAGTCGAGTACGGATTATGGTGCGCAGTTCTATGTGGAGTGCGCTCAGCTGAAAGTGGAGGGGTCGGGTGATAAGTTTCCTAATGAGGAGTATATGGCTACGTTCCCTGGAGCGTATAAGTTGTCAGGTAAATTTTGTATTTTGAGTTTTGGATGGTTTGCTGAGCTTGAAATAGATCCCGGAATTGCTCTTGCGGGTAATGAGATTTCTGATGGCGATCTGCTTCCTCAATATAATACGACCGTGAGTCCGAGATAGACTGGCTGAGATCGAGTGATAGCTGATACTTCTAGGACTATCCTTTCCCAGGACCACCTGTATGGAATAGCGAGATTTGAGAGCATCTTAGACTGTATGTGAGGGGCTGGAATCTAAAAAAAAAAAAGAGATCCAAATCTTGTTTTGCTATCGTTTGTGAGGATCCATGCATGGCAGTCTTAGATCGAAGATATTGGAGGAAAACGGTCGAGTTGCGCTTTAAGTGAAATTCCATCGATGAGTATTTGTCTGAGCAAGAGGAGACTGAAACAACACGAAGTGTACCTTTAATAACTATATAGGAAATAATATGCAGGTGGTCAAGGACAATCATTGGCACAAATGCCAGAAATTTGCCGACAGAAAGCCTTTAGTAGTAATTAAACTATGCTCTCGCAGCCCAACCTAAAAAGCGAAACTTCGGTTTCAAAATTTATCTTAGCTGCTAATAACCTTGAATATATTAATCGTAGCAATTCAACGATTCAATTCCAATCCCTCCCAGAATATTTCAATGGTCTGTTGGATCGATCAGGTAATCTTTAAGAAATGCGGCATCGAGGGAACGACAACGACAATACTGTTGCTGTAGCTGTAGCTAAGGCCGCTTGTCAATAGTACCAGCGCTACCAGTACTCGTAACCAATCGAGCTCATAGACTCGAATTCCTGATGCTGAATTGTTGATATTTGGTAAATCGTAAGACTGAGTTACTACTTCGTAGGCAGGTGTAATTGCTCAGCAGCTTAAAAATTGGTGATAGGGGCGTTAGAATTCCAATTCTTGGAGCAACAGAAGTTACTACCTACAAAATAGAAATTCGAAAGCCTGATTTGTGTAGAGTTATTATAATGTGGCAGAAACACCGGGCATGAAAATTCGAATGTTCCACGAATTCCGACAAACCCTCTGGTGGATTCTATTCACTGCTTTCTAATTTTAGCTAGTGGCCTTCAATCTTATCAGCACACTTCGTACCTTTGTTTTAACGGGGATCTATAATTGACTCTGAAGAGCCCTTGACTTTCTCGTTCTGATTTATCTGGCGGCAGTAGTGCAGTAGTCGAGGCCCAGATGTGTCGCCTTCCAGCCTGGCTTAGCAACAGTCCAGGACCCCATGTGGAAAGACGGAGACGGAGAATGCTTCGAGATTGAGGTACTAGGCTACCTACCTGGTATGCAACCGGAATGTCAAGGCCTTTCTCTGGCCTACTCAGGGACGACTCAGGCACAGCTCAGGTCTCCTCGCCCCCATTAAATTTAATGAGGAGCCCAAAAGGACCCCATCGACCCAGCCAGGGTCCCGAATTCTGTCACCATTACACATCCCTAAACAGGTATCCTACCAGCCTTGACACAAAAAGGAAACAAAAAGGCTGCTGGGTAGTAATATTTGAACTTCATCTGGTAGCACGTCCCCATGGGTGCCCTATGCTGCAGCCTAATCTCACCGCACTTGCATGCAGTCGTAGCGTTAATTCTTTTCTACATATTAGGAGTTCCGAGATCGAAGCCGACGCCTTCAATCGCAAAAGTCCACTAACAGGGAGCTTGTGATGAGATGTCCGACCAGGCAGTAATGGAGAAGCTCTTGCAGGTGCTAAGCCGAATTGAAGGGCGACTCGCACAGATCGAACTAAATACTTCAACTGTTAGCAGTCCGCCTCTTCTCAGCACGGAAAAAAGCGCCCATCAACAGCCTGGTGTGGAAACTTTGCCTGGCCTTGCGACAAGCCCACTTAAGCCCAAATTACAGACCAACGATGCGCAATATGATATCAACCAGGACCAAAATACAGCGCAACACGAGCGTAAAGATGAGGATAGTATTGTTTCAATCCCCGCTCAGGGTGTCACGTCTTCTATTGAGGATGGGGCAAAAGTCAAGAGGATGAAAGGAAACGAGGCTTACTTCAACGCCATACCCCACGAATTCCAAGACTTTTCAATAGAATGTCACCTTAAGAAAGGCTACTATGGCAAAGAGGCGGAGGCGCTGTGGACTAACTATGTTGGCCCATGGTGGAGTTTTCCTCCGGACAACAGGATAGACCTCTCCTTCCAGAGCCACATTCTTGACATAGCCTCACAAGAGGAAATCACCACAAGACTAGAAGGTATCGCTGCCTGGCTCACGAATATTGGTCGCAAATATCAGGGGTTCAATGTTCGAGACTACGATCGAAATGGAAAAGCGTGCGAGTATGATCAGAATACCTTTGCCTTATACCCACAGCATTTTCAGACATACTTGAAGGATGCAGGATCCCAAGTACCGAGCCGGCTGGCCAGATTTGACTTTGCCTCAAACATTGAAGAGCCCGAGGCGAGTTCCTCAGCAATTGACAACTTCGGAATGTTACGAGGGCCAGCTGCGTGGCGAAGGTTGATGTGAGACCCACCGTTACCACCGTCAGTCTTTCCGTGTCAGTCATTTGCTTACTAGCTCCTTCTCTATAGTTGTGTCACTGGCCTCACCTCCAGCGAGAAATCCGAGCCTGTTTTGCTGAGTAGGGCTCAGACTGCACCCTATAATAAAGCTCCTTTCTTGACGAATTATGGCTTTTTTTCAATCTGGCGGCATCAAAGACAGAACAGTCTCAAAAATATTCTCGACTTACACTTGCAACCTGCGTTTGCCGATCCCGAAACAATTGCCTGGGTACCAGGTTGCAGTATGTCTTTCCACATAGTATTCTACATGATGTTTGATGATGGTGATACACCGTATAGTAAAAATCTATCGTATCACTATTCCAAGAATGAGACATGGCCTATTGGCAATCTCTATGATGAAGGGAAACCGATTGTCCAGGTCGCATGCTCAGTAAGTTGCGTTTCATAAAACAAGGAGGAGAGCTAAACATATAATCAGACCCATGCTACCCTAGCAGCAAACATTGGAGATGGTCGTAAAATCACCAAGCCCCAACATTGGCCTCAATATTGGACTATTCTCTACCTGAAACCAACTCGCGACCCACCTACCGCTCACACTTCTGAGAGTAATATGCCACAACTAGATTGGGACAGATTCGAGCCAAAAAAACGTAGAGCATTCTGTTCTAATGCTGGTTGAAAATTGTATGAAGCGGGCCACAGTATCATGGGGACTGTTGGTGGGCAACTTCGACGAATTCCTCGATGATGGGAAAGTATTCATGAAACCAAAGGAACATGACAATCTCTTGGTTGACGATGAAACATTCTCACGATCTCGCAAGTATTTTTGGACTTTGAGCTGTCTTTCGGAATTTGATCTCTGCATTGGGAATACCATCCATCAATGGAGGGCTTCCCGCGCCATATGGGAGAATGTTCTACCATCATATGATCCTATAGGATGGCCAGAAGCGTTACAACAGATGAAGCAGATCGAAACGTTGGTTGAGAAACTTGTGGCGTACAGAGAACGATTTAAGAGACATTACGAGCGTATATCTGCGTTGAGAGATGGGCTGTTTAATGCCAGCGCTGTGATGGAGAGCCGTGCTTCAACCAAGCTAGGTGGTGAGTCTACTATTCTGCCTCGTTACCCTCACAGCTTCGATTCTGACCAAAGGCAGAAAATGTCAAACTCTTGACTTTTGTCTCCATCTTTTTCCTTCCCCTAGCCTTCTGCACATCCCTCTGGAGCATCAACAATGACATCTTCCCTCTCACTACCCTTATTTACGTCATAATAATTGTCGCATTTAGCACATATTTCGTAGTCTTCAATCTCAACTCGATTGTTCGCCTTAGTGGCACTGTATACAACACCCAGAAGTCAGCTTTACTCACTCGGATGAAGTCAGATACATCCACTTACTGGAAGTCGAGAGGAGAGCGGTTTGAGACATTTTCCTTCCAGCCAAAAAGTAAAATAGTTAAGCCCTCTGAGTGGCTTGTTGGATTCTATTTTCTGAGGCTGGTTTTGGTATCTATCATAAATGGCGTGAGTAGAGTGCTAAAGATCCGGCGGCGTAGATAAGGCGGTGTTTAGGAATATTAATTAGGGGGCTAAAGAAAGTACGGCTACATTCTAGCTATGTTGGTTATTAACCTTACCTTTTTGCAATCCTCGCCCTACTTGCGGTACTCATTTCTGTCCACTCATTTTAGGCACAACAAACTAGGCCACATGCGCTGTCTTCGAGTTCACAAACACCGCTGAGTTATTGATGACTCCATGCGTGATATTCAGTTCAATTTGCTGCATTTACTCCCCTTGTCCCTGCTATTATTCTCTACGTTGGCTATCAAAGGATTAGCGTAAAAGACGCATGAGCGCGACTGTCTTAGAAATTCTGCGAAATCTGTTTGACTGAAGGTGGCTGGAAGACGTCATTGGCAGAATATCAAGTGATGAGCATTTACATCCTCCCACTTCCCAACCTAGCTAAGTAGGAGGTGATATTCCTCATGTCTTTTTCATTCCAAAAAGGCAGATTTCAGCAATGGAACATCTATGCGTATAATATACATTTTAGTTGCTACTAAAAACCTTGAAAGATAACAGAAAATTTTATAGATGGCTACTGTCGCAGCTCAACATTACACCCGCCTGTTATGGACATTACCATCGTAATTCGCTGCTTTTCAACTCCTACTAGCTCTACAAGCTCACCCCCAGGCAATTTAATCGTTGGAAACTTCTGTATAATCCTTACAACCGTGTACGCCGCTTCAGTGAGCGCAAAGTCCACTATCAACGCATAAGAATCAAGCTCATCTCGAGAGAAGAAAACTAGAAGAATGGTGGATACTTACTTCCGAGACATATCCGTGGCCCACCATTGAAAGGCAAATATCCCCATTTCGAATTCGTCTCGTTCTGGCTCAACCCCATCGGCTCGTCCCATCTTTCGGGACGGAAGAGCTCAGCGTCCATGCCATATAGATCGGGCAGTCGATGCATTGTGTATACACTGTATGCGACAGAGCTGCCTTTAGGAATGAGAACTGGAGATGTGCGATCTGGTCCACCGCCAGTTGGAAGGACAGTGGTGCACAGAGCAGTTCGTGCATTGACAGGCACGGGAGGATAAAGTCGAAGGGCTAGCTGACTTAGAACTTGTAAGTGTGGATTGTCAATTTGTGAAACTCACTTTCTTTGAGTACATGCTGAAGATACTTCACATTTCGAAGGTCAGTTCGGGTCAAATCTGTGTTGCCGTTGAGTTCAGAAATCTCAACCCGGAGCTTTTCGAGGACTTGTGGATGTCTGATAAGTAGGAAGAAGGTCCAAGAGAGAAGACAAGCTGTCGTATCTCTACCCGCAGTTAGGATATTGATTATTTGACTTCTCAGCGCGTTCCGATCTGGAGATTTCTTGGCCATTGCCCGCAGGAAAACATATTTCCTCCCTTCATCTTCTGTCATCTCATGTGAGAGATTGCGATCAATGATCTGGTCTGCCAAAAAGCGCACTTTCTCGCACGCGTCTCGGAATTCCTTCCCTCCAACTAGCCAATACAGATCAAGAAGTCGAAATCGCTTGGCAATGTATTCTTGTGCTACGTTGAAGGCCTCCGCAAATGTCTGCTTTCCGGTATTTTCTGGGGCCTTGAGACTTTCTATTGACTCCCCGAATAAGAATGCTGTTGTGACGTCTAGAGTGAGGCGAAAGAAAAGGGGCTGAAGATCCACAACCCTACTGGAAGCTGGTATGTTGTCCAAGAGATTGTCGCAAGCGTCACTGAACATTCCCAAGTCCGCATACTCCTTGAAGTGGAACTGTGGTCGAAGCAGCTCTCGTGATTGCTTCCACTCATGTCCGTCCTGGTTGAATATCCCATCCCCAAACATGGGAAATGTGATCTCCCGCCGAGGCCCCATTCCAAAATCTGCTTGGATTTAGCTCCAGTTGTATTTACTTGACTCTCAGCCGCGTTACCGAGCAGGCCATGATTTAATAACTGACCTCTGAAGTTGGAAGATAAGATAGCCTCCATGTTTGCTGGGTCAACGGTTCCAAATGCCGAATTTCCGAGGAATACTTGCTCCAATGTCCATCCTGTTTGTCGAAAGTGAAACAGGAAAAGTTCCATCAATCGTGATTCTGTGTTAGCACGGAAAATCTGTTCCAAGCGGTCCACGCCAAAAGGACGCTGATTATGGAGCCGGGGGGCTGGAAGACAGCCATGGAGTTCTCCTAACGCTTTATTTGCCTTCAGGGCACTCAGTTACATTCATTTCTTGAATTTTGGGAACCAAACCTGGCGCGGTTCCCTTTTCATCGGCCTGTAGTGTACGAATAAATATATGACGACAAAGGCAATCGGAAGCCGTAGATATATGTGTGTGTAATCCATGGCAGCAGCTGAAGAATTGTTAGACTGCTTTGAATGATATTGCCTCGAAATTATGTACCAACGTTTCTGGGAGGATGCACCAAGAGCCGCTCAAGACTTTGCGTATAGGTATTTGAAGCAATCTTCAGGCTCTATCCAGCCGCATCTACTATTTGGCCGTATTTGGCCTTCTTTTTCCCACCCTTTTAACTGGCAGGATTTAACAAATACAAGAGAGCATACTTAAAATCAGTAAGATGGCCTCTCTAGATATAGGTGAGGATTCAGAGCTGGACATTCCGAACACGGACGTGGATCACGCCAAGCATAATCTGCCCTTCCATTCCTTCCATTGTTCCTGCTCACGATACATTCCTGACAGGTCTGAGAAGTGACACACCCAAAGGCTACTTTCTACTTCCGTTCCAATGCCTTGAAATCCCGACACAGCGGGTGAGCAAGTAGTATAGCGCACACGGCGAGTAGAGCACACGGGTTGTAGGTAAGGCACGTGTAGGTACGAGTAGAGGCGAGGGTAAGCCCATTAGTAGATGGCCGCTTTATTACTATTATTACCGCTTAGTCAAGAGGAGTCGATACTGTTTAGCCGACCTATATAAAATAGTCCTCTCTATTATGTATAAATATATTAAAATAATCAATTGTACTTATCTTTATAGCTCGGAAATTGCCATCATTAGTCACTAGTACCTGAAAGAAGGCAGTGTTGAGGAAAGTGGGTGGACCTGAGACTGATCACATAATAAACCTTTGTTTTCGTTAAAAGGCCTCTTCGAGTTACTGCTATGATGTTGTACAACTCTGTGTGTATTAGCATGGCAAATAATATTTGTTGGTTGCTATGGTGAGCACTTCGTACCTGAAGACGTACTAAAAACGCGTAAAAATAGTTACCGCACCACGAAGTACAGGGGTGTCTTACAGTAGCGCGGTGGCCCGGGAGTTGTCCGGAGTAATAAGGTCGCGACGACACAGACCCGAGACGAACGCAATGGTCAATGCGAGCAATTACCTCTACTTTTACAACCACACTACTGTAACAACAAATCGATTTCCAAATACGGGGGCTTCCTGTAGCATATTTCAGCTACCACGACCACCACCTTGTTTATGATACCCACCGAAGAGATTCGAACGAGATCCCCGATATTACAGAGCTACCCATACCATATCCTCAGTCAAAACCACGGCGCTATTTCTAGGAAGGGTTGGCGGTTGTTTTTGTATTGGGAGGCAGACATGAGTGATGACCAGTCGAGGAACACAGGAGTCTCTGGTCCACCCGAAAATACACATACACACAGATTCTACAGGTACGTGGTTATCCGCTGAGTCGCTATTGAGTCGCCGTGGCAGCTATCCGGCGTCATGGTCTGCACACGGCGGGTTAGGAATCCCACAAAGACATGAACTTTGTGGATTCAAAAACAACCTGGAGTCTACCAAGCGGAAATTGAGAACATCGCTATTCTCCAGACTCTCTCTCAACTCTCCCTCAAGCCCCAAAATGGAGAAATCATTAGCTGACGATATTCTCAAAGAATTCGACCGCATCTTAGCTGGGGACGGCGTTGAAAGATTGGTAGGCCCCGTCGATGTACCTGCTCGAACACTCTCCCCAGTCTCCAGTAGAGCCATGAACAAGCTGAAGAAGCCTGCGCCAACGTCGTCCAACGAGCACCGAAGTATCTCGAAGAACTCGCCAAGCACGATCAGATCTGTGGCCTCGGAGCCCGTCCGCCTCGAATCAACTCCGGAGAGCAGCCAGCAGACTCAGGGCAACAATAGTTCTGAGATAATGCCACATTCGACGAAAGACCTCCCCGCTTTATCCACTCTTACCTCCCAACCTCCTTCAGCGTGGCAGAACTCAGTCCCGCGTGTTGGGAATGGCTTAGTACGGACGATGTCTTCTGAGTTCGGGGTGACTAGGACGCTCTCCAACTCGAACCTGCGCACCGCAGATGATGGCCCCTCCAACACCAATGGTAACACAACGTCGCCGGTCCTAAGCCCAGGAGGAGCCGCCCCACAATGGAGCTCTGCTGTCGGTCGGGCGAACCTAGGGAAGTCTGGGAGAGTCATCGAACGGTTGATGGGAGAAAATGATATGCTCAGACGCGATCTCAACATTGAGCGCCTCAGAGCGGAGGAAATGAGGCAAGCAGTCAAAATGGCCGAGGGCAGGATGGAAGCCTTAACCCAAGAACATGAGGGAAAACTACATGAAGCCGCTATCAACAAGACCCTCTTGAAAAGAAAGGAACGTCAAGTGGATGATTTAAAGGCCCAAATCGATGGTGAGAAGCGAAAGGCAAACAATGCGATGGAGAGCGAACGCACGTGGAGAGACGCGATGGAAAAATTGGAGGAGGAGAGTAAGAGAAAGGTTGAGGAGGCACAGACTATTGCTACGCTAATGGAGGGGAGAAATAATACGATGACTGGTCACTGGAGGGAGCAGGGTGAAGAAGTCCAGCGGGCAATCAACAAGCACAAGAAGGTTATCGAAGTTATAGTTGAGCGGAGGATAAGTGACGACAAGAGAATCAACCTTTTGCAAATTGTGTGCGATCAGCGAGCGGCAGCGACTGAAATCCTAGAGAACAAGAATGCGGAGATCCAGGCTGCTTTCGACGAATACAAGCGAGTGCAAGAAGAAGGATTGGCCGACATCAAGCGCAATGCGAGAGAACGAGAAGAGAGACAGGAAGCAATTATCGAGGAGTCACAGCGGGTGTTAGGAGAATTGAAGTGGGCTTTGGGAGTACAGAAGAACTTACGTGATCCATGAGGGAATGGCGCCGAGGCGGTTTTACGATTTGCAGATTCTTGCCACCAACGACCTATTATTGGGCGGTTTTAATGATTGTTACATATCCACATGTGTATAACGGGGGGGCCTTTAACGACATGCTGCTCGACCATGAGCCCTTTCTTCTAACGACATAAGATTGCATTTGGGATTTGCTCGATATGACCTGGAGCTTATTCACATCCACAGGGGCTGGAATGAAAGGTGTCTGGGAGTTTACTATTTCGTTGCTTTTGCTTTCGGCACTTGCTGGTGGAGAGGAGTGGCAGCGGCGGTCGCGGTAGCGCAACCTACTACTACATTGCCAGCTGCCTTTGTATGAATATCAAGACATAGCTGTACAGAGAAAGCATCGGACTGCGGGCATAAGATAGAGCTCTTTTAATGAATCAACGAGGTGCTTTTGCATTACATGGATAAGGTGTTTGGGGACGTACTACCTTCAAGTACCCCCCCCGCCGCAGAATAGGATAACTATAGCCCTTGCATTTGGAATATTCCACTCGTGGCCTGGAGAGGGAACGAGGTCTATATTCGGATAAGACTACTGCAAGAGCTAATGAGAGTACGGAGTTGCAACTTTGCCACACTTTCGCAATACAAATGCCTCCTCTCGACCCTATTATCAATGCGCGTAAATGCCCAGGGACCACCATCAAGATGGCTGATAGGTGCTATGTGTTGGTGAAGGGGTTATTTGGGCCTTATCCAGAGGGCGTTTAAACAACCCGAGTCTACATGAAAGCGTTTCCTCAGTGTTCCCCCCAGCTTTCATCCCATGTTTTCCAATACTTGTTCTTCGGGTTATTGGCTAGAAAGAAACAGCAGAGCAGTAAGGACTTTAAACTTCTGGTAGGCCTTAGTGCTCGGGATCTCAAGTTGGCGTGAAGTAGTGGCGGGTAAGCTGTGGGTCGATGGTTGAGCCAGTGCTGAACTTTTCCCATGGCTGTCTTTGCGTTGAGCTCTTTAATATGGAGGAGATTCCAACAGCAGCAGTCCTCTATTCAGGTCTGTCTCGTGCGATTAGACCAGCAGGCTGGGAGCGATGTCTCATGGAACTAAGAGGCCGTCAGTCCACGTCGTTAGCATCTGTGCTTGAACCAACGCACCTGTGATCGATAACTTGCTGAGTTTCATAAGACGTGTCTCCCAGAAGAACGTCGTCCTTAAGAGAGTATCTAGTCATCAACAGTAACAGATTCAATAGGGCGGTATGCCCTCCCGTTGTTGCGGCGACACGCATCACATAACACACAACACACAAGGAAACGTCGCTGCTGTTTGCTGAGGCGGTTTCCTTCCCGAAACAAATAAGCACGACCAAACGAAAACAACACTCTCCCTCACTTTTACTTGACCATCCACCTCAAGCAGTACTTGTTCAACTTCATCCACTGCAAGTATACATCATGGCTCCTCCAAGATCTGGAGCGAGCGGCTACCAATCCCCCAATCGTGGAAGACCTGCCTCTTCAATTCGCAGCTCAGCAATTCCACTCGACAAGTACCTAGTATTTGGCGGCGATTGGTATTTCCGTAAGGATGGTATCGTAGACGTCAAGAATCGATTCCAAGCAGCATTGCAAACGGAGGGCAAGGTAAGTTCTTCTTTCACCCCGAATCTCCATGCACTCCCGTTCCCGGAGTCCATATTCTGTTTGATATCACATGTTAAGCAGGCCGAGCAAACCAACATCAACACCAAACTCCGCTCAGTTAATGCTCTCTGGCTTAGGTGATGCTAATGGTCGATCTGATGCTAATAATGGTTTCTGTAGGCCGCCAAGTGCGAGTGGAATGACGAAACTTACACCTTCGACATCACTTGCAGCCCCCAGGATGCCAAACTTGTCCACCACCTGTTCTTCGGTGCTATATCTAGTGTAATTAAGGAGGAAGAACAGAAGAATGGTATTCGTGAGGCAGTTATTTGCCCTGAGCGCAATGAATCGGACAGCGACAGCGACAGCAGCAACTGTTCAGATTCAGATTCCAATGAGAGCGATGCTGCCATGAGAGTAGATGAAGATGGGCCGGTAAGTCCTCTGCGATTCAACCGCGCTATCACTTTACTAATACTTCCCAAGATCGAGAGCTGGAAGATCCAACGTCTTACGGCTTGGATGGCTCAACAGGGACTCCAGCCTGGCCCGCAGTTTGGTGCTGCAGCTCAGGAACTCGACTCCACTAAGACATCCGCTGACCAGTATCCTCCTGAGATCGTGAACTTGCAATTCAAGCATATCTGGCGCTCGGGGGCAGACATTCATTGCGTAACCGATGGCGATCTTCAGCAATTGAACCAATTGACAGGCTGTCAGCTTGTGAAAGGTCTGGACGGCGGCATGGTCTATATCGGTGCTGGTGCAGAGCAGGATATTCATCTGGCTGTCTTGAAGTTGGATAACATTCGCAAGTATTCGGTTGGTTACGTCTTGTGCGCGGAATTCCCACCTTCTAACTTGATACCCAGGGCCCAAAGACATACAATGCTCACCTTTTTTACACCGAAGAAACAGAAGACTTCGAACTCGCCTTCAAATATTTAACAGGCGTAAAGATATCCAAGAAACGGTTCTTCCAGACCACCTTACTCGACAATGTGGAAGAGTTATCCAGCGACATAAACAATTACGACAATCTTGACAAAGCTCTTACTATTCGCTGCGCACCCTGGGTCCCCCATCAATCATTGCCTCACAAGAGCCAGTATATGCCAACGAGTACCGTCAAACTTCCGGTATCGATCACAAAAGGGGAGGACAAGGGCAAAGAGCGAGAAGAGTGGGTTGGGTTTATTTTCAACCAAAACCAGAGCTGCTCGGGTAATCCCTTGAGGCACTTTTCTCTGCAACAGCCCGAGGACAATGCTTTGAAGGGAATTGCCGCAAAACCATCCAAAGACAAGGCGTTAGAGACAGCCCACCAACCTCGCCAGTTAGAGAGCGACCCAAAGGTTGCTGAGATTGAGAGGTGGAATGCCCATGTTCCAAAGGCGGCCCCGGTGACCCCCAAATCAGCTAAGGTTGAACTACCAGTGACGAATCGGAAGCCTTTTTGGGATAGTTATAGGGAATGGGGTTCTAAGCCAGATAAAGAGGCCGCTCCTTTGAGACAATCTCCAGCATCAGCTGCGAATACCATTGGTGGCAACGGCCCGCTGTCCCCAATTGGCACAAGCCATAATTTGCCTGCTGTGGCTCTGAGACAAGAGCAGAAAGCCAGGGCGAAGAAACCCGAGGAAACCAAGGCGCCTAGGAATGTTTCTGGTGGCGATAGGCGCTCTTCGTCAATGAAAACAACTCCGAATAACAATCTGGTGAAGGTTGGTGCTGTCGCTACACCACTTCCTAACGAGCCCATACGTTGCAGCCTCCTCGATGAAGGCATATCTAACCTGGGATCCGGGTTTGAACCACTTACTCCAGTCCAGCAATTTCCAATTGATAGTTTGCAGGCCGTCGATGAAGTTGGTACTAGGACCTACCGGAGCACGATGAACCAGAAGGCCGGTAAACCCAGAAACTCGATGACTAACAATCAAAATCCAACTCGAGGACGACTTCCACTTCCCAGCCCACCAAGATATAGAGAGAGCAAGACTGTCGAAGATCCCCCTGCAGATCCTACCATAGACTTTGTGGAAACGTTCAAGACAAACTTTGACATGATGATGCAGGAACTCCGTGGATTTCGAGGGTCAATGGCAGTCGAGGCTGAGTTTGGCCGCATTCTTATCAGAGACGTCAAGTCCAAACTCGTCGCGGACAAAGACATGCCGGATTTAACAATGGATCGTAAGAAATTGGACTTTGTGTTAAGCCCCTCGCCATTTCCTAACGGCAGCCAGCCATCGGCATCATTCACCAACAAGCTTACTACTTCGGCCGCGGATTCCGATGACCTTGTGAAGATGAAAAAGTCTGATGGAACGGCACTTTGGGAGTCAAGAATCAGTTTTCCTTGGGAAATCATTTACGAGTTTATTTTTCATGACATCAATCCCGGAATGCCTCGTGAGCCATTCACAATTGAAATCGACGGCGAGCGCTTCTCATCCGAAATCAAGTTCCGCCAAGACATGGGAAGCATCTTTGTCCACGGGGCTAAGAGGCACTGGGACTTCAGGGTCGTTGCCAGTGGAGTTGAAAACAACCAGGATTTAAAGGATAGGTACCGTCCGCTCGAGGAAGCTATACGCGAGTCTCTTTTCGTTCCGTACGTATGCAAGAGCCTCCACTGTTACATGACTGATATTTTTAGACCTAATGCACGGAAACCGGAGCTCTGTTTTGAGTTAAGCAAATCTCTTCGCAACAAGTTCAAGCTCGATGAAATCCGCGTTCACCGAATTAGCCGGTACAGGAGCAGGGACCGGAATTCAGTTCTTAAAATCTCCGAAATCCAAGCCCTAGACACCAATGCCAGAGGAGTTCCTGAGATGGACCTAGTCGTGTTCAAGGCATGGCTCAACACCATCCAATCGAGAAAGGCCTGTCAGAAACTTGATTCTTGGTACCAAGCCAGCATCTCATGTATCAAGGCACATGAAATGCTCAAAGAAAATAAAACTCTTGAACTGGGTGAGGAGGCAGGTTGGACACCCGTTAGCCTCTCGCGGATCGATACCGCTAAAGCTTTGGTTGTGCCGGCCTGTCAGATGCTGAAGCAGATGGATGCCATTGGCTATCACAACGACAATGGTGTCGAGCGTAAGACCCGTGCCCCACCGCCCACACCTGCCGGAACCAAAGCTCCTGAGCCGGAGATCATGTTCTGGTAAGCTCAAGTTGTGAATAAATTTGCGGCTGGTCCTTTCTGTTCATTACACCCAAGGTACTAGCTACTGTCATTGCGTCGTTCGAACTATGATCTAGCTGTCAGTGCGTTTTGGAGCGTTAGATGCTAGCACACTGTTATTAGAGCATATTTGGAGCTGGCGTTTTGTACATTAGATTAGAGTCTCGGTTACTTTTATGGGCTCTTGGAATGATGCTTTGCTTACCTAGGTAGACGGTCATCATAACATTCTGTAGTAGCTATACACCAGGTACCTGAAATACAAATCCAATATTCTCCTCACCTGCTCAGCTTCCGACCTTAGCAATTTAATTCCTTGTATTTTTGCTGTCCAGCGTATACAGCTTTAGAAATATTATGACTAAGTCATGCCCGCAACAAAGCTATGCCCTACTTACATATGATTTCACCTAATTAACCTTGCGTAGGTAGTGAATAACCAAAACGGCTATGGCGTGGCCGATGATAAAACTTCATACGACTCAAATGAAACTAACCAGAACCACAAGGTGACAAGGTATTGTGCAGCGCATAGCCGCCTTTGCCTACTAACGATATTGACTAACCATCTCTAGTCTTTGCACATCCTCGGGCCCCCTTTCGAATCGTTTAGGAGCCTTTTCACCTTTGCAACTCTATCTTTGGACCCAGATCTTTAGCCTTTAATCCTTCACATCTCTAAGTAAGTATCCTGGTTGAAGTCTATAATATCGTTAACAATTCTGTAGAATATCTGCTGTTAATAACTCGAATCTCTTAATAACCTTTCAACATCCCTCTAGGTTAGGTTAGAAAATTAAAAACGCTAGAACTGTTCGATAAAGGTATAGGTCGGGCCCTGAGTGCAGACTGCACTATATTCCTAGTAGGAAGTGAGGTTGGATGTCACCGGGGCAGAGAAATTGCCTTGGTGGCGTATATCTATGGAGTCATTAGAATCAGATGCACTAGATTCGATTTCGGCAAGAAGACAAAATTTGCAGATTGTATCGTCTTTCCATAGCTGGAAGAAGCTAGTCGTGCTATTCCGTCGTAATGCACCGCATGTTACTACGCTAGTATGGCTTAGATGAATAGAGGCCCTACAATCAACCAGCTTCGTGGCATAGATAGAGAACCTAAAGACCATCCACAAACCTGTGCCAAGGTTTTAACATACCGGTCCGACTACTCAAGGATAATGCCCTAATACTACTATATATGTTAACTCTAAAGCCAAAGGGTTACCAGCTATTTGCCGCGTTCTGGATATTGACGCAGCAGCTAAGGCGGCTTCATCTGCGACGAGACGGGGCTGGGAAAGACATTGACAGTGATACTATGTATATGCCTAAACGTGTATCTGGGGCTCTTTGCACCTAGCCTTTCCAATCCTTTGCCGTCTCCTCAACCGATATACCTAAACTCCCTTCACCAAACTGACAAAACAATATATATTTGACAGCATATACCTACCTGACAAACTTGCCTTGTATCCTCTAGAGCCTATATGGTAAGTTTACCTCTGACCAACCTAGTATCACGATCTACACCGTCGTTAGAGCTGATTGATCCCATAATTGATGTCTATTATCCATATCTGGGATTAGCTCCAGCTACTTCCTTTTGAATTTCCCTGTGGTCATTCCATGGAACTTGGGAAGGTTGTTTTCGATAGATCGCCTAGACATTCGTTGTCGACGTTGCCTTTATGATCTTGTAATAGTTGACTAGTTCCACATAGCTGCATGCCCTGCTATATTCACCCATGCCCATTCCATACGTTGCTTAGTTGGGTTTTAAGGTATATGTGTAGCACGATACATCGGGGGAAAGGGGATAACAAATAGTGTACTCAGACACAAAAACTGGCCGATATAAAGATGGTTTAACAGCGAGACGTAGAGTAGCTAATGACTATCCCATTCTACATCTCACATCTTATACTACCCAAACAGCCTTCCCCAACTTATTTCTCTATGACGCAGTTAAACATAGGACGGGACGGCTCTGTTTAAATCATCTAGCACCAAGCGTACTACGTAGGTACATATACATCTTATGTATTTTTACGAAACAACATAAGAAAATACAACACATAGAGACCGCAGATTTCAATTTAATGTTTTATATTGCAAACGATGCTGCCATATCACGCATACAAGTCTACAACAATTCCAACATGTCACACCCATCCGTTTCCGTCATAGGAATAAATAAGTATAGGCGTCAGATATCTCTCCTTCCCATCCCCATCCAAGTCCATTCTATCCCCTCAAAATGTACCTGTATCCACCCCCAGCCCTTCCGTCCCCCATTTCCCCCTACCCTATGTCCAACTAAAAATAAACAAAGGTCCCCAGGTCATGTGGGTGTATTTAACTCGCCAAATTTAAGTCACCAACCATCCTCGTAACCCCCCTGATTAAGATGTACATAAGAAAGGCAATCGGGGAAAATTTTGTAGAGTGGATGATTTGGCCCCTTCCTTGGCCCATAAAATCGCAAAACGAAGGAAAAAAAGAAAGAGTTAACATGATCATGTTTTGTAAAATTCGGCAGCAACGAAGCAGAAGACAAAACCACACAGCAGCGTGTGTAAATGCAGTGCAACAAAAGCTGGCCACGAGCGCCCCTGAACCCGTTACAAACGCCGTTTCTCTTATTCCCATCGAAGAATCCCGACCACCATAGATCCCTCCGCCCCGTAAACGCCGCGCTGAGTAGTTCCTGACGACTAAAAACAAAAAAGAGCACAAGAAAATTGATAAGGCGCCATGGTAGGCAGCGGTAGTTGAAATAAAGATTGGCAAAAACGGTTAATGGAAGTACAAGTCTACCGAGTAGGCGTATTGCCATGACTCATGTAGTCGGGTGTATGTGAGGCCACTGCACGTGGGGTTGGCTCTTCGTCGGTAGGATCGATGTCTGCAGAGGACTTAGGCGTTTGGTTCACGTCGACCTCGGTTACCCTACCACCCGGCGAAGTGAACGGTTCTGGAGGCGTCAAAGCTGCTTTGGTGATCTCAGGTGTTAGGGCGGCTTCCTCGGATACCGTGGGTGGTGGTTCGACGGCTTCAGTCCCTGCTGTTACGTCTGGTGTAGATACCACACTTCCCCGGCTATTCGTGCGCATCATCTCGGTGCCGAGCTTCGATCCTCGGTGAGCCTTTGTGGTTTGCTTTGGGCTCTTCTCGCGTGCACTGCCCCCGAGCTCGTCATCCTCATCGTCTCCAGACTCGGCACATTCATGACGGTGCTTCTCCATCGATTCCCTCTTGGCCTTCATTTTTTCGGTTGATCGCTGCCGAAGTGGAATCTTCTGGGGGTGCTCCAGTCGACCAGGAGCGGATTGCTCGTGCAGGATACGTAGAGGGAGTTGCTTCGGAATGTCACGACCCTCAAGAATAGACTCTTCGTTTCGGATTCCAAGACCCGAAGGGTCATCCCACTCACCGGTTGACTTCCGGTCAATAATGATAGGAAGCTCATCATTCATGAGCGACTCTGTATCTCCAAAAAGGCTAGAGCTTATAGAGTCTTCGCGGCTTGAGCCTCTGAAACTACCTCCTGGCACATGAGCATATCCTGAAGAGCCAGATGTTGGGCTATCATCAAGCCGAAGGCTTTCTTGGCGCAACCCCGAAGGTTGTGGGTAACCTAAGGGGGCTGATGGACTCTGACCTGGCTCAGGAGCCTTCCACTGACAAAGTCTGCACAAGACTTCTGTCAGCTTCGAGGTAGTTGGCGGCTTCTCAATCAGAGCGTCAAAATGATGAGGTGCTTGGAGCTCCTTCAAGTATCCGGTAACCGCAACGATAGGTGTATTGGAGTTTGCGCTCTTCGTATCTCGAATCATTCGTGCAACATCTGCTCCGTTGATCTGAGGTAATTTGAATTCCATGAGGATGATGTCAAATTTGATGTCGCCCACAGCATACCGCAGCGCCTCGGTTCCATTGCTGACAGTGATGGTGCGGCATCTCAACTTCTCAAGAAGCTTCTCCATGACCATTCTTGAAACGGGATGATCTTCGCAGATGAGCACATCCAAGGGGCGAAAGACGGGTCCATCTCCTGGATTAATCTGTGACATGCGTCTTGAGCTCTGGCGTCGCCTTTGAACGCGAAGTAAAGCATTCGCTTTGTCGCCTTCATTATCTGATGACGATGGTGACATGTCGAAGACTTGACTCCTGCGCTTCCGGTGGGAGAAGAGGTCGGCTGTACTAGGACTGCCCTCTTGAGAGCCAACAGTTTGAGATCGGGCCCGTGTCGAAGAACCACTTGACTGTCGGGGAGTGGACATCTTCTGGGGTGATATAGCTAATGGCGGAGGGCCGTTTCCACGAGCCTTGATTGGTGATGCCGCAGCTGAGCTACTGGCCTTCTGAAGAGTTGGAGGCATGCGAGGTAGGTCGAAGAAGCTGCCAGGGGCAAGGGAATTGCCCGATGGATTAGACAGACCTGAGCCGCCGTTGCTGGATGCTTTGCGTTTGCCTTCCCCGTTCAGACCCGCAACGAACGATACGAGGAGGGGAGAAGATGGCTGAGAAGCTCTATTAGGTGATGAGTTGGCTTGGCCCAGTCCTGATGGAGACGAGGGACGATTCACAACTTTGGCATCCGAAAGCGTCCTTTGTATGGGCATTGGTAGGATGGGGCTGCGTTCCAAAGTTGGTCCTGGCGAAGTGGCACTGGGAGGCCCTGAGCCGGGAGATGTAACGGATTTGCTTTGTGCAGCCATTGCCTCGGCGCGAAGCTTCTGAATAACATCTTTGTTTGCCTTTTCTAGCACTGGCAAATTCTTGAACGCAAAATTGCCGAAGTCATCAGCAACGACAGGTTCGCTAAGCCTGCGACTCTTGGAGTCCCGCACGTGCGGCGGAATGTGCAACGGCATCAGGCCGCGCTTGATGGAGTTTACTTGAGATCTGACACGGGACAACGCATCGTGAGGTCGTTCCTGGTAGTCGCCTGGGGTCGAGGTTGGGGGTGAAGATTGATCCTCGAGCTCTTCAGCAAAAGCTTGTAGAGTAGCGCCACGAGCATCAAAATACTCGGTGTCCTCTGGGTTCTCGGGTGCTGGAACAAATTGCGCATCATCATGCAGAAGCTTATCCCAATCTATGCCCTCAAACCACGGGGAATTTCGAATTTCCTCTCCACCACAGCAGTACTTCTCGCTGGTGTTCCCGCCGAGCCGCTCGCGTGGGTCAAGACAGAGAAGCTTGTTCATCAAATCCTTTGCCTCGGGAGAAACTTCGGCCTCGTCATCATCTGGCCAAGAAATCCTGCGTGCAAGTATGTTCTCAAATACTTCATCTGGAGTTCCAGCATGGAATGGAGGATAGCCATATAGGAACTCAAACATAATACACCCGACGGACCACCAATCACTCATCTCATCCTGACCAACACCTTTCACGGTTTCAGGGGCCAAGTAATCCGGCGTCCCCACAAAGCGCCGATTGGTATCATCAGGGTCGAACAGAGCCATTGGCGGAGGCATCATACTCGTTTGTGGTGGCGTATTATTCTTGTTCTCGGAGCTTGAATGGGTCGACGTGTGGTGGAGAGACAAAAAATCTGGCGACCCGCCTTCATTCTCACTCATTTCGTCCACAGTTGGTCTCCTCTGGTTCATCCATTGTTGTCCCTGGGTATCATTAAGAGAAAAGCTTGTAAATAAATTGCTCAGAGACTCGCTGTTGCCACTGTCACTTCTGACAGAAGCCCGTCGAGAATCCTTACTGAATGTGTTCTCTCGAGTGAGACTGAAATATGACGGAGTGCTTAGAATTGGCGCGAGATCTGGCGTCATTTGCGGAGTGGAACCGGGGGAGTGATGACCTTGGAAATCGAACGAAGTCGAACGAGACGAGCTTATCGACGTCGTACGTGCAAACGGCCCTTGTTTGAGCAAATCAGGTGCCGATTCATTTGTAGTACTGTTAAGAACTCGCTTTTGACGACCGATCAATCCCATCCTTGAGAGCCCAAAATCGGTCAGCTTAAGATGACCTTTTTGATCGATGAGAAGATTATCAGGCTTCAGATCTCTATGGACAATTCCTCGATTGTGAAGATGCTCCACACCAAGAATGACTTCACCAAGATACTTCTTAGCCCAATCCTCAGGCAAGCCCCCTAGCACCTTGATGAGAGATGCACAATCTCCGCCATTCAGATACTCCATGACCAAGTATAGATAATCTTTACTCGAGAATGTCCAATAAAGCTTTGCAACAAAATCACTTTCACCCTGCCACATCATAATAGCCCGCTCTGCCTTGACATTTGTGACTTGATTTTTTGCAACCATATCAGCCTTCTTTAACACCTTGATCGCATAGTAGTCGCCAGTAGATCTCTTCTTCGCCAAGTAGACGCTTCCAAATGCGCCCTTGCTTATCGGTTTGATGATCTCGAAATCCTTGATTGACGGCGGGACAGCTCTAGCTTGGGGAGCGCTGACGGCACTCATGCGAGGCGACGGTGGAGGACGAGACGGGTCCGAACCAGCAGCTGAGGACTGACGTCTGTGATGGTGCGGTATCAGAGCAGGCGAACTGAACTCACTGCCCGGCAGCATAGGAGATGCTGTTGGGGAGACGATCCCCTCGTGAGCAATTGGCAATGAGCGTGGTTTAGTTATTCTTAGGGGTGACGATGGAGGCATCCTAACAGGAGACTCCTGTCGGTGCGGCGAAGATGTCCCTGGAATAATTATGCTTCTCCGGTGTCGTTGACGAGAGCTTGCGGCTCGACGAAGGTCTCCAAATTCAGATACAGGCGATTCCGTTCGTGCAGGTGGCCTAGACATTAAGGATGATGATCTAACGCTTGCTTCGCTATCTCCAGCATCGCTCTCAAAGTACAAAGACTGTCGCCGAGAGCCTTGAGATTGTCCGAGGATGCTCATCGGGCCTTGGGACCTGGGAGTTGGGCATTCTTTGGGGCTACTTGATCTTACTGAACCACCGTTCGACGCAGATCGATTGCCCTCTGTATGCCGTCCTAACTCAGCATCCCGAAGAGCACATGCAAGCGGTGATGGACCCTCAAACGATCCAGAGAAGAAGCCATCATCGTTGGCGGGCGTCTTCTCGTCTTCCTCGGATTCGGAATCACTGAGTTCGCCAGCAGCAATTCGAGCAGCTTTTCGCATAGCTTCCTCAATGCAATCTTGAACAATGACTGAAAACTCCATACGAATGCGCTCGGAGTACTCGATGATTCTGCGATGGCGAAGGACAGCCTCAACTTTCGCCTTCGCTGCCCTCTCACTATCAGCACAGAGCAATGCTAACCCTTGCTCTTGCTCGAGCGTGTTTGTGCTGGGGGACTGCCATTGTATGACCTGAGATAGCCGAGATTCTGATTGAGGGGATTGGGTGCGAAACTCGCCAGGAGCTTGCGAGAGTGCCTCTTTGATAGCCGGAGTGCTAATCTCGATGGATGTATCACACAGATCAAGTAACAGTTCGACGATTCTTGCCTGTGGCCGTCGCACGGCGAAAGATCGTGCACGAGCATGACCAAACCCAGTGGAGGACGAATCTCGAGATCTAGCCGGCGTACCAGGGGAAGCTGTGCCAGAGGATGAAGCCGGTGATGGCGCGGGACCAATCGGCATGCCCTTATACTCAGCTTGAGGTGGTGCCAAAGACTGCAGTTCACCGACATTGCCTCTAGCCCTCCGAGCTTCCAGAGCATCTAGTACTTTGACAATGGCGTGCCGATGCTCAATGAGATTTTCTTGACACATTTGGACTTCCATCTCTGCCTTGTGTTCCTGAAGACACAGCTCGGTATGCTTCTCAAACCACCATGGGGGGATTTGACGTTCACAGATGCGGCATAGGACCGGGAGAGGCGGGGCGTGATGTGCTGGATCTCGAAGACCGACTTCAGCTAGGGTTGTGAGGTAACTTGCGAGAACCTCGGCGCCCGAACCGAGAGAATCGACAATCACAGCTGGTAGGTCGATTTGAATCTCGCGAGGTGCAATCCAGGGCCGTATCATCCACATGGTCTACACAGCACAATTAGCTTTTGATAGTCTAGATAAACAGGCAAACTTACATGACTTTCTCCTCCGGATGAACGATCATAGACCATAATTCCCTGGCCTTCCAAATCAATTGTAGCAGGAGGCTCGACCTCATTGGCAGGTTCTTCGCCGCCCTCCAACTGATCCGGAACCTCGACAGGTCTCAGCTTCGACGCCGGACCTAATTCAACCGTGAATCTGATAATTTGGCTGCGGGAATCATCCTTCTTCATGGACTCGACCACCTCTGAGAAGACCTCATTATTGTCACTAACCACAAAACTCTTGATCGGCTTCCCTTGGATCGACTCGAGTGGTGTGCCGATTACGTCCACCCACGAGGGACTGACCCACCTGATGTTGCCATCCAGACTGAGATCCATGACAACATTCAGGGTTTGCTCTGCTGCCTCACGAAGGTCTTCTCTCTCTTCGCGGATATCGGCACTCAGAGAACGCTCCATCTGATCACCAGCCTGCGCCCGCAGGTGGGACACAACTGGTGGTGCCAGTGTGCTTGGTTTTTCCTCCTCCATTGGTGTGATTAAAGAGATTCCTCCGAATCACCCCTTCCTTGCCCACATTGACCGTGCCTTTGCCGTGCCGTTTGTTGTTGTTGTTCGGAATGCCCAGGGACCCAGAATGACATGCCCTCGGTGTATCATACGCGTCGTCGTCGTCGGCGTTGTCGTGCCAGAAACCGTGGTGTTGTTGTGTTGCAATGTCCGCCTCCGCCAGTGGGCAGCGATCTTGGGCACTAACAGCGGGAGAGGCTTGGAGACATCGTGGTGGGTGAGGTTGACGTCCCGTGGTGTTGTCGCCGTCGCGCTGCGAAGCAATTGTGCTGCGGCGGTGGGCGCTGGCGTGCGTGGGGAGAGCGGGGGAAACCTGCTCCAGTGAAGGAGAAGAGAACCGCGGCTCTCAACGGGAGGCTCTATCGCCGTGGGAGCGCAGCGGGCAACGAACGGGTTGGAGTTGGCGTTGAAGCAGTTGCTGGTGGCCGAGGATGTGTCAGAGGCTCAGAGGCAGAGGAATAATGTCGTTGCGAGAAGAAGTTCCGGTTGATGGCCTCGCGTAGGTTTTGTTGTTAGGGATTGGATCGTCGCCCTGCTGATTGACTTTGGCGATGGGCTCAGACAGGCATATCCGCCGTGCTAAGGCAGGGATGAGGGAAACCAAACAAAGGACTTGGCCGGGGAGGGTGATTGTTTTGGAGGGCGTTTGCTTGGGATTGAGCAAATGCGACGTATAGAGAGTCTGGCGATATAGGTAGAAACAGCGAGCGGAATGCGGTCAACTGAGCACCTCTAGGTACAGTAGGTAAGTAGTGGTTTATTAATTGCCAAAGTATCAAGAGCAGCCAGAGCCATGTGAAGCCAAACAACGGGCGCTAATAGGAACAAGAGGAAACTATGCGGTCACTCCCAAGCACGGCGCCTTATTAGACCTTATTAGACCTTACTTGCCTTAGGTTAGGTAGGTTAGCTACCTGGTGCTCAAGACGGCTTAAAGCAGCGTCTTCCTAAGTGGTTGCTCCGTCTCTCTTATTAGCTATTGTTTGGGCATAGGCACGTTGTATTATGGCTTCAATTGCCTCTGCGGCACATAGAGCACACCACTCGCAACACACTGCCTGCATGCACCACAACTGCATTGCCATGGTGCAGCCGTTCTTTTGCTGTTATTAATTGCGGTGCATTAATAATTGCATTACGACGTGCTACGTACGAGTACAGTCGAGACTGGAGACTCGAGACAGCACACATTACGCACCACACCAGGACAGGCCCAGCTGCTAATGCTGGTCCCGACTCATGCTCCCAAGAGCCCTTCTTGCTGAGGGACTTGCTATTGGCCCATTCCCACGCCGTCGCATGCCAACTGCAGGGTGATCTGTAATTATCCAGATGAAAATAAACACATCCGCTTCTGCCACTGCTTACCCATCGGTCGCTGGCCCCTGGCAGGTGTAGCGACCGAAGCTTTGGGATAGGCCTGGAGGTGTTACTGCGCTCCGTCCGCCGGTGATGATGTCGTGAGGGGGGGTTGTCGGAGTCAGTCGGTGGTGAGAAAGAGAACGAACACAGGCTCTTGACAGTGGGAGCAGGAGTATATCTACAGTGAATACTAAAGAGGAAGTGCAAACCCCAGTTAGCTTTATGTGCCTTTATCCAATGCAGGATTGGAGGCCCTGCAGGTGATATTATTCTACGCACAGGAACTATAATACAATATCCATAGCAACATATATCCATATGATGCCATCAACAGCAGGTTGTACAAACATCGCCTACAGCACTATAAACTGGTGAAACCAGGCGTACCTACATTCTATCAACATTCCTGCAACTATCAACACCACATTGCCTAACATCACATGTTTCAGTATTGAAAAGAGCCCATATATCAGGTGTTCTAGACTCTCCGATCTGGTGTTTGGGAGAGACATTCTTGTATGTCTCATGTTTTGCTGTGCATTTACGAATCCGGCCCGCCAATACAGGTCGCCGTTGGGTCTTGTGTTTTGCATCCTCCATTTCCTCCTCTAAATTATTTACAACATTCTCGCCCTCCCTCCACTACCTTATTACCTTGCCTATGCCAACTGCCGCTCCTCAATTATCCCCTTCCCCCCTCCAATCCTCCCGTGGAAACTTGGAAGGAGACCTGGAAACCCCGAGGAATTCTTGCAAACCGGACCGCATCTACGTTTCGACGATCCTCGCACACCACCTCCGGCCGGCATGCCCGTCTTTCTTTACGGTCTCATCCACATCAGCATCAGCATCTCCAAGTCCCATCCCCGTCTTCACACCGCCCCTGTTCCCAGCCAGTAGCAGGAGGCATGGCGCTGCCCCAAGAGCATGGACTGCTGCGATGGACGGCTCATAGGGACAGGAGTCACTAGTCGCACAAGTGACACCGCAGTCGCCTTACAACGGGCGGCCAACATGATTGACGAGCGATAGAGGCAAACATGATCCGGGCCCCACGGTGCATCGGTGGCTTGCATACCGCGAGCAGCGGCGATAGACAACGATAGACACGATAGACTACCTACTCGATAGACTCGAGAGAACATGTTGTTGATCCGTGGGATAACGACGTTTCTCCTGATCGTCCATCCGCGTCCGAGTTTCAACCACGATCGCCGTCAGCACTACATCACCTTCAAGGTACTGCGCATGTCGATGCCGACTATCAGCGCTTCAACCTCCGCCTCCTGCCCCCCTCCTCGAGTCTGACATATCGCTCTCGACGTCGAACCCTTCAGAGGGAATTCCAAGCCGAAAGCCCCCTTGGAGACCCTGCCGACATCTGGGTTCTTGGTCGGCCGCGTTGCCGTTGCCAGTTGGCGTATCAGTCACCAGGTCGGCTCGCCGACACCGTGTGGTCGCACCGCTACCACTACCAACTCGAGGAGATTCTGCCTCGGTGCCGCCTGCTGCGGTGTTCCCCTCCACCATCGCATCGCAAGCATACCGTTATGGGCGATTCTAGGTGCGAAGAAAATTAGCGTGCATCACCCGACGGGCAATCGCCAACGCCGTACCAATGTCTTTGGTAGATGAACTTCCCCTCACACGGCGTCTGCTGCTGCTGCCCGCCACTGGTCTCGTCGTTGACTCCGGGGATGCAGTGCGCTTCTGCCGGAATGGTGGACCTGAAGCTTGAACTCAATTCCGTCTGGCTGTCTCCATTGGATTCTTTTTCTGCTCAAGAGGTGTCTTGTGACCTCGTTCTACACGTGACGTTGAAGCCTCGATGACGATGGCGTTGCACTTGCATCCTTTAGACAGACTAAGCGTTCGTATCGTTTCTTTTCAGGTCTGCAGGTCTACAACGTGCTGCATTCTCCGGCTGTGCCTCTTTCAGGCGTGCCTTCATGGGGCCCAATTGGTCCAGTGCCCCCCTCAGGTGCAGTGTTTGAGAAGATTATTTGCTGTATTGCTCCTTTCCGAGTGTCTTGGACTACTCGGTGCTGAGAAATACGTAGCATTGCCCTACCACTCTAAATACAGGGGAGAGCTTCGGCCTGGACCGCTTGGCTGTGATTCCACTTTCTGTCAAGGATGCATCCTACAACAGCTAGCTCGATTTAGCCTAGGTACTAAGGAGAAGAAACTGGTGATGTCTTAGTACTTTGTCACATAGTTGAGATAGGATGCTTCGGTATTCTCTATATCAACTTCTAACATATAACTGTGCTTACAAATCAACAATTCTCTTGGACCTGGTACACCGTATGTTGATCAAGCGTTCAAACATATTGTGTTTTGTCAAAATTCTCGTTGTGTAGCAAGAAGTGAATCTTGCTCAGTTATCTCCGATTCCCATAGTTGCCGTGAAGCTATCGAGATCTAGAGCGTAAAGATTATTGTGATCTTTGTATTACTTGTGGCATAGGCAGTCGCTAGAATCCAGCTTGACAACGTTATAAGATATCCTAGTAATAATATTTTATCTGGCTTACGTTACATTAGCTGGGCTGTTTGAATTAGCCAACTATTTATCTTATTTTACTACAACTGGTGCTTATTTATCCATTGAGCACAGCATAGCACATAAAGCCCGATTATATCAAGGATGTTAGGACATCTCCACTTGAGAGCTCAGGATTTTCTCTTGGTGAACCACAATCTCTGGCCACCAATATTTATCACTGCTTCTGATACTCAAAATTGGCCGGGTTTGAAGAACTTCATCACTATTGCCGATAGTCCAAAATATTCCACTAGTTTGGAAAGGCTTGCTCTAAATTCAAGTTAAAAGTACACAAGCCGCTAGAGCCAAGTGGGTCTCTGGCACGCCCAAGGGAATTGGCGAGGTACGTTCCAGTCGATACGGCCCCAAGCCATACATTTGGGATTCTCCATCCGCGCCTCTAAATTCGGAGACGAGAAAGTCTCAGAGCTGGGTAGATAGGAATTATGCGTCTCTTGATAGTCATCTCTTAAGTGACTATATCGAAAAATTACTGCCAACCCCATGAATTTGGTGAAGGTGTGAAAATTATTTGATGTGGTTGCGTATCACATTTGCCAGATATAGCTGTATCACTTACTTTAGGACACTGTAACTAGCTTCGTCCCTAAGTCTCTCTTGAATATGGCTAAGCGTGGAATTGCACCAGCAGTTGTATTTTGTTAGATATTTTCTTTTGACTAGATTTGTTTGTCTATTGATTTTTCTTTGGGGTAACTAGACAACAAGCTAGATTAATAGTCAGGGTATTTCCCTTTGTACTGTAAACAGAACCAGTGAAGGAGACTGCTGCCGTTAAGTCAGGATTTGGCTCAGCGTCTGTATATGTCCTATGTTAGCGATATTAAAAATGCCAAATCACCAAGACGGCGAGACGGCGACATTCTGAGATGATAGAATGATCCCAAGTTTCCTCTTATACATCAAATAGGACAAGGTAGATTATTTGCCGTATTGGACGGATAGTGACCAACACCCAGATCTTCCTCGAGCATATCGCATAGGATATATTACCTTACCTACTGTCAGCTGTGATCCTGGTACCATGTATTCCCCTGTTGTCATCGTCGTTTGTTTGTCAATTCAAGTAAGAGTTGCTGGATGTTTAGTGTCGCACCTCCAGATACCGCATTCATAAGCTGTTCAACAATAATAACTGACTAAGTAGCCTAGGTTATCCGAACCAATTCCAACGTGTTATCCTTGTCATGGTCCATACTATCGTCATCGCCATTGTCGGTTAGTATTCTGTGAATGGTCGCTGGGAAGTTTAGGTGCACAACTCGATCGTCTTGATTTTTGCTTGTAGGCCGATCAGGCCTAGGAGTAATGTGGCCCGAGAAGTGATGGCATCGGCTTCGAGTGGCGCTGAGCTGTACAAGAGGAGAATCGTTGCCAACAACAGAACCACTTCTGGTATTTGAGATTTCTCCATCTCCAGCCAGAGTCGAATGATTCTTCTCATTTACACCCTCCTTCTCAGCTTGCTGGGCCAGTATTCGAGAATATGCTCCCATACAGAAGTGTTCACCTGGGGAATAGGGATGAGGGGAAAAACCAGAAGGGTTGCCAGAACTAGAGGTAACATTGGTCTCTTGGGTCTGAAGGTGATGTAAGGGCATCATAAAACCTAAACATGTACAGAAGGAGCGGACACTCACGTTTGGAAACGCGAACGCCTGCATGCATGATCATATAGTCATAACAGGCACGACCCTGTACCTGGCGATGTGACGATGTGGCCTGCATATACAGTACCACACAGATAGAATTCCTCCTCAAATTCTTCGAGAGGTGGGATCGAGAAAATTCTAATATGGGGAATTGGAGACAAGCTCTGCATAACGATAGGAGTGGAATTAGGCATTTCCAATCCGCTTCCGAATCTCCAGCTACAGTTAGGGCTACCCATGCTTCCACGCTTGGACGTCAGCTAGTTATTAAAGAGAAAGATAGCTATCGTGGTGAGATAGGATAGTGTCCTACTTATGATCTGTTTACCTTCGGTCCTGACAATTTATTAGAATAATTGCTAGTGTGTCGCCGCATTGGGCTCTAAGTAGGACCCAGAGAACTTTAGGCAAGGCCAAGCTCTCAGCCTTTGCTAAGGGCCCTATATAGGCAATGATTGCTATGCATCTGAAGACTCGTGTCTATTTTGCAATTGTTTTAGAGCACCAGACGAGTGGACAGTATATTGGGGGGGACGAGAAAGCGCTATGTCTGGTCACGTGATATGCAGCGTCCAATACAAACGGCTGCTAAACGGCGTATTTTATTTTTCTACTATAGAGGATCAGAGTATTGAATTGCTACATATAAGCGTCCAATAACCATCCGATGCGTTTGTTAAAGGCTGAATCTGCCCTGCGTGGAGTTATGTAGGACATTTGGAAACACATTTCCTAATCTGGCTAGCTCCATACCTCCAGGGGTAACGAGCAGGCGTAATGTTTCTCCAAGCGAGTTTCCGTACGACATCCTCCTCGTAACTAACAATCCCAAAGATTCTTCATCATCATCTGGGGGGTGGAAACCTTGTTCAGGGCTCAGAGAATCTTGATTGGTTATGTCTATTACAGCACCGGGTTTTCTTAAATCTTAGGAGTTCATCTGATCTTTGGGCTAAAGTTAGGGAACACGATAGGTTGCCTGTCCCTTCCGAGTACCTAGAAATGCAAGGTTCTTCAACATCTTTGGAATCAAGATTTCCTCTATGCCCGTGGTGCTTATTCTTTCCTTCTAGCCGCCAGGGGCAAGTTTCTCGTATTTGATGCTTTTAATTATGTTTAATCAAACTCATAAGAGATTCCCCTCGATTTCGGTTGGTTTCGCTCTTACTTTCTCAGGCTGAACATTGATGGCTCGTTCCCCTCAATCGGTGACGTCGCAATCCGGTCAAGATTCCTCGAGGGCCAATACCAGGATTTCGATCAGTTATTTAAGAATACCAGATTCCCTCTTTATTTCTTCATTCCCTACTCATCATCCTCGCCTTGTTGCAAACGAAGTCCTAACACCACCATGCTTGCACTCACTTGCTTACTACTTCCACAGCTCACGGCTGCTATTGCCTTAGGCTCATGGGCCGGAAACCGTGCCGCTTACTTCCTTGATAACAATCCAGCTGGGTCAAGCATTATCGCCTTGAAAATCTCGTCGAAAGATGGGACGCTGTCTGATCCCATGCGGGTTTCCACAGGAGGCAAGGGACTGTATGCGCAAGGGGTATCAGCCGATGGAGGGCCACCTGTTGCCGTCGGAGCTGGTACATATATGGACAACCTCTTGATTTGACTTGTCTGACTTGGTGTTAGATACCCTGTTCAGTCAGGATTCTGTTGTCGTATCTGCGAATGTAAGTCGTATATTCAGTTGATGCAATTCATAACTAACATCAGCTTGAGTATCTCTTCACTGTCAATTCCGGAAGCAATACTGTCTCCCTGTTCTGGATTAATGAAAATGATCCTACCAACCCCAAGCTCATCAACACTGCTTCTACCCTGGGTGAATTCCCTGCAGCAGTCGCCTATTCCGCTGATATCGAAACAGGTATGCTTCCTAAATCATATGAAAACATGTTGATACTGACTCTGGCCACTAGCTTGTGTCCTTAATGGCGGTAAAGTCGCCGGTGTTGCCTGCTACTCGGTATCGAAGAGCCATGGACTTAAAGCCCTTGGTGGACTCCGTCCCATTGCTCTCAACCAAACAACCCCCCCTGTTGGGCCACCAGGGACAGTCTCCGATCTTGTCTTCAACCCTTCATCATCAGCCCTTATCGCCACAATCAAAGGATCCCCGACTTCTCCGGGCTCTATATATGCTTATCCAGTCCTACCCTCATGCGATGTTTCAACCAAACCGACACTGTCGCAGCCTTCCTCTCTCCTCATTGATTTCAGCCTCACATTCCTTGGCTGCGACTCTAGGGCAGTGATCACTGACCCTGCCTATGGCGCTTCCATCGTCGACATCAACAACGAATTTGAGTTTACGGTAAGCAAGAAGGTCGTGATCGCCGGCCAGGCCGCAACTTGTTGGTCAGTCTATGCTCCCAAATCCAACACAATTTATGTTTTCGATGGAGGCGTATCAAATATCACGACTATTGATGCTACTACCGGCTCCATCAAGGGCGTTGTACCTCAGAGCGATGCTGGAATGGGTAGTTTGGATGCGGCGCTTGACAATGGTTACTTGTACGTGCTGAAGGGCGCGCCCCAAGTCTCTGTTGCCGATACTATTGGGTCGAAGGGCGGGAAGGCAAAAGAGGTCCAGACTTTGGATTTAGCTTCATTGGGGAGCCGGCAGGGGTGGACCGGAATGGCAATTTATCGCTGAGTTGGGCGAGGAGCACATTAAGGAGAAGAACAGCACTTAATATACGAGTTTCTTCGCAAATTTTGAGATTCAACCTTTCCGCATCACCTGGGAGTGCTGGGTGGAGATTTGAACAAAGTAACCCTGTGGGTATGTTGTATTACTTCAAATGAGTTGGAACTGGTTTTGTGGGACTCTCTCAAGTGAGTGGGTGGCCTAAAAGGAAACAGATAAGGCCCCAGGATTCCTAATCTAGAGACCCATTTTCTTAGTGAACATTTCCTTCCTTGCTCTCCACTCCCCATTGTTAGAGGTCTGTACCTGGTGCTGTTCTTGCGTTTAATTTTCCTCGATGACGCTCGTTTATTTCTCAACTCATATGTTTCAAGACGGCGGACCGCCGCTACCCAAGAAGTTCAACTTTCTTTATCATAGCTAGTAGAGTTCGAATCCCAAGTGGTGACTATGGATAGCCTATTATTATGCAGTTTGTCAAGAGGATATCAATTTGGTGAAGGTGTATTGGAGTGGTTCACGGTTCACGGTTCACGGTTCACGGTTCATAGCATCATTGTTATGTTTTGCACCTAACCCTCGAGGGTGTTTTACCCGCCGAGCCACTACCACGATTTCAAAGGAGCTTCAAACGATTTTGTCTTTCCTTTCCACTTTCCGCCGTCACAGAAACACGTCACAAAAACACATCCCTTCACCTTGCCCTTGGCTAAACACTCCACACCCTTTGTTTTTGCTGTCAAATAGCAAATATGGAGCCAATTCCTCTCAGAGCTCTCACAGTTCTTCTCAACTATGAGTTCATGGTATCGGACCCCCGGTTCCATGGAGTGAGATTCCTCCTGTCTAGCGTAGCGGATGCTACCACGCTTCCAACTATCAAAGGCCGTATTCCTGACTTGTTCAAGAACCTTCCAGCTACGATTAGGTATAGGCACCTTCCATTCCATATATAGATGAATCTCGTTTCTCTAACTTTGTGGGGATTTAGAAAGCAATCCTTAAATCAATTCGTCACCTTCGAAGAACCTTTGCCGGCTGATATCGCTTCTACAACGATCCTCATCCACCCAGATGCGGCTCCTAGTGTACAAGCTCTAACGTTTGCTCAGCGTGAGCTAATCTATCACGAGACTCATTCCAGCGATGGATGTCTCAAGGCTATTGCTTTGTTTCAATTCTTCTTCGACCTCTGTTCCCCTGGACAGAAGCTTAGCATCCAACTTACCAACGAGGTATGTTTATTTGGAGCAACTACTTCATTCTCAGTTCATTTCAGAAAGGAATGCTAACTCACAGGGCCCCCAGGAACCGACCATAGTTGATATACATGCGCGAGATGTTCTCAAGTTCATTAGCAAAGGTCCGAAGCTACACTCAATAGTTGCACTTCCCCCCACCAAAGTGTTGATTAACGGTTCCCGAGAGAACGAACCACATGCGGTGCTACAATTTTATTCACCCAGAGATTTGCATCATTTCATAGTTGATATGACCCGGATGCAGTATGGGGAGGCTGGACGGAGAAACTTATTTCTTGGGAACAGACCGTGACTTTCTTACATCTACTGTAGAAAATATCTGGGATATTTCTGAGTGGGAAGCGATAAACTTTGACATTGAGGAAGGAGAGCTTCGTGCGCGGCTAAAGGCTTGTGCTACCAATGTGTGGAACCGTTGGCAAAGTAGGGCGACGGAGGGTTGGTGTGAATACTGTGGTAAAGGTGGACCATCTTTGAAGATTTGTTCTGGATGCAAGACAGTGAAGGTCAGATATTGTTGCAATGAGCATCAAATCTCTGGATGGAAGTTACACAAGTATACTTGTGAGTCTACCAAAAAATAATGCTAGATAGTCTTTATGGCGCACTCGCACTACCCCTAGCGTTAGAGATAATCGAAGGAAGTTCTACCTGATCGTCACTGAATAATCATATTCTCAAACTACAGTTATATGTATACCGCTTGTGCATCTGGCTCATGAAACCAACCCTTTTAGAGTGTCACCCAGGCAGCTCAACAAAGAAGGAACGTTATGTATGGCCTCCTGCGTATAAATTAACAGACACCCTTACTTACAGGCAACAGGCTGCATATACTTTCATTTAAACGCAATCCACTAAACATAAAAATAGTCACCTGCAAATTAGCGATAGCCGTCCGAGGGAAATGCAAGAGGCCCATAGTCATGGGAGGAATAAAATTGTATAACATTGGTCTACTAGCTGATGGGCTGAAGTGGTCCAAATGCTGGACATTCTAGCCCAAGAACCCAAGGGCTAAAAGGAGAGCAACCCAAGAGCCAGCCAGGTGCCTGGCCGTAAGTGCGCTGCGGTAGGTAGGGAGACTGACAACATATGTGGCACGCTTAGTTATACATATCTTCCGTAAAATATATGATTTATGGACCAGATTTCTGCGATCCTACCCTTAAACTAGATCATAGATTTATGGCCTAAGGTGTCAAATTCCCGGCAATGCTGCTAAATACGCAATTTAACATGGTGGTTGTTCTTCAATATTTATTTTAGATCTTAATAACCTGCAGGATTAATAGTGGCTGGTGCAATCCCCTCGCGGGAAAATGTGGTGAATGCTGGTAAAGCAAAAGGGGGCGGATCACGTGCCATGCCCACAGAGTCATTGCACAGCATCTCTACCATTTAGACATCAAGGGCTATATTCGCATGCATATAAACAAAAAGAAAAAGAAGGATTTTACCATGGAGAGAGTCTTGCCTCGCCTTTGAGGATACTACGCGAGCAAGGTAGCAATACATGACTCTTGAGGAGCAATGCCAAATTGATAGTCTGGATATTGGGTAAACTATAAGCTACAAAGAGGACCAGTGGGCCTTTTATATTGGATTAAAGCGGTATACGTACGATGTAGGCCAGGAACTAGTGGGAACTGTTCAAAGTATCCCATTGATTTGAGGTAAGTTGTAATTCAGAAGTGGTCTGGCGTCATTATTAGCTTCTCATAAGATACGTTTGTATCTGCAGCGATTATGCCCTCCCCATTACCCTTCCCCTTGGGAGTCCTAAAGCACACCAAAGATCTACACATAGAGCGTATGTTTACCCTCTCAGTCTCTCTCCCGCTTAATATTCTCCCCTACGAGCCTCCCAACATTCCCTCCCACAATCCAAGCCAAATCCACAGTACTGCCCACACCCTCTATAACGCTGGTATGCCATAACCCATCACCGGACTCAAAAATTCCCAACTCGTCCCCGCTACTCTTTGGGTAGGTTATGGGATACGCTTTTTCGATTTCCTCGGAATAAATAGCTTCTATTCCACTACCCCACAGCATTTCTAATGTCCCATTCGAGGGCTGTTGGTCTGAAAGAATCCGATACAAATTTGTGTTCTGTATATGTCCCTCGGGATCGAGACGGTATAATTTTCGGAGGTGGGTAATTTCATGGATTCCATGGAATGCAGCTGGGAGATCGGGTGAAGAGGCAATGGGGAGTATTTGACTGGGTAGAGTCTCCGAGCGGCCGAAGTGTTCGGAACCGAGCTCGCCTTCCGTAGCGATGATTGTGATCCATACCGGCTTATAGAAGATTTGCTCCCGAGTTTCCGTAATAGGTGCGAATAGCAGAGACGAACTGTTCCAAGGTGTAGCTAAGACAACCTTGTGGAAGGCCTCATAATGCAGTTCATCCATGTCGGCCTGGGTGTACTCAACAATCCACATCTCTTTCTCTTCCTCAACCAGCTCTCTTTTAAATGCTGTGACATGCGTGCTTAGTTTCAACGCCGCTCGACTCTCAACCGCGAAGGTCTCTAGCATATGCATCAACCTTCCACCTTCGGTGTTAGGGCAAAATTCGCCACCTTCTCTTTCCAATGCCATTGAAAGCCCCAAGTCAGATAGCTCCTCTAGATCCAGGCCGTTCTGCTTCCTGATTTGTGCCCTCACTACCTCTTCCACATATTTTCCCTCAATACCATTTTTTGCAAGTCTTTCATTTGCACTTAAGCTTGCAGCTCCAGTCATCCGTCCGGTGACCAATATCTCCCATGGATTAACATATGGTTTTGACTTGTCGCTTTTTTCAGCCAAGTCTAACATGCCGTTAAACCCCTCCATGGTGCCCGTAGGGAGTTTCGCAGCCCGCCACACACTCGATCCATACCTCCATATCAATTTCACCCAGTTGCCCCAAGTGATTTCTTCTCTGGGTCTGGGTATGTCCGCAACTATATCCTTCCCATTGAAGAAACCTACAGCGATATTTCCGCTTTCGACCATCTTACTCGTCGTATCAGTCCCAAATTGAACCCCGAATTCGGCCTGTGCTCTCCGCCCTAGAATGCGATTGCTAGATAAACATCCCGCTGCTACATCCTCGGCGTGTATTTCCTTGCTCAGCACATCTGTTGCAGATAGTGAAGGGTTGAGGATCATCCTTCCGCCGACACGATCTTTCTGTTCGAATATCGTGATGTCAACTTGCACATCAGGCTTGCCTTTCTTACTAGAGAATTGCACACGAGAGAGTGCGAAGGCAGTACTTATACCCGCTGGTCCTGCTCCTATAACAGCGGAAAAAGAAAGTGATTGTCAGCAATGTCCCATTCTTATGGTGAGTTAAGGGGACATTTGAAATTCCTCTTGCCTATCCTGCATACACTGAAACCGAAGAAATATGAAACGTTCAAAATGCGTTGACAAACTCACCAACAACAGCAACCCTAATAACCGTCGGCGGCGGCGGTTCCCGTGGCGACCTGATATAGCTCCCTTTAGACATAAACCATATCACCGGGACGATAAAAGCGGTACAAAATAGTACGATTAATACCACGGTCATATTTCGGGCTTTTCCTTGTCCAGTCGAACCATCCTTCTGTCGTCTTGCCTCTGCACGGGGATTTTGCTCATCGTAGTATGATGGCTCTCCCGAGTATGGGGGAGGCTCAGGAGGGTCATTAGAGGAGATGAGGGGTGTGCGCTCTGAATATTGCGGAGGTGGGCCCCAAGCTTCATTGCCGTGAAGCCTCATCTTTTAAGTGCCTTCACGACTAATCATTAGATTTTGGATTGACGGCGAAAATATTGAGGATGTCTCATCCGGCGTTGACGATGGAGGGGTAGCCTCGACGTGCTTACGCGGCTTTGCACCGCTCCTCCACAACTGCCTTGACTAGGCAAACAGCTGGGAGCGGTTTTGTTGGATATATTGTGTAGATACAACTGGATTCCTGCGGGTGTAACATCCAGAAGGTGAATGGCGACAGGGAGAAAAGAAGGGAGAGAAATGTGATGAGAATGAATGATGAGGTCAAGATGGCGAGGCCTACTCGGTGTATGCACCAGTGTCATGGGCTCGTGACGAGGTCGACCCAACAAGGCTGACTGATTGCACGAGGCGTCCTTTCAATTTAGGCACTTACCCAACATTCATAGATAATCGATTTTAGGGATCTCGAAGCAACATGGTTTTAGAGACATTAGTAGTTTCGGACTCTGCAATTGCCCCGTCCTGAATACAGTCTAACCTGTGCATCATATCAAGAACTCCATGGATTTTATCCCTTGGCCCCCGAATGACCCGCCAACAAAATGCCTCATTCGACCGACCTAATTGCTTTTACCTTCGTACAGGTAAGATCTATTCCTCAGCCTCCTCAGCCTCTTCAATAGCCTCGCCCTCGCCCTCATCCTCGAAGCTCTCAACAGGGACCTCATAAAGTCTCAAGATTTGCTTATTTGGGTCCTTCACCAAGACATACTTGCCCTCCTCACGCTTGAGACACATATCTGCAATAGTGCGGACAATACCCCATCCATTGGAGAGACTCAAGTTCATTTGCTGGGCGAAATCCTTTGGCTTCCAGCCAATAACACCGAGGACGACGTGCTTGTCGTTGGTCTTGGGGTTTGCGCGAGAGACGAATCTAATTTCATGTTAGCATATCGGTTTGGCTAAATTTAGAAGGAATACGTACCCAAGCTTCATCACATCGGCGCGAGCCATGATACTTTGAACTGTCCATCTTGCAAGCTTCAAGCTGTTGTTCTTCATCTCGGTGGCCACAACTGCACCACGTTGGCTGACCAACTTCGCTCTCCAGTCCAGAGCTCCACCACTGCCTTGAGCCTTGTGGTCGAATTCGTTCAAAGCCTTGACGGTGATATATTGGTCGTCACCGCTGATGGCATTCTTTTGCACAGCATCAAGCTCCGTTCGGACAATCAGGTTCAGGGGCTCCTCATCGTTAAGGGCAAGGTCGAAACGGCGGTATTTGTAAGCCTTGCTTGCTGGTGGCTCGGTCTCCTCAGCGGGGTTGTAGAACGGATTTTCGTGAGCCATCTCGACTTTTTGGTTTTCATTCTCCAACATGACTTGATTGGCGAAGTTGTGATTGATATATGTCGCCTCTTCAGCTAATGCTCCAGGTTGGTTGATCGCGTCTTTGCTTCCTTCGGATGCATCCATTGGTGCGTCGGCTGCGTTCTCATTGACAGTGACCATATCCAGGGTAGCATTGTCTCGCTTGTCAAGGAAGATTTTGTTGCCTTGTCGAATGATGACAATATCCCAAGGATAGACTGAGCGAGGTGAGCACATGAGCATAGAAAGAATGTTGTCTGTGGCAAATATAGTGGCCTCATCCTTCTCTGCGAGCTCTTGAATAACGGGATCCGAGGTGGTGGTGACATTGTATGCCGCCCGATCAACGACATTTAACTTGCGCTCAGCAGCCTTGACAGACTGCTTGTCGTACGAACGATCGTAGTAGTAAAGGAAACCGTAGCCCTCGACATCCTCTCCATCGCCGGTATCCAGGTTCAACTTGGCCAGGCGGTTGAAGTCAATCTCCTCCAGCAGCTTCCAATCCGGCTTGATGTTAACAGACGCATCGCGGTTGCGCTGGGGCTTGTCATAGTCCTTCCATCCGAATCGTCTTCCACCACGCGCACCACCACGGCCTCCCCGGCTATCATAGTTGTTATAGCCCTGTTGTCCACCTCGTCCACCGACCCTTTGGAACTGTCCTCGACCGCCTCTGGTGTCCGCGCGCCCACGTTGTCCCCGGCCCCGACCAAAGGCACCACGACCAAATCGCGTCTTGGTTGACTCTCGGGTATTGCTAACAACGGAGAAAGAGGACTCGTCTTCAGCAAGCTGAACCGCGAAAAGGGAGGATGTGCCAGCGCCGTAAACTTGTTGATCTACAGCAACAGTCAATAAGGATATTTCCCCTATGCCTATTTCGCGGCAGATACGCTGCAGCATAAGTAGAAGAATAGGACCATACCTCTGTAATTCCGATTATATTGTTGTCGTCCACCTCTGCCATCCCTTCCATCCTTGCCCTCCGTCGTCCAGTCGGCCATGCGACCTAATTTGTCGCCTTTCGAGTATGGGGCGTAGGGCACGCCATTTAACGTGGTCTCGGTGGACGTTGATGGCCCCCAGGAGTCCTCTGACGGCAGTGCCGAAATAATATCTGACAGTGATACAGGCGCCATGATTGCGATGTATCTTGTGGTTGTGGTTAGATATCTTGAATTTCGTAAGAATTCGCCGTTGTAGTCGGATCTCGAATATTTCGCTTTGTGGACGCCGTTTTTGGTGGGGGCAATTAATCCCTGCTTGCCGATTGGATTTGGCATTGTCATCACGTGATGGACCCTAAATTATGTAGCGTACATCATAGAACTTTTGTGCAAGTTTGAAATGAAAATGGTTAGTTAGTCTCTGAAGTCACGAGTACATAGATAGGGTAACTATGGCCAATACAGTTTGGGTTTGTTGGATTGCTACATTTGTGGCAAAATGCAAAGGCATTCATTCACAGAAGATGCTACCCAATCCAGCGCTATTGAACAATCCCCGGCATTGCGCCGCTGCTAAAACATCAAGGTTGATAAATGCAAGGACTCATTAAAACACCATCTCCATTTCCGCCTGGTTATCCAAGGCGTTTGCTAGCGCGTCTCGTACCTCAAACTCCTCCAACACCGCGCCAAATCTGGATATGGTCAGCAAGCACTTGATAAGTATCGTGGTCAACATACCCATAACACCTGATCTTGCCCCGAAGTCCCTGGGATATCTTCTCAAAATCTTCGAGTCTCAATTCAGAAAACCGGGGATGGCCTAAGATCATCCCCCAAGCCATTACCGGAGTGATCTCACCGTCAAGGTCAAGTCTTTTGCTCAAATCAAGCAAGTTCGCTAGATCTCCTTTCGAAAGGTCCCACGTCTTCTGTGCGTCTCCATTCCGATTTCCCGGACCGTGTCCAAATGGAACTTCAAGTTTGACTTCTGGCGCCGGAGGGCACGACGCCATGAGAGCATGACCGGAAAACAGATCCTCATGCTCATGGGCCTTTGCGACGAGGATTGACAAATGGTCCATACAAGGTCGCTCGAGCCTGTGCCACGATTGGCGTCAGCTAATTGGGGGGAGGCGACATGTAGGCTCTTGAAGGATCGGCGTACGTTAAGACGAAATCAATGCCCGCTTGATCATAATCCACCCCTTGTTGGACTTGCTGTTGAGCCACGCTACGGCCGTTCATCCCGTTCATGGCGCCTAGGGAAGATGCATTTGGATTTTGCAAATTGCTGTTTGCCGGGAAAGTTTGCGGGGGAGGACTGTAGCCTTGTGATCCGGGGGCATAGCTCCCTGATATACTGCCGCTGGAAGTATAGGCAGCGCCACCCTGGAGATTCAACTCGTCGACACCTCCGGATCCGCTCCAAGGAATGCCATGTTGAGCAAGGAGTAGCTTCAGTTGGCGGTTCTCTTCAGCAAGTGATTCTTTGCTTTGAGAAACCATGGTGAAGTTTTCCTTCAAGCGAAGGACTTCTTGTTCCAGAGCTTTGATATATAATTCTTTTCGCTCACGATGGGTGCTATTCCAAATCAGCATTGCGCAATGATGGGGCACAGCGCATCTTACCGCTGGGCTTGCCGATTCAGCTCTTGCCGTCTTGTCAAGGCAGGCTTGCTGTCCGGCTTTGGTCCTCTCCTCTTAGGGGGCTGACCGTCAACTACACAGGTTTAGCACGCGGTGTAACCTTCTTCTCTTGAAGGTATGTAGGACACGGACCACGGGTGTTCTTCTTTTCGGTCAAGTTCTTTAAGAATCCCAAACTCATCGACAACGGGCTCTTTCCGCTATCGGATTGCCCGCTGCTCCCGTATCCACTTCCGCCCACCTTGTTGCCATACTGGTCGACTGGGGATGTCAAAGACATCTCTTGAGGGAATGAATCCGAACTCGACCAAGAGCGGCGAGAGAAAGTCTCCTGATTTGACCGATATCCGTTAGCCATGATTATTTGAGTTCCGTGTGAGATGACGAAACGCAGGTTGGTCAGAATCAAACGCCCCCAAGAAGGCAGCTCCACAAGAGGCGGGCCGCGAATAATAAGGGGATGAGAAGCGATGCAGGACCTACCCAGTTCAACGGTTCTCCCGCGTGCCGGCGGATATTCTAGAGCTCGAGTGGGTGGAAGATTACGGTTCTTCTCGTGTGTGTGTTTGCGGAGAAGTATTTGGAATTCGTCGGAGGCGGTGCTAAGCACCTGGTCGTAAAGGCTCTTGGATCGTCACAGGGAGTCGTGTCGCGCCCGCGTTTTGGGACTGCGGGAGTATCAATGCTGATAGCCTATCTTGAATGCGACGAGCTTAGATCTGCTTGCAGTGCAAAGGGTATGAGGGTGTCAATTGTATATATATTGATCAAGTTTGGACGATGATCAGACCATGCTTTTGAGGGAGCCGTAGCGCATAAAAACCGCCCAGAGGGAAGACAATCAATCCCGGGGGCCCGTCGAATCTTGGAGGGGGCGCAGTGCAACTCTGCAACGGGGAAGCGGCTGGTGATTTGATGACAGCTGGGGGTCCCTGCGGAATCCGGGGAATTACAATTGGAACGGCTTTTGTCAGGAGAGGCAATCTGTCAGCACCAGAACTGTTATCGTACGTAGTCAAGGAAAGGTAGATAGGTGTATGCAGCAGAGCTTTGGGACAGCTCGAACGCGGCAGCGCGTTGCTGACGAAGGAAGCACTATCTGGACTCTGAGTTCATTTGGGCTGCAGTATTGGTGTAGCTCACAATGTAGCTATTTGCACCGGTTCTGGCGTGATTAATATTGAAGAATGCAAATCGAGAATACAAATCGCCAGTTGACCACGTTGCGATGCTTCTCCACTACTACTGTAGCGGTGGGATCAACACAGTCTACGGAGGATTGTCGCCGCAAAGCCTTTCCGTGTTTGGTTGACGCCGTGTACTAGCCAAGAAGCTTAAATTGACACTGAGATCGGTCAATCTTGACTTGCACAAGCTATAGATTGAGGTTCCAATCGGACATTTTTCGTGCCCCTCGATCTGTTCTGCTCATCGAGTCAACACATAGCAATATACTATCTCGATCCATGGGATCACGCACGTCAGGGGCGCGTCTTGCGGACTTCCTACTCTGTAATGCGGAAAGTAATGTGACACCCCGCTCTGGCTCTGTTCCCCGCGATCGAGCATTTGGAAGGCCGTGCTCGTGATCAGTTCGTATATGTTGAGTTCATAGAGCTGAGAGCTTACTCCAGTCCGAAACGGTCGTCTTGCGGTAGGTCGCCCTGGTCCAGACTGCTGGAGTTTGAATATAATCCCCGTCGATATCGTAAACCTCAGTCATGGCCACGGAAACCTCTATATCACATTGCGGGGTATCTTGATTGTCATACCATGGGCATTCCAGTTGGTTCTCATGGATTTGATCCTCTCGGTCCTCGTGCCTGTCAGTTATCTTACCCCCAATTTCGTATATGACATCTCGTCCTTCATTGCCTTCACCAATTGGACGTGAATCCAATATATGTTCGAGTTTCTGAATGGCGCCAACATCAGCATATCTGGTGACCAATTGCCGGCAGGAGAATCGGCCATTGTGGTTGCAAACCCCGTCATTTGCACTGACTTCTATATGATCCAAGCCCTGGCGGTACCGGCGGGCATGTTGTCACTCTGTCGCTGGTTTGCGAAAATTGAGCTTCACTGGGTTCCATTACTAGGATGGGTGCTCTGGGCGATGGGGAAGCCAGTGGTAAGCAGAAACTGATCGAAGAAGAAGGAGAAACTGGATAGATTGTTTGCGGGGATCGTGGTGAGAAAGTAGGCAACATGTAGGATACCTAGGTATGTCAACGTAGAACAAGGAAATCGTAGCTAACCAGTTAGCAGGGCTGATTAGCTACTGCGAGGTGACCAGATATACGCCAAAATAGTTCGAGGAAACGAAAGTATGGTGCAAAGCGAATAGCAGACCCAATCCAAAACATCTTCTCTGCCCGCGGACGAAAGGTTTTGTGGCAACGGTGTAGCATGTGCGGCGCATGTCAAGGCCATATACAATACAACCATCGCGTACCAACAACAATAATAAATTCATGGAAGCTCCGACGATATGGGAAACGTTGAGCTGCAACGATTTGAGTGGAGAGAGAGGATATAAATTCTATGTTGACGTGAAACACTTTCCGCTGGTAGAATTACCATAGAGTGACGCGCAATTAGCAAAATGGCTGGAAGATAGATGGATGTCCAAAGGAGATTTTTTGGATGCGAAGAGAGAAGAACGGTCAAGGAGTTGACGCGTATAGTATAAATAGACAAGTACGAGGTACTACCGAGGCTCCAACTCTATAGCTAAGCTGATGCAGCACCAGCATTCTTAATGTAATTGCAATGGCTACTGTTGCATGTGGTTCTCGCTTGTGAAAAATGCCCAAATATGTTCTTTGTCATGCCTACTATTGGATCCCGAAAATGGATTAGACTTTCGAACAAAGCAGTTGAGGTTTCAAATATCATGATTTCGGACCCTTCAAAGCATGTGTTGCCCAGTTCCTTAAGAGTAGACTGCAATCACCAAATCTCATGCAATTCCCGAATAGAAAAATGCCCTTCGGATCCTCTAAAATTCAATCTAAACTTCTCGCTTCCGAGTTTGATGACGAACCCCCTTTGACACCACTATATACTCATTTTGCCCTTGACACAACTCTCCTTGACCTTCCGTCATCTTTCCACTCCGAGCCCGCTTCTCCTTCCTCTCTAGCTTCCGCTACGACGACTAATTCTTTTACACGCTACCTTCCGTCACGCGCCGCTGCTTGGTGGGAAGGAGAGAAGACTTCTCAAACCCAGGGATCCGTAGTGTATTCCTGTATAGATGGTATTGATGAACGTATTGGGGAAGCACTAGGGCATAATGATGTGATTGAGAAGACAAACCGAAGGGCTATGGTGGAGATGATTGGATTATTTGCCGTGGCTGCAGCGTTGGTTGGTGCTGTGGTGATTTGTGTGGGAATTGGTATGGGCATGGATAACGGGATGGTTGGTTCTGGGATTAAGGGGAAGGCATAGGGCGCTGATAGGGAGGTTGTGAGAGATTTGTGCAGTAAGAGAAAGAAAGGAATGGCGTTCTAGTGTAATCCAATATGGCGTTTTGCACAAGGGCTACCAATCTGTTGTCAGTGTATTGGGTATATACTCAGTTAAAATCTGTCTACTCGGACGGTCAACTATAACAAATGCGAAAATGCAAAATCCATCCAACCTACATTACAAACGCCAGAAACTTCCCTCCACTAACGTTCAACGCAGGGAATGCCGGCCGAAGTTTCCATTCATGGCTATATTACGGCGTTAGTATACCTTTGCTTTCTCTCTTGACTATACTAGCAATCGAGTTGCGTCAGGATTGCTTACAAACTCTTCTCTTCATCCCTCGCGCTGCCCAGCCACCTCTTGATCAGCGGCAACAACAGCCGAAGCCTTTTGGTTCTGGACCAATCTTAAAAGATTTCTTAACAACACAGCAATCGTCACCTTGCCAATCGCAGGAACATATATACTGGCTTTTTGCTTTACAGCATCGCTATCAAAATTCTTGTCGCTGCTGAAATTGATGCATACCGCACCGTCACGTATCAAATTTGTGTCGACTTTGTAAGTCTTTCCGGGGACACCACTAATGACTACATCACTTAAGGGTAGGCAATTCTCGAGCTTAAAGGAGGGATCCTGTGGATGAACTTCGTGGTGATATTTTGTGATTCCTTGTCCTCTGGTGAACATCTGAACGCCGTCGAGGTCCACGCTGTAGACCTTTGCCCCGTCGTTGGCGAGGAGAGCCGCGAGTGGACGACCAACCACTTCGCTTCTGTTGATGACCGTTATGGTCTTCCCAAAAAGGCGGTTTCCATAGGGGAGGATGGAGTTGTATATTTGAAGATATTCAAGGACTTTGACAACGGCGAGGGGCGTGCAGGGTAGGATTGACTTTTGTTCGTTTTTGGGCGGGTCTAGGAAGCGGATGTTTTGGTACATGTTGAAGACATAACGATGTGTGAGGCCTTCGACATCTTTGGAGAGGGAGACCAATTGCTGGATATAAGAGTCTTGCCGGGATGTGGCCGGGTAAATTGGGTAGTAGACTATGATGCCGTGGATTGTTGGGTCGTTGTTTGCTGAGAGGATTGATTCCTCAATGTCCGCTTTGGAAACGACACGTAGATCAAAGTCAAAGCCGCTGCGAGGATTGTTAGCATGCTGCTTGGCCACGGATCGTGTATTGATGTTTGCTCTGGACGATGACGATCACAGGATGCGAGCGTGAAGGTGACTCAAAAGAAGGGAAGTGTTCAAGCGAAAGCGGCCAGGCATTTATTCCAAAGGTCCTAATCATGAAAGGTGGTCGAAAACATGTTTAAATGATCCATAGAATCCCAAATAAGTCATAGCTAACTGGGTCAAATCTAAAATGTCTCATGTCGGGTACCGAAGGCCGGACAATCCAGTACAGCATGATGATCGAGCGATTTTGCAACGCATAACATAAATTCAATAACGGGAAAAAAACATTGATAACTCACTTCTCCCTACATGTTTTGGCAGACCAATCGGCGTACATATGGGCTGCTGGATCTTCGTTGGCAAGAAACCCAACTAGCTTTGGCTTTTCCGCAAGCTTTGATAACCCGTCTGCTACTTCGGCCAGCAGCCCCTTTGCAATGGTTCCAGCAAGTATAACCTTGCAATTCGTACGAGCCGCCGGAGTCGCCATGGCGTAGAAATTCGGCGGCTGTCTTGCGATCGATGTGTGAGCGGTGGCTGGTTCTCGGGTTTGCAGAGGTGACGCTGATGCTGACGGTGTTTTGCGAAAATTTGTTGAACACATCTCCGTCCTTATCGCGATAAGACCGAGGGGTTGGAGGGGTCCTGCATGCTAACGCTTTTGGGAAACCGCCAGTGGTATTACTAAGTACACCTACTTGTAGACGTATCTCATGAATTGGTTCAACAAACCCCTTATTTAAGTGGAAGATCATTATTTTAATAGCCAAAAGTCTATACACGTTAGATCTGTTTTCTTTTAGACTAACTAATAGCACTCTTTTGCGTTTGTGACCTGCTGTTTCCCTCCCCACATCAAGAGCACTGCACGGCTTCGGTTGTCTGCACACGCTAAGGTTTCTCTCGACCGCCCGGCAGAACAAACATCTCCATCTTCTCCTGTTCTTCGTCCTTGCTCACATCTACGACTACAACTCCCTCTTTCGCGCTTGCCTTTGTGTCTTCATGCCACTTCAAACAATATCTTCGGCAATTTGGTAAGTATTATTGCCCTGCTTTACACTTAAGGTTATTTGATTCTGAGTGTTTTCATAGCTTCAGCGTCCACCCGCGCAGCCGAACATTTATATCAGCTATTCGTCTTTCGACGCTACTTCAAACGGCACCTTATTAATCTGGTATGTATTGTTGTTTTAGTTCATACTTGTTAGAATTTTTAATGCCCTTTGCTTGACGGATCATGGACACTTAAAGTCTTTCCCCCAAAACACTCTACCTCACCAAGCCTTCCTTTTCAACCACCCTACCACTTCAAGCACACCGCCTCTCCATCTCGCCCATATATCATGTGTGCTTGACTTAATTCTGCTCAGATATGCCTTGTCGCCTTCCTTCTTAATCATTTAAGGCCAATTGTAGCAGCAGATCTAATTTGGAAGACGAATAGGACAAGATGGCTGGCAAAACTGTCAAAGATTGGATGGATGCTCCGCTCCTGGCCGAGGATCCAGCACTTGAAGAGGAAGCTATTATCAACGATCTCGCCAGCTGTAAGTGGCCCTAGCCAAAGAAACTCTCAAACGCCATTAATGAATTTATAGCACTTGATCTCCGGTTGCTATCTCTGGCAGATATCCTCACACAATTAAGGCCATATGTGGATTCTGACCAAGAGAATCTTGTCACTGTAAGCAGAGGTATGTACTTTTAAATATTTACTTTATTTGCAATGCTAACAGCAGGACAGGAATGGCACTTTTATCCGCGGTGTTGGGCCGTATGCAAGCTGAAGCAATACCTAGAACAGAATGTAAGAATCCCCACTCGACTTCCAACCTTAGTTTGCTCACTTCAGTAGTGCATGCCTTGGTGTTTTACTTCTGCAGTCGTATCGAGAATAATGAAAATATATCCAATTACGGCTATGCCATGGACGCAGTTGCGAACGCACTCCAGGTTATCGTTAAATGGAAGCGCTTCTCCCCAGGCGACGTCTCTCCAATTGTGGACGCGGTATTCTCGCTCGCCCAAGGCAAGACGAACCGTTTTGCCGACCAAAAGCCCAACACGAGATTGAGCTACTATACGCTCATTTCTTACTTGGCTACTAATCAGAGCCACAAACGCGCCCTGGAGCGGGACATGGGACCTTCGAAATTCGTTTCGGGCATCGTGGAATTAGCGGAGTCTGAAAAGTCCGCATCCTCGCTGAAGGCACTGTTTACTTTATACGCCTCTGTGAGCGAGACCTGGAGTTTAGGCGCTACGGAGTACTCAAATATTTGGGGATCGTTTATACGATATTTCCCCATCACATTGGGTGCACAGGCTCGGAACTCTGACCTGCCTCAGCCTGAAGAGCTCAGGAAGTTATTGCTGAAATGCATAATTTCCAATGACGCTTATGCAAAGGAGGCTTTCACGTCATTTCTAAGAGATCTCGACACGGATCAAGCAGCAACTAAGAAGGCTAGTGTTAGCCATCTACTTTGAGATCAACTTACTAACTTGGCAACAGAAGGAGCTCCTGACAACTATCTACACCTGCGTAACCTCATACTCTGCCCCTACTGTCCTTGAGTGGGCTCCCAAGATCTGGGACGCTCTTAAATTCGAAGTGTGGAACGGAGAGAATGATGAATTCATTGACGATTCATTGAAGATTATTAATGGCCTAGTGACAAACTTGAGCAGCTCCCCGAGGGGCTCGACCGAGGAAAACGGCTTCTCGAAGTTTATGGTTGAGCTTGCAAAGGAGATTTTCGACAGACTAAGCGACATGAAACAGTATGTGGTGGCTAGTGCGAGAATTCTATATGCTGTCGGGTCAGCGTCTGCGTATGCTCTGCAGACCACTGTTGAGACTATTCTCCCACGCCTTGATGTTATGGCACAAGATCTGAGCTCAAAAATTCCAAAGGCATCACTTATGGTGGTTTTTAATCACATTATGCAAGCCCGGCTCGATCTTGCTAACAACGCAGCCACCTCCCTGTCGAAGTGTGATGACGAGGGCTCAATTCAAGCTCAGCAGAAACTCGAGGAAGATCTGACAGCATCCTTTTCCCATTTTCGACAGTCGCTTGTGGATATCTATTTTGGCGCCATATCAGAGCTAAATGTGGGACTAGACACAGATGTTTCACTGGCTAGCGCTGCAATACAGGGCGTCTCTATCCTTGCAAAGATTCCTGACTTCTTGTCAGCTTCTGAGAAGGGTATGGTACTAGATACTTTCAATGGTGTTGTTGCACAAAGGACCAAAACCGATGAACTCTATGGGCCTACTCTGGCCGCAATTGGAGAGATTTCGAGGATTGACCCTGAGAGATTTAGGGATACTACTCTTCCACAATTTATGAGACAGCTCCCAAGCATGCTCTCTGTTGAGGATTCCAAGAGAGCAGAGGAAGTAGAGCGTGTGGTTAGCCGGCTTGAAGAAATAGTTCAGGTATCCTGTAGCTCCACATCTACACGTGGGGTTCAGGGAGGAGAGTCCACTGATAACACTAGTTGTTCTCAACAAAATCATGATGAGATGCAAAAAGCATTATCTGCCAAGCTCAACTCTGTTCTTGAGCACAAGGGTCAGTTAGAATACGCCAACGCTCTCTTGGCAGCATCTTTTCGGGGCCTTGAGGTTTTCGACAAGTCCTACCGCCAAACATTCCCTTCAAATTCCCCTAATGCAAAAGCCACTTCCTATTCTCACAATCTTCTACCCCTGATTAGCCGTGTGGTCAAACTCAAAGAGTATGCTAGCGAGCCGCAGTCTATCGGAACCCGGCATTACGTTGGTTTACAAAGCTTAGGTGACGACACCGAGAGCTTCAATGATAGGTCTATTGAACTTTTGGGGAAAATGATAACCTTGTCCATGGTTTCTTCATCATTACAGAAGGTGGACAACATTCTCACCACATACGACAGCTCGAGACCTACTACTGAGGTTCCGGGACTCGTCAGCTTGTTTTGCCCGGGCGCGACTGAGCAGAGCCTTTCTATCTCACAATTTGATCTAAGCGGAGGGCCACCTGACAAGTGTCTTGCGACCTTTTTGACCGTCTCTTTGCTAGCTGGTATGGACCGTACCAACCAAGCGGTAAGTCAATAGCCTGACGTGTAGCAACATTGCTAATTATCTTAAAGCGGGCGAAATCGGATATTGAAATTGGTGATGTCGCCGCCGCCATGCTACGAAATGCCACAAATCCTCATATCAAATGCTCTCAGCTTTCCAGGATGTCGATGTTATGGTTCATCCAGCTGTTGGTTAACAAGTTTGGCGCCAGCAAGGAACAACCTTCGACTGAGCAATGCACAGTTCTCCAAATGATGCTGAACTTGGTTTCCAACTGTACTGGCAAGTCGGACCAAGAAATTGGCCTGATATATAGAACCTTGGCCTATTTTACAGCTGCAAGCTTGGCTGCCTACTCTGAATCGGTTACAAGTTTGCTTGACTGCATGATTACTGGCATTACGGATCCTGTACATGGCAGAAAAGTTGCGCAGAGTTTCAGGATCCTCTTAGCCCCTTCGGATATCCTCAACAAGAATAATTTCTGTGTAATCCGGCCACTCCGGAAGGGACGCTTGTTCGATATCGGGGTCAAGCGCATTATCGAGGTGTGGCGTTCGCAAACCAATAAGGCTATCAAGGACAATTGCCTCATTGCACTTGCCGGTATCTTAGCTTATATGGAGCCTACAATGTTGAAGGACCATGTGGATCTTATATTTCCCTCCGTCCTCGAAGGCACAAATACCCAGAACGATGAGTGGTCTAAGGCTACTTTCATTCATGCTATCCACACACTGGTCCCTCTGTGTCCGGCAGTCATTGAAGCTCATTTAGACAGTGTCATCAACAGAATGACTGGTCGCACTCACAACACACCCGATTCACCTTCAGACAGCTCCCCTCGTTGTCGTGTAACGGCCTTGGAAGTCTTGACGCTTCTCGCAGAGTATATCAGGCCCACTCTTCTTGAGCAACGCAAATTTAAGCTCATGAGTGAGCTCAACTTTGCTCTTGGTGATTCCTCAAGAGAAGTCCGACACAAGGCGGAGGTATGCAAAATGGCTTGGTTTAACTTATCTTGAGTGGTATTTTATATCTACTTATTGGGGTTACGCATAGCGCGAGGTGTTTCCGTATGGCAAAGGTGCATTTTAACTTGGCGTTTTAGACGGCTCTGCATGATAATGATAGATCATAGTTAGGTTTACAATCAACACGCGGTGAATCTTGAATTATTCATCCAAACCAAAACATCACGCATGTAGTTTTGCACGTAGTGACAAATTCCGATGAATAGTACTACATGGATAATTCATTCCTTCACGTACCCTAAACGCCAAGGTATCTCTCCTGTATGCACTTTTTCCGAGCTTAAACTACAACTATCAAGCATATCATAGCTAACACGCCCCCTAGAATGCGCAACCTAAGCCTTCTTCCCCCGTTTCTTGCCCCCTTTCCCGGGAGTCGCCGTACTAGCAGCACTCGAATCCTGCTCTCGAGTGCCCGAACTCTCGGCCAACAAACTCGCCCACTTATCATCCATACTCCTGTTATCCTCAACCTTTGGCTTCTTCTCGGGCTTGCCCTCATTTGCAGCCTTAGCATTCTTAGGATCCGCCCTGCCGATTACATCCACACTGCCCGCCAACATCTGCTGGAAAGGCTTCGCAATGAAGTGGCCCTGGACATCGAACCACCCCTTAAATGCCTTGCACAAGTGCTTTGTCGTGCTTTTTCCATCGCGTGAAGTCGTCGTAATAGTTAAATGGTAATTCGGTACGTGTTTGTACGTTTTACTGCGAATCTGTATCTTCTCGCCTGTTTTCTTATGTTTGCCAGCATACACGGTACCGCTCTCCACGCCCCAGATCCAGTATGTGAGGGCGGAATTGAGGAGTGTGTAAATGATGACAGCGATAAGGGTGTACTGCTTGGTGTTGTCGAAACCCCAGGTGTAGTCCCAGTAGAAGGTTGCGGCGCAAACAAAAAATGCGCTGTACCCCAGGGCGAGACGGATGTCGGTTAGGGTATGGGATTGAGCGAAGGAGAGACTATTGAGGTAGGCTGGGAGGGCGTCATCGCTGGTATTTTTGAGGTCTAGTATGAGTGAGCCGCTGTTGTGGAGAATAGCAGAACTCCTGCGCAACATATGACATTGCAAACAGAACAATTGTGAAATTACTTACCAGCCACCGAGTATACTGATATTTTGTCCTCTGATACCGACATATTGACGCTTTTGCAGAGTGGCGACAATTGAGACGAGTTCTGGTATAATATAGAAGTGCTGACAGGTAAAGTCGCGCGTGGAGTTGGGGAACGTGTCTTGATGGAGCTCCGTCAAAACCTCGGGAACTTCCGAATTTTGATTTAGCGACACAACGTCGCGCTCCACCTACAAGCCAGCTCCTCTGATTGTTTTCCCCCAACAACAGCAGATAGACAAGGAGCAAACATGGCGCAAGTACCGGTTCAGACGATCCATAGAGATCCGCAGCTCTTGTAAGTTTCAAATGATAACCGGACGATTGGTGGAAAGGTGCTGATGAGTTCTCCTGCAGCTATTGGATTCTGATCCCCATCACTGTGGTTATGGTACGTCACAGTCTATTAAAACCCATCTATGGACGGCTCAATTAATTTCGCTCTAGATATTGACAGGTATCCTACGACATTATGCAACACTCCTCATGGCCACGGCTCCCAAGAAGCAAGATCTTCCTTCAATCCGTGAGCAACGGTCCCTCATCCGAGGCATCAACCTCCGCAGCAACGCCCACGTCGTCTCCTCTTCCGCGTTCCAAACCCGAAAAGACTATCTTGTTACAGAATACGAGGACGGAACGTTCTTGAAGGAGCCTGACAAGAAGGGCCAGGCGGCGGCGAATCCGATGACGGACCCCGCGGCGATGGAGGGCATGATGGGCATGATGAAGGGGAACATGGCCATGATCGTTCCCCAGACGCTGATTATGGGATGGATTAATGCTTTCTTTAGTGGATTTGTTATCAGTAAGTCCCTTACATATCTCCAGGATGGAATGAAATGTTGCCAACAGGCATCAACGAGTAATCCTGACTAACCTTCTGCTTAACAGTACGGTTGCCGTTCCCCTTGACCATTAAGTTCAAGAGCATGCTGCAGGCGGGCGTGGCTACTAAGGATATGGACCCCCAATGGATGTCTTCCATTTCGTGGTATGTCCTGTGTATCTTTGGGCTGCAGTCGGTGTTCAACTACCTTCTGGGAAGCGATAATGGTAAGCATTTATCCCATTTTCTATAACGCACTTTGCCCTTGCAGGTTGGCTGATTTGAAATAGCTGCCAGTCAAATGTCGCAGCAGATGGGACAGATGGGCCCAGGGGCTGGAGCACAGATGTTTGGCCCAGGCGTGGACCCCCATAAGCAGTTCCAGGGCGAGGCCGAGAACTTGGCCGTGTTAGCCCATCAGTATATACTGGAGGGTGTGGAGGGCAGATTACTGCAGAGTGTGAACGTGTAAGATAATATGTAGGTTTATAGATCAGGAAATTTGCCATATATCATAGCAAAGCAAACAGCACGTTCCGATCAAAGTTCTCGAAAACGTGAAATGCTTTCAAATATTTCAGATTTCATTAGGAAGCTAAAGATGTGAATGAAGGCTTCGAATCGCAATAGCTGGCATCTTCTAGCTCATGTTAACAATTCACCGTTACTCCCTAGCGGAGCTAGGTAGGTGGGTGCCTTTGGGAACTTCTGCCAGTACATTGTCTTGGGGAGCTTACCCTCTTTTACAATTTCCGCATCGACCATCCACCACCTTACTTACAACCTCGCACAGTCACCTACAAGAATCATAGCAGGCAACACGCCAGTTGCTGTTCAACCGCTTTATTCTCACCCCATAACCCTTCAGTTATCAACCGGGTCGCAGGCAGCTGGCTCTCGCCCCTAAAAGCACTCCTGCAACTAAGTTGGATCTCACCCTGAATAATCAAACAACCCCTTGATGATGGCTTTCCCACCCGCGTACGCGTCTCTCCTCATGAGCACACCGCCGCCGAATATTCCGCCGGACCTAGTGGATGAATCCCGTCTTTTCAAGTACGTCTAACTTCCCTACCGTATTGAGTAGTTAAGGCCCTGGCTGGAAGTTGGCTAAATACAATTCAAGCTCACTCGGAAGTGTTGTCACCCTCGTCGCCGGCCACGGTCCTCAGCAAGCTTCCTTTGTAGTGCACAGGGAGCCGCTCTCCCGCGCAAGTCCGTTCTTTAAAGCTGCTTGCAGCTCGAAATGGATGGGACCCCAACAGAGTCTCATCAACCTTCCTGAAGATGATCCTGAGATTGTTAAAATGTTGGTCTTTTGGATTTATGAGGGTAGGATTTGTGTGTCACGGGAATCCGTGGAACTAACTTCGACTGCTCTCACTGTAGCTGAAGTCCTAGAAAGCTCCTTTGGCCTCTTCATAAGATTGTTTGTCCTTGCCGAGAAATACCAAATGGCGGCACTTCAGAATGATGCGCTCAATGCGATCATATGGAGGGGCCATGACCGAAAACCACTTAATATTCTTCGAGTGGTCCCATATATCTACCAAAATACGCATTCATCCGATTCGCCTCTTCGCAGACTAATTGTCGAACTCACCAGTGCGGGTTGTGAGTCCGAGGAAATACAACAAGTCAACGAGGAAATTGGGTTGGGTTTCGAATTCTTTCAAGATTTTACTACTTGGTTTTTTCAAGACATGGACCCGAACCCTGTCCCCCTGGTTTCTCCATCATATAGCAATGTAGTTCTTGCAAAAGCCTTCTGCGATCAATTTCACACGCATATTGAAGACAACCATGACTGTCGTTTGTCTACAGGAAAGACGTTCCTAGAACTCAGACTCCCGATGATAGGTTAGTGAAGTTGGTGCAATTATTCCAGCCATGGAACATTTCTGGGAGAGAGGATGGTGATAGTTGGCTCTTAGCTTGCGGAGGTTCTGCCTTGCACGGGGCTGAATCGTTGGGTTCTGATCTGCTAAGACTACCTTAGCCATCTATAATGCGCTAGCTAAATGCTATGTCGGTGAGGCTGGTCGAGGAACGGGCTACCCCTACCTGCGATGCCCTTGAACATTATCTAAAGAATACAATATACAGGCAGTTTGAGTCTAACCGGGGGGGGGGTAGTGTGCTCGATTGTGCAGTCGGACTTATATCCCAGGGTACGATACTTCAACCCAGAATGCAACACTGTTAGCTACCCAATACAGTTACTCTTGAGTTTCCGCAAATGGTTACATGTTCAATAAAGTGAGCCCGAATGTCAATAGCATGACACATGTCTATCATCATTCCTAATCCATGCCACCTACACTAAGACATGTTTTGTTCCATACAATTTTCCCTCGCTGACGCCGTACCATAACTCCAAACCCCGAAAGGCCATGCAAGTCCAGATCATCAGAGTCTTCAGCCTTGTCTTGACTTCTTCGCAGGCTCATCATCACTGATAGCATCTTCCATCTCATCATCCTCGGACCCCGCCACGTCTCTACTCCTCTTCAACCCCTTCATCTTCCGCGTCTGTAGCTCCTTCAAGTCTTGCTTGCCCAGATGTATCCTTCCAATCTTATCACCCATGATATCCGTAGAAATATTCTTCTTGGGCCTCTCCTGGCTGGTGCGGGCCTTCTTCATCGCTTCCTTCAGGATACTCTCATCGGCCTCCTTGACTCTGCCCACTCTGAAATCCATCCTCGGTCCCATCTCCTCAACCTCCACTCGTGGTAGCTTCTGCCCGCTTCGCTTCGTCTTGATTAAATAGACCCTCAAATGCACACTTGGCTTGGCTTCCTCGCCCTCGACCTCCTCCCTCGCGCTAATGGAAACAATATACTGCAATCCCTCGACATCAACCTTATCCGCAGGCTCGCCCTTGAAAAAGTCCGTGAAGAAGCTCTTTATCATCGTGTACTCATTTGTAACTGGGCCTTCAAACGGCGTGCCAGCAAATAGCAGCATGGGCTTCAATCCCACGGCGCACTTCTTGTTCTTGAACTGGTTCAACCGGCGGAAGCTATCGGGGTCCAAATTCAACTCTAGCATATCGAGAATCTTATACCCGAAGGTCCTTACAAGCGTCATAGCATGCGGCCGCTTCTTATTTGAGGATCCAAACACAAGGAGAGAGGCATCGTTTTTCTCGGAGAAGAATTCAAGGGATGCGGGGTCTTCGAAGGGATGAACGGCATTCTTCTTGGTGAATTTCTTGGCTAGAGGTATGCGCAATTGATGGAGATCGGTGAGCGCATCTTGAACAACTTGGGAGCAGGTGGTGTAGCGGAGGAAAAGGGTGGTTTTGGGGTTTTCGATAGGCTTTGGGGCTTTCTTGTCGAGCGCGCGCTTGCTGCGTGCATTGCGGGGTTTTCTGTGCATTAATTAGTATACCTATAATAGAATCATGGATTGTAATATATTTGAAATACATACATTTGTCGCAACATTTTGTATTATTGTTGGGGGGAATGTTGGGGGAAGATTCGTGAATTGAGCTTCCTGCGTTCGAGCTCGAAAATTCCTAATCGATAAAAAGTTTCCAAGGCGATGAGGCAGCAACGGTGTTTCTGCCTGGCGCCCTTTCTTCTTATCTCTCATATCTCACATGTTAAACTGAACGCAGATCCCTGCTGGCGGAATCTGTGGGGGAGCGTCGCGTGGGCCGAAGTCCATCCCTCCGAGGAAGCATTGAACATTCATCATTCATCATTCATCGTCCACCCTCATGTTCGCAACTCCATACACAACTGCAAGCTTCCCCGGATAAAGATCAATCAATTCGCCCAGTCCCATATTCGAATACAGAGCAGATATAGGCCTACACCGATGCAACGGTAGCAGTACTCCCAACTGTGCTACTGCACTCCGAGGTTCTGTAGGTACCAGTTGCCGAGGCTTGTTTCCTTCCAGCAAAATGTCAGGAATTGAAGTCGCAAAGGCAAGTCAAGTCGGAAACACCTCGAATGTCGCGGCGTATATATGCTGACGGTGCCTATGAATAGAAGGCGCTCGAGAAGATTATATTAAACCCAAAATATGCGGATTATCTGGCTGTGTTGAAGGCTGCCCGCAATGGCGCTGTGTATGGCGCAAAGGTTCGATTTCCGCATGCGCTGGTGTAAGTCTCGTCTTCCCACCCTTTTCCACATTCATCCGATGGTTGCTGAGTCTATATAAAATACAGTATGATATTTCTCTTTCGGTCAGGCACTGTGCAGGAGAAACTGCGCCTCATATTTAAAGCAACCCGAACACACGCCCAAAATCTAGCTAAATATGCCACGGTCTACAAGATGACGATGCTCCTCTTAAAACATATAGGTTCTCAGCCGGGGAAGGAAGGAGATTTTGATACCTTCTTTGCAGGCCTGTTAGGGGGTTATATCGTTTTTGGGAGGCGGTCAAAGAGAGGACATATTTCGTCTGTGAGCAAGCAGATTGTTGTTTTTGGTATGGCCACCATCCCCTTCCGCCTAGATTTTTGCTAATTACATGCCATAGTATTTGCGCGTGTTTGCTTATCACTCGCCGAGCTCTCCGTCAAGCCAGGCGTAGGCCTCATCAAGAGCCCCGAGCTTTCGAAACGGATATCCCGCGATGCATGGCCTGCCTTTGCAGCATTGAGTTGGGGTTCTATCATGTGGCTATTCAGGTGGCATCCTGACACGGTACAATCTGGATTGAAGAACAGCATGGAATACATTTATGTCCAGAGTGATCATTGGGATAGCCTGAGGAACTTCTTGATTTATAATAAATAGGCTAGTCGCTTGCATATCGGGAGTATCACTTCCACCAAGAAGTATCTTGGATGATGAAGGAAGGGGCTCATGGATTGAGACCTCAGTACACTGTATACATTAGTATAGACACAGCATGTGTGGGACCTACATCCGGAAGGAACCCTTAGATGGGACTAGATTAGACGATCTTATGATTTTGTATGTGATACCTCATTCTCTATGCGATTTGGCTTACATAATATGTCTATTTGTATGTTCTTCATATTACCCACCCGCCCTTGCCATATTCTCATCATTTGGATAATGAACAAGCTAGTTCGTTTATTAAACGACGAACAAGAAAGCTGTCGCAATAGCAAACTGAACAAGCAAAAGCAGTCCCGTTTGCATACGAAATAGAACAACCACTATACCTGTAGAACACAAGAACGTTCTTTTTCTCACCTCAAAATCATTTTGTACAGTTTCTGAAGGGGATCGACGACTCTTCCTCAGTTGGTTTACAAATGGAAAGAACGTGTTAAGACTTGTTGATCGCCGACCAAAAATTACAAATAATAATTTTGACTAATCAAGTGACCCCTTCGCGCCCCTGTGGAGTTGCTCAAATACGTGAGCTTCTGTTTCCGGATGCCCTCAGAACTCTCCTTCACCCTCGATGGTACCGGTTCCTTGATGCGAACCTCACTTCAGCTGTTCTGTTCATACGCCGTCGCAAGAGTATCAAGTCGTCACATTATTGAAAGCGGAATTCTCGCCGTCTCGTCATGTTTCACCGCCAAAAGAATGTCTACTCGTTCAAGACAATATCGGCCCTCTAGATTTGATGACGTGGAAGATATCGAGAGCTATACTACTGGAGGATTCCATCCAGTCCATCTTGGAGATTTATTTCAAGACAGGTACAAAATTCTTCACAAGCTTGGCTATGGTGGTTTCTCGACAGTGTGGTTAGCCCTCGACGAACAGAAGCACCGACGAGTTGCCTTGAAAATCATGCGAGCTGAAGCATCCTCGCACTGTTCAGAGCTCGAGATCCTTCAGCGACTAGGACGTAGTCCCAATGATGCCTCGGGGAGAAAGAACGTCACATCGTTGTTCGATCATTTTACGATCGATGGACCAAATGGGACACATATGTGTCTTGTCTCTGACGTAGCAGGGCCAAGTGTGGCTGCTTTGAATGACTGTCCTGGTAAAGTTGCAGGTAGTCGAAGATTACGATCAGATCTTGCTCGGAAGATTGCGAAACAAACTGTGGAGGCGCTGAAGTTTGTCCATTCGCATAAGCTGTGTCATGGTGGTAAATGCTTTACTCCGCGACAAGAAAGGGAGTTGTATCGCTAACAAGGGAATCCAGATATCACTGCCTCAAATCTGTTATTCCAGCTTGCTTCCATCAACGAGTGGTCAGAAGATGAAGTTTGCCAGCGGTTTGGTGAACCTCGGAAAGATCTTATTCTCACTATTTCTGGCTGCGAACCTGGAAGATCTGCCCCTCGATACCTAGTTGAGTCGGCTAACCTACTAGATCCGCGGTTCCTGGCTGAAGACATACTACTGGTTGACTTTGGCCAAAGTTTCGTAGTTGATAACCCCCCACAAGCGGAAGACATTGGCATACCATTTTCATATTGTGCACCGGAGGTTATCTTTGATTCGAAGGTGAGCAAGTGCTCTGAAATATGGGCGTTAGGGTGCGTTATTTTCGAGCTGAGGGCAGGTCAACAGCTGTTTCCGAGTTGGTCTGGAGGACAGGACGAGATCTTGCGCCAGATGGTCCAAACATTGGGAATATTACCAGATGGATGGTGGAATGCTTGGGAAAAGCGTACCAATTTCTTCAACGACGATGGAAAGCCAAAGCAAGAGTGGAGTGATGGCATCCCAAAAGCTGTTGAGTATCCGATAAGTGAAATTATAGGAGATATTGGATCTGAGGATGAAGAGGAAAAGGAGCCGCGAAAATCTGAAGCAATTTTGGAGCCCAGTGGTACCAGTGTGCCCCTTGAGGAAGCGGCACAAATGAATGACCTTTTGGATCGCATCTTTAAGTGGGCGCCAGAAGAGAGAATTTCTCTTGACGATATTCTCAACCATTCTTGGTTCGGGACGAAGCATAAGGACCCTTTTTAAGTCCCTAGCCAACGAGATATCGCTGCCAAGAACCACAGTAAACAGTAGAAATAGAATGTTAATTATGTGATACCGAGACTGGAGTTTCAAAACCCATGCGACTTTACTCTTGTAATATTTAGGGCTGCAAGGCTATCAAAAGCTTGTCACAATGTCACACTGTCGCAAACAGGGAAGGAGCATTTGGTGGTTTGACTCATCCGGCATCCATCCTTGCGCCCTCAGGTTACCACACGAGCATCGGTCCTGCATTCCTGCATTGGCTACGCAGTGCCCAATGGTCTGATTCGTAGGGAGGAAGTAATGCCTGCTGAGTAGGTCTATATGGTGCTGGGGATTGATTCGTCACTAGATACGATTCATACGAATCCGGTGGAAGGTATGAAGCCAGGTATGGTTTCTTACGTGCGTTGAGAAATAATATTCCCAAAAGCCATCAGACGATTATATTACACCTATCTTTGTTAGTCCTTTGGATAATGGCGTGCTTGAAGTTGCTGCCTGCACCGCTTCTATACATCCGAGTGAGAGCGTACGACGAAGAGTCCTGCAGAAAATATTGAAGTCGATTTAATTGAAAGCATAAAAGAGCAGCACATCATAAACGGGATCAATCCATCCACCCAACGCAACTAGTATTCCTACTCGTCATTAGCAATATCATATTCCTTTTCTACGCAGTTCAACATCCAAATCAAACTGAAAACACCAAAATGCCATCTACATCCCACAAAGACTACGCTCCCTCAATCAACTCCACCAATACAAGTGGCTCTTTTGCCACGACTAGACCCCTTCTCCCAAATCAAGACCAACCACAAGCCTCTAGATCTCAACGAGCTCTCGAGAAAGCCAAGAAGCTTCTCTCGGCAATCGGAGAGCCGCCGACGGCCGAGTATGACCGCCAGCAAGTGGCACAAGGGAATAAGGAGAATAAGGAGAAGAGCGTGAAGGCGACGAAGTATGGGGTTTATGGGGCGGCTGGGCCGTCGGGGGGGAGAATATAAGAACTCTGAACGCATTTGCCATTATGTATCGAGGTTGACTGAAGGCTGATAGGATTTATATGATGATACGGGTGATATGCTTTTTGTTTAGATAGCAGTGGGTCAGCTTGCAGTGGGGGGGGGGGTTTATTATATTACTTATACGGAGGATGAGGAGATGGATCCCGACTTGAACGCCCACTAGGTACGATGTACCGGCTGTGCGTGATATTGTTTCAGGGGGGACTGACTCCGACTAGGAGACTTAGGGATAGTCAGGAGATGCCTTGCTAGAAGATAGTAGATGGAATAAAGGTGGTGGAATATGAAAAGTGATAGGCGATTTCCTAGGGGATTAGTAGGCTGAAGGTGCTGTTTCGAAGAGAATATCACTTTTGGAGGTTGAACCGCTTTATGTGACTTGTTGGCTTTGTTCTAGTTGTTTTCGTTTGAATAGATAATTGATTAAGCTTTATAATGCAGTGCGGAGTCCCATAGAGGAGATGTTCTATTTAGGAAATTCACACTGAGCCATAAAAATACGGGCTGAGCCGGTGCGATTTGTAGACTGCCACCGAGACAAGGCTCGTGAGACGGAGAGCATCCCGCCAGTTGCTGCAAATTTGAAAATGTGACCGCTATAAATGTTTGCAGACAGCTCTAAACTGTAGGGTGGTGGAAGAGAAGCGAGTTAATCGGCACAGCAAAAACATAATGAAGCTATTAAAGAAAAAAGTAGCAAAAGAAATGTCTTCACGGAGCGTTGGATACCGAGAAACTTGAGCCAACTACCCCCTATCCTCTTGTTTTCTCTGGTGGAGCGTCCAGGCTCACTCTAGGTTTGTTACCGGTGACTTTTAACCACTACAACAACGCTTCCTAGTCGCCTGTCTCCAGTTTCAAGGGATTCTGCTTATTTTGATATATATATGATTGATGAGATCACAAGCAATTGTAGTCAGTCCCAAAGGGGAACTTCATGTGATGGCCGTCTGGTTTGACAGGCAACCGAGACAGCGTTGATCAACCTTTGTCCTCCGTATCTCCTGGTACCCCCGAAGGGTTTTATTCCCTCGAACTCAGGGGTATGAATGTTCGTAATACCGTAGATCTACAACACACTGACCTCACTTCAGAACATCCGAACTGTGGCTATCCTGCCTCAGTGAGACTTCAATTATCAAACGGATTAAACATATATTTGTCATTAACGTGAACGATAATCATTGGCAGCCTCAATTTCTACTACTATTATCGTCGCCGCTGCATCGTCAATCGAGAGATGAACAGACTCAGAAAGGCGGACCATCCATCAAGCTACCACAGTGGGTGAGTCTTATTACTTGGGGCCGAGGTTGGGGTATTTGATGGTAGGTCATATTTTGCTCTGTTGCATATCTCCTGTGCAAATACAAAACAAGCAACTCACTTATCCGCATAATCCATACTTTTAGCTGAAGTGTAATAGGAATTTCGTTAGCTTTCGAGGCTAGGGTTTTATCGTGGTTTTGGTAAAGATTTCAAAATATCAAAGGGTGGTTGCTAGCATGTCGAGTATTAAATTGGTAAGTGTAATGAATCATTATTAATGAAATCCGTGTTATATATGAGATTTGAGAATACAATGAAAATAAGGACTCTGCAGAGATAGGTAGCAGCGTTGGGTTTAGCTATCAAGCCATCGTTGGGACAAAATGCTGCGCCTGTCTGGATAGCGTCGTTCTTGACAATTCGAAGGAGTGGTGCTAAGTAAAATGCTCAGGTGGTGGGGCTTGAAGAGTTGAAAGTGGTGAAAGTAACTTTTTTAGCTCCGAAGATAAGCAGTAAAGCAGTAGCGGTGAAAAGCGACATCCCAAAAAGTGCAAGTGCGCAAGTGGACGATATACCAAAGACACCAAATCGGTCTCTTATGCTTCTGTCTCGTCCAACCAGTATTTTACAGGCTGAATAAGAGGAACGCCATAGGCCTCCTCCTCCTCTAGCAGTTCCTCAGTCGCGAACTCTACCAGCATTTTTTGTATAGCTTTCTTGAGTGTTAGGGAATTCCCTATACTATTCAACTCGTCTAGTTTGAGCGGGATTGTGTCAAGACAGGGAACCCTAGGTTCCCATATAGTGCAGCTGAAAAGAGGCTCGCCCATCACGGTACATACTCTAGTAGTTATTTTAGAATAAAGAAAATCTGGTGCCCAAGTGGTGCATAATGAAACGGACTTCAGGCTTTTAAAATATCGTAGGTACTCTCTGAGTACTACCCCACCGCGATAAACCTTGGTAAGATCCTGTGGGGACTCTGGTTCTCGGGAAATAGATATTCCCATTTCAGCACTCACAACGATATTTTGGACCTTCATTAGGTCCTTATAAACCAAGCTCTCCGGGAGTCTGATTTCCGGGCCCTCTTTCCATTTAATTAGGTCATCATTTCTGGCGCCATCATAGCCGATGATATAGCGAAGCGGAGGATCATCAAGGAATATAGAATCTGCTTCGAAATCAAAGAATAAGTCTGGTGTACCAAATGCAAGCCTGAATCTTTGTCTGGATACATTTCTTGCCTCTCTACATACACTGAGCGCTAAGGGGTTTTCCGGACGGTGCAATCGGACGAGTGTGAAAGGTAGATCATGAAAGTTCACGTGAGGGGTGGAAGCGTAGAGATAGTGGGAGCAACCACCGCAGTCATCTGGGTCGACACCAGTCCACTCTTTCCAGGTATTTACATCACCTAAGAGAATATCCCCATCAAACAGACAGCGAGGGCATAATTGTCGACTAACATGGATTGTCCGAGGCCCTGGCCAAGTAAATTCCCAGATCATAAGTCTTATCTCTTGTGGCAATCTGGAGAACTGGTGGAATGAAGTTGGGTTTGACATACTGACCTAGTGGGAGGGCACTCCTAGTTCAGTAACCGTCAGGTGCTATGCACTCTTTTAGGTTACAGAACAGTGGGAGGTAGGTGTGGAGTGTGAGTGTCAGTGTGTGCTTGACGTCGAGGACACCGAGATGAACATGTGGTGAATAGGAAAGATGAGCTCCGTTTATATAGTTGTGGGGGACAGCTTAGCCATGTGCTGTTAATGTAACGCGCAAGCTTTCAACAGATATCCTGTTTAGTTCATATCTTGCTGTATATTAAATTCTAGCTATTGATCTAACCCAATTTTTCTACTTCGAAGGTTCATAAAGAAGAAAATAGTTTCCATTGTTCTAACTTCTAAACATCTAGTCTCATGAGACGAATTGGTTAGAGGTAAATGGCGAACAACTACTTCTTTATTTCTCATATATTGCCCCTGTATAGTGTAATCTAAAGGCCGGCATGCACTTTAAAAGAGAGTTTACACTTTAAAAGTCTTACATCTCCGTTCTAAACTTCTGTCGTTTGGTTGCAATTAGGGGGTGCGCAGTTGGCTTAACTTGGTCACCGTGGAGTGCCACCTGAACCTGAACATAGACAACAACGTCTACATGAATCCCACATCTTGTCCTTGGATCTCTGTGCCTTTTCCTCATATGTAATATCCAGTCATCGCCCCCCCATTGTTTGCACTACACCATGTAAAGCAGCAACTAGCATTGTTTTTGGATATTGAAATGTTATGTCGGACGTGGAGATTCTGGTGCATACCTCTGCACCAAGCAGAGGCCAAGATGACGCCCGATATCGAGCACTGGCTCAAGCTTACATACAGTTTGTACCGGCGACTATCATAGCGCTGAAAGATGGCAACGACGAAGATGAAGAGGCCGGTAGGCCATCAAGCGATGCGACCGATGACATAACTGAACTGGTGGATAGCCAGCTATTCGAGGAACTGTGGAATAGCACGCAAGATGGCCCTGCTTCATGGGAGTCGTATCGTCCCGACGATGAACATGACAACAATACTACCGAGGATTCCCCTACCCAGGAAATATCACAAAGCCAACAAGGCCGATCGGAGACCTTTGTCTCCCCACAACTATCTTTCAATAGCGTCTTAAACAACGCAGATTCTCCAGCTTTCCGATATCATATCACGTGTGCCGAACTGCCCTCTCGAAAGCCCGCTGTAAGCCAAGAGCAGGATTCTGCTGCTTCCTGGCGACCTGCCCCAAGCACAATTGCAGATTCCCAACCAGATAATGGTAAGGGACTGCCGGCGTTTTCCTCTCCGACCACAATGCTCGAGCTCTACCTGCAGCAGATTGACAGCTCGGACGTGGAATCGCAAGAAGCGCCTAGTAGTCGAAGCCGCCGAAACGAGAGTGAAAGTCCTTCGAAGATGTCTAATATCCAAGACGGTTACTTGTCGAGCTTGCCAGAGGTTGGCAACCATGATTCTTTAGATTCACGTATGCGATATTTAGACCCACCCTTGAGGACCAATAGTCTTAAGATTCGTCATATGACTTCAAGTTCCGGGAATGTAGCATCACAAGTGCCTACCCCCTCCGAAAGAGGATCGTCACCTTTGGCAACAGAAATCAAGTCTGGGGATATATCAGACGCATATTCATATTCTGATGGGTCGATACCAGCGATACCCTCTCTCCTCAAGTATTTTCCCTCCCAATCTAAGCAAGCTAGTCAACGGGCTGAGTTAGCTTCCACACATGACAATTCCATGCATACTGCATCTACACCCTCTGGACCCTCTCTGACTACTAGCAAATCGCCTTCTGAGCATTTGCCTCACCGACTGGAGAATAACGGATCCGATTCACATACACCACTTGCTGTTGAATCGGCTTTATCACCAAGAGCAGCCGGCGATCAGAAGCCTCAGTCTTCCAACCCCATAATGGGATATCTAAGACATGGAACCTCTACATCTCATGCCATCCAACCGCCTACACCTCTGAAGTTAGACTCGCAGAAACAATCCGAGCACCGGCCAAGTAATCATAATCCCATTTTGGCATCTCCACACGACCCGGAACTCCAGTTAAAACGAAGACGGCCCGAATTAAGTTCCGGCAATACCTCATCATCTGCTTCAATATCTTCCCTATTGGAGCCTTTACAAAGATTGAGCAAGCCGCAAAAGAAGAAACGGATCGTAATAGATCGTTCAGATAATTCTAGAAGATTAAGTTCATCATCTTCCGGTCAGACACCCGAGGCCACATCTTCAATAACGACTAGGAGTCAGATAATAACTTCATGGTTTGACAAGCTCGAAATACATCCTCCCCCACCAGCAACCTCGTCAATGAACCTGACCCAAGAAATGCTCATCACTGAGTCCTTTCATACTCTGGCACAAAAAATGCCAATGAGCAAACTCTACAACCCAATACACCAGACTCGAGATTTGCGGCCCATGGAGCGTGGATATTGGCTAATCAACTGTGACTCTTGGAAAGACGATCTGCGTATGAGGAATTGGAATTGTCTTGGAAATTATATTGGGAAAGGGATGGCTGGATGGGGTGTTTGGTGTGTTAGGGATGAGGAATTCGGATCAATCAGGGTCTATTGCTGGGGAACAGTGGTGGGATATGTTTATTTGTTGCTTTTTATGGCTAGTGAGAGTAAGGTTAAAAGGCCGGGGGCGTGCTGGATAGGTGGGGATGGAGAGGTGGTTGTAAGGATGCCTTCATGATAGGAGAGATAGGGATAAAGAATTGTTTGGTTGATGTCAAGGTTGATGTTCACCACTTGCGAAATATAGCACTTGCAAGGACGTTAAGCGCAGCCGTATTTCCACTGTTCGGTTTGTGTTAATATGGGCAAGTGTAGGTAGGCAGGCAGGACTCAATGGAAGCATGGCATATGTAGGCGGCTTGGTGAAGTGGTGTACTAAAGGATCTAGCAACAAATTCGATAGCTAATACATCATCTCACACAATAAACCAATGAGACATTCTACCATCTGCAAGTTTTATTTATCTTTTTTATTTATCAGTCTTTACTTCAGCATATCTAACTAATTGGGGCTGGGGAATCAAAGGGAGAACAGCGCCATGTTTGCTTAATGTGCTTAAACGCATTTCGATCGAGAATTTTTGTCTCAGTATGCATGTCCTTATACTCCAAACAAACAACTTAGCCTCTGAAACTTTTGAGGAAGCTTTGATATCAAACAAAACACTAACATACTTCAGCACAGCTCCTTATACCTTAGTATAACCCGCTGGCGAAGATAAAAACGCCACCTGCAAATGCTTCAGATTGCGTATCAGAAACTCGGGAACTTGTAGACGAAATTGGGCGTTGGGCGTCGGGTATCGAGATCGGCCGTTATGTGGTGGAATAGGCGACTTCGATGTATTTGGGTGCCAAGGTCCGGGATACTTGTCGCCCGGTATGGTGTAAAAGGAATATACGTTATTCATTATAGTGCTAACAACCAGGGCATTAGACAGCTCCGCCGATGCCAACTGGAGGCCGTCCCCATGCAGAATTTCGGTATTCACGACGAGGTTTGTCGGGCTGGCTGTCTGGCGTGCCATGGCGGTGAGGATACTGCGTAGGGGGCTCGAAATCCTGACCTTGCCACTGCTGTGGAGGGGTGTTTTGATTACCCTGTCTTGCAGAGTAAGGTGCGGAAGGCTCCTGGACATGTCGCACACTACTCTCCTTTTGCCATGCATGGGTTTGAGATGGGTCGGTATCGACGCGAGTTACCACAGGGGCCATGGCGCGTCCACTTCCATCTTTTGACCGTGAAGATTCGGTAGCCTCAACTTGATGGCTAGGTCCGTTATTGTTGCCAATATCTCCATATCGCTTGAGAATCTCTTTGGTAGTAATGTCGCTAGAGCTGTTGAAGAGAACTTGGTCACCTAGGATTGATTGGAGGTCTTCGGGCACCTATGGAAACATTAGCAATAGCCTCTTTGAAACTCAAAATTATAAGTAGCTCACTTCACACATCTGCTCGTTACACTCTATAAGCGTGTGTACAACCTCGATCGCCAGGAAATTATCGTCGACAGGGGTCTTAGCATTAGTGAACAGAATATTCGGTGCGATGACTGTGGCCAGGTTATGGGTGTCCATCTTTGAGCCGGAGTCCTCATCCACCTGATGGAAAGAAGCGACCCAATTGAAGAACGAACAAAGAATTTCAAGACAATCCCGATGAGGTTTCGGAAGCAAACAGCAGGTCAGATGCAGTAGACGACGGCGCTTGTCTTCATCAGTGATCTTTTGTGTTGCGATGAATAGACGATGTAACTTGAAAGTCAACAGGGGATCTGGGAGCTCGCGGAGATATTTCTTTAGCAGAGCTGCAACCTGCACAACGTTCTCTCTACTGAAGTCCACCGCGTCGCAACCGTCCTTGTCAATCGCTGCCATTGTGTCGTTCAATCTCTTGATGTTGCCATTCTTACGAAAGACGCCTTCAACGGATAGGTCCATTTTCCGCATCGTGGTGACAGCATCATCAACAATTGCTGGTATGCGCAAGGCCCCAGGGCCAATTCCGTCAGTGGAATCGGCTCCATCTCGTTCGATAATGACATCGAGTGGTACACCAAACACTCCCTTCTTTTTGCCACCCTTCTTTCCATCGTTCTTGAAAGCCTTTCCCATCTTGTTCCAGAAAGTGGGTTTTCTTGTCTCAATGAGGTTTAGAAGCTCCTCCATAGTGAAGTGGCCTTCCAACATTGGCTGCATTGCAATGACCGCTACATGGCGGACAATGAAGTATTCCAAAGCGGACAGCTCGGAAAAGTACTTTTTGCCAACATCACGTCGTTGCGGCGAAGGCTCTCCAGGGGCTGGTTGATCAAGGGCATTACCACTGGAAAGATTGCGCTCGTGCCCGTTGTAAAGTTTGGGTTCTGTAATGGATGTCCGGAACATCTCATGTCGGGTATGCTTATAAGCGTTTGGTCGTTGTTCTCTGGCTTGCTCAGCCGCAACAATTCTTGGTATATCGTCCAACGTGAGAGCATCTTGGTGACCAAACATCAGTTCGGTTCTTGACTCGCCATTGCTGTCTCGTTCTTCAACTATTTGAAACCCCGCATTTCTCTTATCTGATCCATCTGCTCCGGCAGACCCTGGTCTTACGCTCGAGCCCTCTGGGCCATCCATGATACGGGATGTCCGAGCCTTCTTGATAGTGGAGGAGAGATGTTTGTCCATTCTGGTACTTCGTAATCGACGGATATCGTTGAGGGTGTCCTCATACGTAGACTCACGTGGATTATCATCAGCGTTTCCTCCATACGACTTCGAGCGTGTATCGGATCTTAGCAAACCAGGCTCGGCTGGTTGTGACGGAAGTCGGTGGCCTTCATTGGAGTTGTAGCCGTTTAGATTTGGATCATCCGAGGTATGAGGAAGTGCGCCACTGGTTCGCAGCATCTCCAACAACCGTGCCAAGGCAACCCTCAGAAGAAAGACGTACTGCTGGAGTCTTGTTACTCGGTCGAACCCGCCGATTTTTGGACCACGAACCAGACTCTCGCAATCGCTGCAGTAGGGTCGGTCATCCATCTCACCCAGTCTTACACTCTGAAGATTCTGTCCTAGGTCAACCCCACAGTTTTGGCACTGAAGGCATGCAAGGTGCCATCTCCGTTCTTCACAACGAGCGCACTCATCTTCGATCGGCCGTCTGCAGATGGCACACTGATCAGAGCTAGATGCGGCCAGGCCGGGGGTTCCAGTCGTAGCCTCTAGTGACCTATCATCGTTTTTGACAGACTCCATGTCGCCGAGGTCGTCCAAAAACACATGTAACCCTCCGGGGTTCTTCTGCTCTCGCTCCACCTTCAGAGACCCTTGGAGACAAATTCGAATTAGCAGTTTCAAGTAGTGAGCTAGACCAGTAACCAGTGCAAGGAGTTCTTGGGTAACGCCAAGTTTTCTAACGCCCGTCTCTTGTGTCTTCGAGAGGAGGGCAAAGAAGGCCACGATCTTCTTGCAAAGAAGCTTTGCTTCCCGCGAGTAAGATAGTCCTATTATCTGTTAGCGTGTTGAAACTTCAATTTTCTCCGTCAGGACTTACCCTTTATGCCTTGCGTAGCCATAGTGGCATCCAGCTTATCGGCCGCACGGAAGAGGATATCGACATGCCAAATAAACTTCTTGGCAACCAACACACCATCGACATACGCCCCATTGCTTACATGCAAAAGCATATCTGAGATGCAGGCTGCGGAAGACTCTTCGAAGGTAGAGAGAACACTCCATATCCTGTAAACCTTCTCCTCCATTCGCTCCTCTTGATCCCTGACAGCATTGCGTCCCTCCTCATCAGTGATATCCTTCAGTTGAAGCTTCGGTTCAGCACTATCCTGTGACGACGCAAGCCTGACATTCCAGAACTTATGAATCATATAGCATTCGGGATGCCAGTGCTGGTTTTGGCCATTTCGGAAGATCTCGACAAACTGCTTCAAAATCGCAGTTTGGCAGCCATTGCATCGCTGAGCGAATTGTGTAGAGTAGTGGTAGTGACAATAAACCTGGCCATCGTGTTCGTAGTAACTGTCTTGTGCGCCAAACACCGTTGGGCAGGCTGAACAGGTAAAGTGTTCGATATGATACTTGTGATCGAGAGCTGTGATATACGATCCCCGCAAAGCGCCGTTGCACTTGTGGCAGATGAGGTCGAGTCGCCGAAAGTAATCGGTTTCGCAGAGTGGATATTGCCCTTCTCCATTTTCCCCGTCAACTGGAAAGAACTTCGAAGCTACTATTTCACCACAATCCTGGAATCCGGGGTTAGCAAAAGTATGTCTCGACGAACAAGCACGCAGCGGTAACCGCAGATATCACGTACCCTACATCTAAAGCAGTCCAAGTGAAATGTACCACCTAGTGCACGCACAAACTGTCCGGTCAAAGGCTCAGAACACTTCTTGCACAGTCGGAGCTGTCCAGATGCAGTCCTGCCATTTCGCTGCCGCGATCGATTGCGCTCCCCGCTGTTTTTCTGCGGTTCTCCATCCCTGTCCCGTTCTCTACCGCCGGCACTGCGCGACGGCGAGTCATTGTGTCTATTCTCTGTTGAGAGCGTGCCGCCGGGTCTAGGGAGTTGCTGGTCTTGCATAGTAACGTCTCTATCCAATAGATAATATCGTCCGTCATCCACGGGTGGTTGGCCATCATAGCTTCTTCCAGTCCCAGATGGGCCTCCCTCTGATTGAGGACCCATCGATTCGCCCAAGCGGGTGCCTCCTATTGTTTATCGTTCTGTTTATCAAGCGCGTTGGAGGTTTACCCTTCGGTGGGGATTCGGGCTCCCAGACCGCTCTTGTTCAGCTGCGTCCGCCAGTGTGGGATATTGGCAAAGGGGCCTTTGGCTTTGCGACTGCTTTTTTGATATTTATTATGTTCAGCGTGGTCGAGTCGCAAGGACGCAGGTCATTGGCCTCCGCATGTGGGAATATAAATTGTGTGCTGGCGACTTTGATCAAGGAACGTCGAGCCCGCTGCACCTGAAACAGCTACCATCAAACCAGGAAGGGCAAAGGTGACTCTGGGCACAAGCCTCTTTTGGGAGCTATGGCAACAATACGAGAGGCCCGAGTATGGCGCAGCCGCAGCTCGTGTTCGACGGGCTGGAGTCCTGTCGCGTCTTGGTGTCAGTGTCAGTGCCAGTGGAGGAGTAGGGGAAGACGTGGGGAGCCGGTGGTCTGTTGTACCAGCCTGGGGAGATTGCGACCGCCTGTGGAGGCCAAGATCGACAGAGACTGACCGTGTTTTGCGGGGAAGGGAAACCAGAGAATGAGAGAGAGAGTGAATGCACAAGGGGCGACAAAGCTGGCAGGCTGGGTTGAAGCTGAAGAAAAGCACCAAGGTCGAGGCAACTGGCAGTGTCCGGTCTTGAAGGTCAAAGATGCCTCCCCAGGTTCTGAAGCAAGCTTAATTGAGATCGGGTGGATGCTCGCCTGAGAATCCAGGCGATACACGGGTTGTCCCGTTAGCAGTTTAGCACTTTAGCGGACTGTTTTGATTATATAATCCCGCTGTCAGGGGAGAAACGACCCCTTTGTTCACGTGACTATGAACATACTCCTGGCGCCGTTCTCAATATAATAAACAATCAGGAGCTGGCTACGAAGCGTTGTTGTTGTTATACTTTAATCTTGAATTGAATATCACTAATGGCATGGCTATCACTTTTTCGGGAACCTGCACCACATACGTACCTGGAGGTCTCACACAGCGACTGCAAGGAGCATTCCATAGGAAGAAGCTGGACATTCCAAGCTGGCTCGCTGCATTAGCAAAGCGCTAGCAACCTGAAGACCCCGATTTTAAATCCCGGCGGGCTGTACTTTGGTGGTGGTTCCGCGGAGACGGAAGAGCATGTCTGATATTAAGAGATATCTCAAGCCACCTTGAAATTACTTGGGAACTACCTCTGTGGAGATTGAACCTTTGCTAGAACGACTGAATACTGCTACATAGCCAACCTAAGAACTTATCTTGTTGCTCTACTCGTGTGTATGGAACCAGGAAAGCTACCAGGTGCCTAAGGTGGGTAGGTACCGCTGGAATATCGCGTGGAACTTTGACTGCAAATGGCGGGAGTCTCCAAAGCTATTGGTTTGTATATGTATTACGGCTACTTCTAATAGAATTCATAGGTCTCTGCATTATTCCTCTAATTAGCGGGCATTTGTGGGAACTCCCTAAGTTATATAGGCTGCTTTGCTTCCTTATGTCCCATCAGTCGTTCATCAAAGAGATTTATTTCCGTTCTGGTTCTGTTCTGTCTTCTGTATTCTGTGTTCTGTGCTGTTTCTGTCCCAGCGCTATGGAAGTACCTAGGTACCTGTCTTAGTCATCATCCACTTTAGCTTTTAAGCGAGACAGGCCCCCCTGCTCCGCCTGCTCCAACCTGGCCCCGGTCATGACCTTGTGAGGCGCCAGCGCGTTTGGTCTCCTTATACTGCTACGCAACTCCAAACCGATCACCAACTTCTAACTTCTTACTTCGCGACCGTCCTACTTTCTCCCCTATGACCGATCGCAAGAGTAGGAGACCTTCTAGTATTTCTCTCGCTCTTGATTGATACCACCATGTCGAACCACTCTATCATCCGCATCACCAAGGTAATGCCTTATCGACGTAGCGGTAGTGGGGTCGCAAGGCTGACAACGCACTGTAGGAGTTGGCTGATATCCAGAAGTCTTCAGATCTCTGTATGTATATCCGGTTCCGGAGCCCTACAACATCCTCCCCCCCCTCCCTAGGATCCAAATCTAATATAGAATTCCTCTCTTATAGCGATCGCTGTCGCCTGCCGTGACGTCGACGTTCGCAATGTCAAGGCAATCATAATCGGCCCTCCGGATACGCCGTATGAGTTCGGGTTCTTCGAGGTGGGCAAGATCCCATCGCACATCGGTCCACTATGATATGCTGACATGTGCTTAGTTTGCAGTCAAGTTTGGCAAAGGTAGGACAAGACCCTGTGGGGGGTGGAATGATGGCATAGTATGCTAAGTAGGCCCACTAGAGTACCCCGGAAAAGCGCCCTCAGTCCAGGCGACGACTACGAATGGTGGCAGATGTCGTTTCAACCCAAACATCTATGCCCAAGGGAAGGTTTGCTTGTAAGTTGCTATTACTCTCCTGTGAAGCCAATAACTAATTACAATTCTAGGTCTATTCTGGGGTAAGCACGATGAGCCGTTATCGAACAATAGGAGGTTGACATGTGACAAGCACCTGGAGAGGCGAGCGAGGCGAAGAATGGTCATCTGCGCAGGGTTTGGAGTCAATCCTGATCTCGATACAGAGTCTGATGTCGTCAAACCCCTACGAGAACGAGCCAGGCTTTGAAACAGCAAACGACGAAGGCGACAAGAAAAACCAGAGGGATTATGTAGCTAAGGTCTGGTATTGGTTATTCTTGAGCTTAACGTTGGCTAATTCAGCCACAGATCCGTCACGAATCACTGCGAATCTCCGTCATCCAGCGACTGGAGAGTTATCTTGGCATCTCCCCCTCTGGCACAGTCGCCCCGCTTCCCTCCATTGCCGGCAGCGACAGTGATGTAGAGGATAATGAAATCGACCGGGATTATGATGAGATGTCCATGACCTTCGAGCCGTTTGTAGATGTTAGCAAACGGCGGTTTTTCTGGTATTTCGACTCGTACCTTTTAGCTATCAGCAAGGCCCAGGCAGAGGTCAAGGATGGGCAAAACTTCAGCCGTATGCCATTCGAATGTACTGGCAATTGCATGGAAGGGAAATTTAACTACACCGAGTTGGAGAGACGGCTATGGCTTATCAAGAAAACCCTAGATGCTGAGACTGCAAGATGGGCGGAGGAGGGTCTGGTAATCAAGAAGAGGGAAGGTACCGCTGCTGCCAATCTACAAAGGCAGTATGAGCAAGTGGTGGAATCATACAAGCGGGATAAGAACGTCACCTTGGACATCGAGCTCGCCGACAAAAACCCCTTCGTCTGGAACATTACATATTTCGGACGACCAATGACCAACTTGGATGGCGGTTTATTCCGGATAAAGCTATGCTTCAGTCCCCGATTCCCTGAAGAGCAACCACGGGCCAAGTTTGAAACGTCTCTTTTCCATCACCGTATCGCTGCCGATGGCACTCCTTGCTACACCACCAGACGCCCGGAGGATGCCAAGTCGCACATCGAAGCCATCATCGAGGCTCTAGAAGAGGAGCATCCACCGTATGATCCGAGAACTCTCGTCAACCCCGAGGCTGCCAAGCTATTCTGGGGCTCTGAGGATGACAAGAAGTTGTACAACCGAAAGCTGCGCAGAGCTGTTCAACGATCTATGGAGTAAGTATTTCCCTCTGCACTAATAGAATAGTATTAACGCGTTACTAGAGAGTAATGTCTGCTGGGCCCACCCGTACATGATCTGCTCTGTTTCATAGAACATACATTTACGAGCTCCATTCTCTGATTGGTATTGGCGTTTTATCTATTAAGCCGAGGTTCTGGGATTGCATTTATGGTCAAGCCGGGCGTCCGAACGGGTTATTTCATTAGTGATGGGTTAGGCATGGAGTTTATGCGTACCTGCAAATATGGCTGTAGCAGAGGTTGGGCAGGGTGGTATCTGGGTTCAGAGCGTTTGATTAGTGCTATGACAGGAATGGAACTTGCTAAACTCCTTAGAAATTGCACTGTACATGTGATTATTTTCTGTTTGGGTTATTATACAAAGTGCTATATGTGTACAAGCCCTCCCAAATAATTATTAGTTTCAAATACAAATCCATCCCGTTCCATCCTACCCAGACAAAGAATCAATTACTGATCTTTCTTATCGCCTTCCCTCGTCCTCTCCTCCTCAAACCATGCAACAGCCCTATTAATCCCCTCCTGCAATCCCACAACCGGCGAGTATCCAAGACGCGTCCGCGCCTTGCCACAATCATAATATCTGGTCATGCAGCTATAACGAACCTGTCTCCTGGTCAACTTTGGCTGCTTTCGGGCAAACCAATACCCCCACTCCATAATACCACCCAACAAGCTTCCCACGTCCTCACTAATCTCCCACACATGTTCCGTGCCCTTATCACTCCCGGCTGCCTTCCACACGGCGCGCGCGAAATCCCAGAAATACACGGGCTCGCAATTGGTAATAAAAAACACTTCACCGTCGACCTTCTCATGGTCGAGGACGGGTGTGGAGATAGCGGCTGTTTGCAGGAGCGCAGACGCGGCGAGAAGGTGTGCGTGTGCCACGTTTCCGACATAGGTGAAATCGAAAAGGTTTTTGTTCTCTCCTAATTGGAAACCGGTCTTTTTGTCATGGAAAACTTTTACCATCGGTGGGATTAATTGCACGTCGCCTTCGCCGAAGATTCCTGCGGGTCGGAGGGCGCAGGTTAGGAACTTGGCTGGGGTACGGTTTGCTTCTATGACGATGGCTTCTGCTTCGGCCTGTGAAGGAGTGGATGTTAGCATATGAACCTATATTGTGCTTCTTTGGTCACGAATATCGCATCCAGGTGGAGCTTTAAATGGTGAGCCTAAAAGGGAATACATGTACATACTTTTGTCTGCGAATAATACTCCGTCTGCTTCTTTGGATCTATAACTGGCCATCTCTCATCCGCGTTGACCAAATCACTCGCATTGTCTGACACCACACTCGCAGAACTGGTATACACCAGCGCCTTCACCCCCGTCTTCTGACACGCCTCTACCACGCATTTGGTCCCCTCAACGTTCACCTTGCGATAGAGCTCTTTCGAGCCTCCCACCAGCGTTGGTGATGCTGTGTGGATCACCACATCTGGCTTGACTTTTTGGAACACGGCAACAACAGCATCGAGCGATGTAATGTCCCCGTTGTAATAGGCTACGCCATCAGATTCCGGCCGGCGATTGCGAGAGGTGTGGAGGTCGAGCACGGATACTTTGCTGGTCGTTGTTTCGCTCGAGATAAGGAGGTTCACGATGTGATGGCCGAGGAAGCCGCAGCCGCCGATTACCAGGACATTGCCTAATTTCTGGCTTGTGGGAGCAGCCATTGCGATGTGATGCTGGTTTTTGTGGAATTGGAGTTGGAGGCAAGGGGTTGCGAGATTCAGTTCTGGATGCAGGTAAGGTTACCTTGACGTTAAGAGGTCGCTGATTGCTGTGGAAAAATTACGGGGGTAGGGAATAGCTGCCAATAGCGCTTACTCCGCACTCGGGTATACTTAACCCGGAACTTAACCTTAATTCAAGTTTCCACTGCCACGTTAAGCCGAAACGAACCTCAACTCTCGTTTCATCACGGTTATCAATATTCTCTCCTCTTCGAGGTTTGATATCTAAAACTATAGCTACTCTTTACGGATCAGGGGACTCGACCATTCTGGAGTTATTGGGACTATAATCACTATCACCAACTAGCTCCAGTAACTCATCTCAATAACAGCCAAGCAACTTTAGTGGCCCTCTAGCGGAATTGATCAACACCATGATGATGGTAAGATGCAGCAAGAAAGCATATTGAAGAATAGCAGCCGGTAAATTCAAAATAAGAAGCGAAGAAAGACCGATAATTGCGCATATAGGAGCTTTCATAGCCAGTTAAACGAACTTGATGATGTGGTATTTGGACTCTATGAGGCCGCACCTTCGGAGGATCCGTAAGAGGGGTCATCTGGGGACTTGGTCGCGAGCCCAAAGAGCAAATAGATGGAGATTGGTCGTGTTTCAAGCAATGCAAAACAACTCCAGTGATGCGAAAACATACTTATCATAACTATATGCTTCAGACCCGTAGAGCCCTCTAGTATTTGTTAACATTCTTGTGGGGCGGGTTGTGGATAGGCAGCTGAAGGATATCCGAACCTATTCATTGTGGAGATACGGATTTCTTTTGTCTTTGTCAAGTTATTCCATAGATCTCTCAACTTATCCCTTCCTAAACCCCTTTCTCCAGAACTCAGTAGGGACCTGGTAGATCGAGTATGCCAGGATCGTGGGTAGGGCTCCCAATTTGGAACTTAGCAATAAACCGTTTTGGGTGGGCTTGGGACGGGCAACTTACCTTATTGGATAGTGTCGTATTCGCTCTATGGGCATAGGGCTTTATCACGTATAACTATCGAAAAGTCTAGATAGAGTTGCGAGGAGATTTGACGTGTTGTAGCACTCATAACTTCAGGTAGGATTGGGTATATTGTTATTGATGTAGAAATGGTTTGATTTTCTTTCACTGAAAAAGAATCCTACCTTCAGGAGCATTTGATTGAGGCCGCTGTTTACTCACATTAGGAAGGGACAATATCGCCGGTGTTTGGGAGAGGAAGAGAAGGAAAACGATTCGAACAGATTGGCCCGCCTAGCGCCGCACTGTCACTCGTCCGTTCCAAATAGAGAGAGAACAGGCCGTTGTCTAGGGAATGCCTAGCTTAATACTCGATCTTGAACAAGTGGAACTATCCCAACTTGCCAGTGTCACACGAAGTCAGATATGTCTAATCAAATATATTTTCGCATCTATGATGAAGATCATTCGCATTCATATTTCATTAACCATAAGACCTCTTGCCAACTTTGGCTTTCGTTTGAGCTTGGCTATCCTGGGCCTTCTGAGCTACGAGCTCCCTCATGACATCCTCCAGCCGATTTACAGCTTCATCACTGATTTGGTAATGGACGACAAGGCGGCCGCCTTCAAAGACTTTTAGTCCGTGTTTCAGGGCATTTGCAATGAAAGCCTCATCAGAGCAGCCCACATCTTCAAGATCAAGCCAGACCATGTTGGTTTCTGTTGGCTTGCTGAGTTTGCCGCCCTTATCAGTCCAAACCTTGGCAACTTTCTTTGCTGTGATATGGCTACCTTTCAATAGGCCATCCTCGCCATTGGGACCTTTACCAAATGTCTCATCGACTGCTACACGGGCGGCTGCAGTAAGAACGCCTGGTTGTCTCAATCCTCCTCCAATGCTCTTTCTGACCCACCTGGCATGCTTAATAAATTTCTTTCTGCCGACGAGAATACTTCCCACAGGAGCTCCCAGTCCCTTTGAGAAACATAGACTGACACTGTCAAACTCTTTGCAGTAGTCAGCCAGCGATCCAGCGCCAGCTACAACTGCTTCCCAGAGCCTAGCCCCGTCCAAATGTAGCTTGATATCATGTTCCTTCGCAAATGCCGATATCTTCCTTACTTCTTCCAGCGGCATTATGGTCCCCCCAAGTGTATTCTCCAGTGAAATCACTCTGGTAGGGGCCCCATGAATTTCGTCCCCAAGTATGACGTTCTTCTCGATATCCTCAAGTGTCAAGTATATGCCATTTTTCGGGACAACCCCCTTGACCAATGCACCACACAAACTAGCCACGCCTCCAGCTTCCCACTCCAATACATGCGCACGGTAGTCGCAAAGTACGGAGTAAGGAGGCTGCGACAAGTGGGACCGCATGGCGAGCTGGTTGGCCATCGTGCCCGAGAGGACGAAGAGCGCGGCCTCGTGTCCGGTTCGCGTGGCAAGATATGATTCGAGATCATTCGTCGTCGGATCTTCCATGAAGACATCGTCGAGAAGGGTCGTGTTCGAGATGGCTGCGAGCATAGACTGGGTTGGAGTCGTTATAACATCGCCTAGTAGCTACTGTATCAGTTATCATCGACCTCAACTCAATTGAGGGGAGGAGGGTCTTACTCCGAAAGTCGAACGCAGCAGGCCCCGGAGCGGACCAGGCATTCCGCTTTTTGTGAGGTTCATCCGTGGGTACAAGGCCGCTTGCGCCATTGAGGCCTTTCAAGTCGTCTTGCGTCACTCTTTCGGTCATGTTTGAATGTGAATATGTGCGAGCTTTTGGCGGGCTGTGGGCTCGGCGGGGTATTATTGTTATCGCTCGGGACGGAGTGCTCGAGATGTACCTGAATCTGGATACCGGAGTAGCTAGCAAGTTATTATTGTGAACAATTGAACTCGAATAGAAGATATAAATACACGTAAGGAAGTTTCCCCTCTGGCCCATCCACCGTCCCACCAAAGTGGGAGGAGTCATAACGGAAAAATATGTAACCGGCTTATTACTAGATGCCGTTTTGGAGAAGAAGTGTACAGAGTAGTACTTCGTACGTACTCGGTACGTTGTATTGTTGTACCACTAAAGTTGCCGATCAATACAATAGGAAGGACCCAGCGAAACGGGAACATAGTGTTTCCGTTCCGTGCGCCATGTCCAACATAACGTTGGTGAAATGAGATTCCAGTTACAGCTCCTGGAGTTCTACCATCTCGGGACTGACAACATTGCAACCCAATTTCGAGCCGTTGAGACTCGGGATGAACTCCCTCGTAGCCCAGGATGGCCGACTGATCTTCCAATCTAAAGCTCTAGAGAACCTGGTCGAGCTGCCACAACAAACGACCACGACCTTAAGCGTGAAGTTTGCGACCCATCCGATGGCCCATGTACCTACAATGATGCCTACCACGGCTTTAAAGAAGCTCTTGCTAAGGCTCTACAGCCCGTAGAAGTTCTTCGAGCGATAACAGATAGTCGTTCAACTGCAGATGTTCCTATCAAGCTAACTCATGGGTCGACCACTCTTACGTTCAAATACTGGTGCGGCGTCATGGTCTGCACAGATTCCAAGGCGATCCAGGTAATTGGATTGCGAGCCAGAGGATCAAAAAGGTTATAGAGACCAAGAACTTATTGCTAGGCTGGTGGCGCTCTGTGGTATGTAATCATTTATTCGCCGATAAAAGCTGTTGCCGATTTAGATCATAGGATTGTCAAGACTAGTTTGGCTTTCCTATTTCCTACCAGGTACCTAAGGCAGGTGGGTACCTTATCTAATGTATGGTACGTATCTTTCCAAGACATAACTAACAATCATGCAGCATGTATTGTCGACTTCATGAGCTCCGACACAAGCGCCCCATATCTGTCGCCGCAGCCTCCAAAACTCTCCCGAACGTCATCTGATCTCATTAAAGGAATGGGATTGAGCGTCGCATGTGTTGATAGATCCACTAATCTACGCAAGAGCTTGATGATCGCCCTAGGGAACCATTTGCGCAGAAGCAATTCCACTTGAAGAGCCCTTGTTTGTACTACGTCGACAGTAACGGTACCGGGATATGTGATAACAATCCTACGTCGGCAGTAGCCATACATTTGCCTATGGTGTGTTCGACTCGCAATACCGCTACGATCCCACCGATAAAGAAGCTCTCGAATTAGGTCGTCGTGCAATTATTGCTGCTATGCACCGAGACACTTACTCTGGTGGCCTTGTTCACCTGTGCTATTTTAAGGAGGATGGATAGGTTGGCTTCAACGATATGAACCACATCGTCCGGGACACCCAGTTGAAGAAGGGCAAATTTTCGAACGTAACAGTAGAGATGTAGTAGGCGGTCTTGGAAACATCCACACTTTCTCGCCCCATAAGTCGTGAATTGTTAATTACATTGGGCACCTAGGTAGGTAGGTACTTATTCCAGGGGTCTCGCGGCTTCTTGCGAAAGTATGTCCGCGAGAGATTGGCCGTCTCCGTGCAACCTCATGTGTACTTGACGTTATATTAATTATGGAGGCGATATGCACTTCCTACTAAATTTACTCATATATATACCCTTATGAAGGGATTTATTTAGGAAGGTGGGTGTACTCAAATCCCCGGTTACTGTACAGTTATTCCCCTTGAACTCTACTCTCCGTACATCTTTGGTTCACTCGGAGCCTACTGTGCAGGTATCTTAACTTAAGTCAAACATGCAAACGCCAAGGGCGGAGGGCTAGATGCGTCTTGTCAACGGTTAGGGCGGACCCAGACCCCATTTCCCCGAGGAGGATTCGATAGATTCATCTCACATGTTGCATGCATAGGCCCTACGTGAATACCACTGCATCGTCCATCGTGCCAAGTTCGTGGGTACGAAGTGTGGCGGCGATTCCGATAGTTTTCATCCCAAATTCCCCGGATAACAAAAAAAGGTAATTTAATATCCATAGGCTATATAGCGTAGTATGAGGTTTTCGCTCGTGTCCTGGTTCTGGAGTTTATCCGTACGGGGTTTAGTGATCCGGCCAATTCTCCACGTGGTACTACTGTACGTACTACCACTCTATCGCCACAATAGAAAGTTTCTATATATAAGATATCAATGATAGTTGCCTAGAATTGGCATTTCCCCCGCTTCTTGTTAGATATAAAACTAGTCTGTTGGCGATCTTAGAAACTTAACTTTTTGAATTCAACCATTTCAACTCCTTTTCTCACATCAAAATGATTTCCCAGATTTTCACCTCGCTGCTAGCTGCAGTCTGCATTATTACCCCAGTTACTGCCACCCCAGTTTCTGCCACCGATATAGATTTAAGCAAGGTGAAATACAACGGTATCCTTTCACGTGGCGGCCAGGGTTGTGACCAGCAACATCCCGCAGCTGTCTCAATAAATGGTGCCGCAGTCGGGTAACTTATTCCCCTGGTACCAAATTCCGGCACATCGTCACTAATATACTATCTCTATAGCCTCGTTGAGTCCTTCCCTCAATTCACAGCAAGCTACAAATCTGGCGATGCCGTTGACAAACAACGCCAATTTTGCCAGGTTGCCATCGACATTTCGTATCCGGATGGACTACAGTACCGCGTCAAGGAAGTGACAGTCATCGACTCTGCCCGTATTAGCGAAGGAGCTTCCGCTATACACGATATCACTCTCTATTTTGGAGGCTGTAAGTCATGTTTATCTTTTCTCGCTCGAAAAGGGCCCCTCTGTTGCTCTTTTCTCTCATACTGCGCCATTTCCCCTTGCATATCATAACTTCTTAGCAACGAATATTGCTAATTGCTTTCCCCTTTGAATAGCCACTGATCAATCAACCGTGTCAAAAACCATCACCGGGCCAGTTGCCAACAACGCAATCCCTTCCACAAACGTTATCTCCAACAAAGTGTGGTCTCCCTGCAACGAGTCCCAGTACCTCAATATCAAGAACGCTGCTCGGATCAATGCAGGTACATCTAAGGACAAAAATAGTGTCAGTATCAAGTATGTCGTTTTTGGACTTGAGTGGCGAAGATGTTAAATCTATGGGTGCTGGTAAAGCGTGGATGGTATTGGAAGAAGTGTGAAAACTAATTTTCATACCACCATTTATTAAACCCTCGGAATGGAATCTATGGTAGACTATAAAATAAAAGTTATACTTAAATATTTTGCTGAATTACCTTTGTATGGATTTTGAAAACGTATGATAGTAACATTCTAGGAAAGTTGGGGAAATAGAACAATAATCCGAAGTTACAACTGGACTAACAGTTTAACTCACCCTTTATATTCAAAATTTCCAGAAATTAGAGATCTTCCAGCACATAACGTTAATGTATATTCTAATATACTGTAGACCATTTTGGTCCTTATCAACCGATGAGGTACACTTTTCACACGACCAGTATACCAATAGTGTCATGTGACCTGGTCCTGTATATGCTTTCTACGACCTTTCTGGGGCAATTATTAAGATTCGATAGGGCGGTATAGGCATCTAATGGTTCTCTGATGAATCCATACTCCCCTTTTTCCGGCAACATGCTATATTGCCGTTAGTAGTGGCGGAGGCGCAGAACTTCGAAACATCCATTTGGCCGGATACCCCTCATATGAGCAGAAGTGTTCGAAACCTGCCTACAAAAACAATCCCACTAATTCCGTGTGATAGGTGCATTTCAACGTCTTCTGGGGCCCACAGGCCTAGATTACAAGTTGCCTTCCTAATTACTAGAAATATGGAAGTTTGGCGAGTAATGTCCCCCACAGTACTAATATAGCTGAGGAACTACCTGCCACGCTGCATGCAGCGCCCGGCGATCCTTTATTCCCTACAAATCAACGTCTATCATATATTACGGTAATACCACGTATGCGGGGTTCTGCAGTATGAGCTTACCGGCGTCTCGTTGTTGCGAAGCCCGACCCCGTCAACCCCATCAACCCCACTTCCTAAGTTGTTCGTACAACTGTTTCCCCTCATCATAGCTTCATAACAAGTCAACAACGCCGCGTAGCTGCGCGACTCCATAATTGAGCATTAGGCAACTATATATGCCACGAGTTCACCCTTCCTCTTAATCTACCATCCTTCGCAGTTTCCCAATTAACTCTATTTTTTAATTTCAATCAGTTATAAGTTTCCAGGCTCCTCTGTTCTATCAATAGCAGGTCTCGGGATATTAAATATCAGCACTCAATTCAAATATGGCAAGTGCCGGCCAAAGCAGTACCGCTGTCACGAGGGACTATGGTAAAAGGACAGTTATAGTAACAGGATCTGCACGAGGAATGTAAGAAGATATACTCTCCCCAATTATCTAGAACCCCTTTTGATTAAATTATAGAGGCAAATCAGTTGCCATCCGGCTTGCGGAAGACGGATATGACGTTTGCATCAATGACATCGCAGCAAACCAGGCTGGAATTGATGAGGTACCGTCTTCCTTATCCTATTTTCCCACTATTTTTTGTTCGCATCTAGACAATACATTCTTGGAATAATATCTAATATCCCCTACCAGACTGTGTCAGAAATTAAAGCTCTTGGGCGCCAAGCCTACGGCCATGCTGCCGATGTCTCTAAACTTTCTGAAGTGGAAGGTTTAATTGCTGCCGCAGTCGATGCTCTCGGCCCCCTTAATGTCATGATTGCCAATGCCGGAATCGCGCAAGTGAAAGCATTGTTGGACCTAACGGAAGATGATGTTAAGCGTATGTTCGAAATCAACGTGTTTGGAGTCTTCAATTGCTATAGTGCGGCAGCCAAGCAAATGATCAAACAAGGAACGGGAGGAAAGCTCATTGGTTGTGCAAGGTTTGTCTCCCTCAAAGTTAGCAGGATAATATGATTATGTTGTGCTAATGAAAGCAAACTAATAGCATTGTGGCTTTCAAACCTTTTGCTATGCTATCCCATTACTCGGCATCCAAATGGGCTGTCAGAGGCTTTACCCAGGCCTTCGCGATGGAAATGGCCGAGCACAAGATTACCGTCAATGGCTACGCTCCAGGAATTGTAGGGACAGCTATGTGGGACCTAATTGATGAGGAAATAGGGAAGAAGAAGGGAGTCCAGAAGGGAGACACAATCAAGAAGTATAGCGATGAATTGATTGCGCTTGGAAGGACAAGTGTGCCGGAGGATGTCTCCAAGTGCGTCAGTTATTTAGCGAGCCCAGACAGTGATTATATGACGGGACAGACCCTGATTATTGATGGCGGTATCGAATTCAGCTAGAGAGTACTTGTAAAAGGATCTCCGGGAAGCCACCTTGGGCTTGAATTTGTGTTTAGTGATGGCACTGATGGAAATGCTGGAATCTAACAACCAACTTGATTTCGCGCTTCATATTATTTTGTTACATGGTTTGATAATTTAATAGCTGAGGAAGCACAGAATTGGATTTTTACCAAGTAGTTTACTCACCTGGCCTGCAATTGTTTTTGCGCCTATGCCCTATCTGAGCAAAGTGATTGATCATAAAACACCCTTTGAGTCGCCGTATCTGATGTCACAGGTCAGAGGAGAAGACATCATCTGACATGCAAAAAGATGTGGGAAGTAGTAAAACAAGAATATTATGGCGAACTGTAATGTAAAGACCCAAGGGAGACCTCTCGCAATTCCAAGAATGAGCACTATCAGGTTTCCCTCCATGGATGAGATTTCGGAAACCGCCTTACAGCTCCTTTTCTTATCCATTACCGAATGACCATAGTTTCTTATTTCCGATTAAAAGGCTCTAGACGCCAGACGATCCCATCGAGGGCGTTCGTAAACTAGGCCCTGCAAAAATGACAAATTATGGTTGGCTAGGCGGCGAGATATCCACTAATCGAAATCCATCTCGCTTAGGGAAAGGGGGGAAGGGGTGAATGGTGGGCGCTTTCCTCAAGGAGAACAATAGGTTGAGGTGAGACCTCATGCAAGGAATCGTGGATTGATTATATGCGCCCGTTCTTAAATTATCAACCTCTTGTGGAAATATGGAAATATCCTCAGGTCAACCACCCAAAGCGGTAAAAATAAGAGACATTGAGAGCAGGTGCTATTAAAGAGTTTTATATATACAGAATCAGCCTGCAATCATTAACTAGCAATAAACTGGACGGTCCTCTTTACTCAACTAGAGTGCCGCTATCAGGTTCAAGATCGAACCAGAAGCTCGATCTATTGTTGTTCGATTGGATTCTCACCGCCATTACATTGCTATTGAGCTTTGTTTTTTAATTCACCCGCAACCTCCTGCAATCACCGCCCCTACCAAGAGTCAAGGCATGCGTCCCAGCCCCAAGTCTTATGAGTTTCAAAGAATACCAGCTAATAGTTGCATGCTTCAGATGGGTCGTTCCAAATATTTAGTTGAGCTTAGGGAGCAGGACGACGGCGTCATTCTGTGGCGAATCATCCTCCGAAATAGAAACGGCGAGCTCTACACATGTGGGGATCATCCATCCCCTATAGCTCCCCACACATCATCAAGAAATCAGGGAAAGATCAGGCGGCACTTGGCCTGGATTATGATCCCGATCAATGGCCGGCATCCCGGCGTCGCCGAGCGCTACACCGTGCGGGCACCAGTAGCTTCCATACTAAGGGAAATCGAAGCATCAGATACTCGGTATGTCGATCCTTCCATAAACGCCGCGGTTCGGCAGGCACTATCGAAATTCCTCGTGTTACGAGCGGTTAGAGACGGGAAAGGCGTGGTTGAGCAACATCAAAGGAGGGCGATGACCATGCGAAGGTCCGCACGCAGGAATCGGAATCAGAGGGAGGGAGATATTGAAGGGATAAGGGTGGAAAGGGTAGATGCTACGGAGGCTGAGGACAAGTTGAAGGCAGACGTTACATTGCGGAGATATCGTTGCCGGGTGCCGAGCGGTTTGAGGAAGTTCTGGATGCTGGAAGAGAGGGAAAAATTTCTTGAAAGTGAAAAGCGAAAGCTGGAGATAGAGCCAGAGAAGGACCACAGTTGACTTCATGTAAGCTCTTCAGCTAATTCAATGTTATAGAAGAGTGTCGGATCTTCCTGTCTATATTTCTTCCCTCACAGGTACCTATATGGCCAGACACGAAGCCTGGGCCTTTGAGCTTCCAATTGCTTCACTCGAGTGAGGTGTACTACAACGATTCTATCGGCTTGTCATGCAGTTTGATTGTCTCTTATGATTTCTCTAGTATATTGCCCTTCCGCTGCTTCCATACAGAAGACACGAGCACAAAATAGGCTATTATCAATATACGTTCGGTATCTGGCTAAGTTAGGTAAGGAAAAGTTGTCAGAGTTGGTAGGACTATCTGGCTACAAAGGTGATAAACAAAGAGAACCTAGCGAACATAGCTATGGACAATAGACAACAGCCAGCGGGCCTGGCGCAACAAGTTAAGAACACAAGTTTTATTCGTCTCACATATGCTTTGTGAGTCTAACAATAACAAACCCGTGCTATACACAGCAATGAACTTCTTGTATGTCTTCCTGACCGCTTTGTTAAACTCACTTCCTCAGAAGCAGCACAGACTCACCGCCATTGTTACCTCCCATTTACTGCAGCTTATATTCTTAAAACCAGGACGAATTCACTATTGTTTTCACTCCACCGCTACATTCACCGTCAAGGACAGCAGAATGGGCGATCGACTAATGGGGTTTCTCGTCCCTCAAGCCTTTCACCTTCCTACAACCTCCAACCAACACCATCTCTGGTAATATCGACGTACCAGCTGCAGCACCAACAACCTCAAGTATCAAGGAACTCACAAAGAGATAAGAAGAAGTCAAGACCATGAACGAGCTAGTCGGTATGTGACGCGTCTCGTGAAAACAAGTAAATTCTCACTTACACGCGCCAAAAGATATCAACTCTGATCTTGCAGATCGGTACGAATGTTTGATCAAACCCAAGCCATTGACCACCATCACCCCGGTTGCATCCGACATTACAAACAAAATCTTCCTGATGGATTCCCCAGAACCGAGCCCTCTGGAGACCGCTTTGCCATCCTCATCAGCTTCCACCGACGAGACTGATGATATGGGCCATGTGGCTAGCGACGACGACGTCGATTACGTCGATTACGACGAGATCTCTCTCGAAGATCCGCTTGACATCGAGCGACAGAACCCCACCCCAGCCGACGCCCTCCCCTCTCCAGAACTGGGGATCTACGAATCTGTCCCACAGACACCCATTCTCGTCTCTGGTCCTATCCCAGCACTGGAGGGTTATCCGCCAAGTCCTCGCCCCAATGCCCGAAAGATTCCCTCCCGTGCTCGTCCCAAACCCGAACTCAGCGCCTACGAGAAGGAGGTGGCCTTGCATAGGCGTCGCATGAAGGAACGAGAGGAAGAAGACATCATGATTTCTGCTGGATTTAGGATGGAGGAGGCACTTATCACCAGCGCAGAGTTGTGGCTTTACCGTCATAAGCCGTTCCAGGAGTATCGAGTCAATGATCCGAGCCCTTTGAGAAAATGCTGGGTTAAGGGCTTCGAGTATGACCTGGATGAGTTCGATCTCTACGCAGGATTGTGGGAGCCTTGGGAGGTAGCCTAAAAGCTTAACGACGAAGGCATCTCTGACAGACTGCGAAATGGTTAGCTATGGTTCATAAAGGTGGGCGGGCAAGGAAGCAAGTATGTTTGTATGTGTAGTAGGGTATCGCCGTATAGGGTATCAAAGGGCTCTATGGAGAGAGACTGTGTAGAATATCGACAATTTCAGAGAGAAAGGGGGGATATGTCAAAAGCTCAGCTCACGGCTTTTCACAAATCCTCTCATTCTCATCGTCCATAAAATTAGCTCAACAATGCATGGCTTTTTCATACCTTACTGGTACTCATCTCCCTGGTAGAATCGAAACACCATATGAATCTCCTAAACTTCACAGATTAGATCCATGACAAATATAATTAGATACCCCTTGAATACTGCCCCATAGAAGCTTATGGCAACAAGTACACTCCTGCCCACTGATCAGCCCTTTCATCTAACCGTCAACTCAAGAGTGAGTGCGCTCTTTTGATGATCGTTTAGCATAGCCCCTGGCTAACGCCTCTTAGTACTATCACCGACGAAACTTCAACGACTCCCGCAGCCTGTCAAACCATCGAAGTTGAACGGCGGATCTAAATTTATTCATCCAATGCCTGAAGATGAGTCAGTGGTACTTACTGCTTTGTACACATCAAGTGTGCATTGCTGCTTACGGCAGTGAATTCGTTCTTGGTTTGCAAGACATTGCCAACACACCATCAACGCGCATCCCTCGCCCGCTCTCCCTCCTGTTGCCCCCCTATTCCCAACCTCCCAAGCGAGATTGACTACTATGCACGTGACAAAGTTCAAGGGGAATCAAAATCAATGGCCTGGATAAGCGGATTAGGTTCGGGCAAGCATCAATCGAGTTACGAGTGGCGGCGTGTAGCGTAGATCGTAGATCATACAATTGCTGGCGCGGTACGGAGGTACCTCCAGTGACTGAAGCCCCTGCCACGCGGTTCTTCTGAGCTCTCTGCGCCTCTCCAGCGCCTGCACTTTGAAAGTAGCGCCGATCATACGGAAGTCCTTCATAGTTGGCCAATTATCTTCGATGGATAGTCTTCTAGGATTAAGTTAAGCCAGCCCGCTGGGGCAGCGCACTGCCACAGAGTGTTTACGGTACGTTATGGGAATGCGCGTAGTAACACATGGAGCGTTGCAAATAATAACGAAAAGGGGCAACCAGCCGCCAGCAGCCAGCTCCAAGCTTATTAGATCTCCATGAGTGCGATGTAAAAATCCCGTGGATGCACATGCACACCATAAGCGAGAACCCAAATCGGATCGCTACGACTTTCCTGGTCACCATCGCGTGTCCCTCGGCACGTTACGTGTCTGACTTCTGTCGCAGGTCCGAGGTCCACACATCAACAAACAACTAAAGCGCCATATATGGATCTAAGCTCAAGGCGTTTTCTCCGTTAGGCGTACTCTGGGAAACCCAACTTGGAATCTCGTGTGGCTATACTTTCCGTTCCTACGACCATACCCTTGATGATCTGCTGGGAGTGGGGCGGGGAGAAAGCGTAACTTGCTGAAGCTAGGCTTCTCCGGAGCATTCCTAGTCGCTACTCGAGTAGTTCGCAGGTACCTGAGACAACCTTCGATTTGTTTCTTCTTTCCCCAGACTTGCTTCGTTATATCGACGGCACAACCAGCGGGTGAAAACTGCTACTGATTGAGGACTGTCAACCGCGTGGTGTGAGGTTTTTGGCTTTTAAAATAAAGGTTTGAGATGCAATGATTCCAAGACCATGCTATTGCTTTTTTCTATTTCAAAATAAATTACATCTTCCTCCCCCGAGCTCCAAGTGGTGAGCGGGCCAAGAACGAAAAGAACTCTGTTCCAAAGCAAGCGCGAGCGATAGCCCTGTCAGTTCCGCCCGCGCCACTTATTGTTTGACGTATCCTGGTATTTCGAAGTTAGAAGACTTTGAGGTAGGCCAGATACGGTTTCAACACACGACGACATTCTCTTCTCAGCCTCGAGCGTTTGATACAGAGCCAAGATTCTTTTTGAAGTACTCTCCAATCAGCTTCTACTCCATAGCAATCAATCTCGCGTCGAGCGTGGAAATGTCTGCGGGTGATACAATGCCAAGATATTGATCCACTAGATGTAACTATCGAAGATTAGATCCCTATCATTCTCGCCTCGAAGTTGCGGTCGATGCTGTGCTAAGCATTAGACACAAGCATTGGAGCCAAGTATGTGGTCGCCTCGACTAGCCTTGCGTTGAAATTGATATGGTGGCTAAGCCTATAGCAGTTTTCCATGATACCTTTGTTGCTACTGGTAAAACTTCTGATGTCTTGGGGCACGCGAGCATTTGCTGGATTGGAACGGAGTTGATGTTTCGAGGTGTGCTCTGTGGATTAGAGATAGAATGGCTGGAAGGGGGTATGCCTCCGCAAATGGTTGTATAAGAGTGATGGATTTGCCTGAATATCATCACCTCTTTAACTCACCTGCATATCATCATCTTCTGGCCTCCTATCCTTCTTCAATCATCACTTGACCAGGGCAACCTCTCACCACCCAACACCTTCAGTTTACTACAATCAACCACACACCATGATCGCATTATCATTTCTCCCCTATCTCAGGGTCCTCTTTTTCCTCCCCAGTCTCACTCTTGCCGCCTCAGCCACAACAAGCACTTTCACCGATACTGATACCGGTATCACCTTCCAACGATTCTTCGGCGCCAAAACACAATTTGGTTTTGGCATCGCCCTTCCAGAAAACCCCACAACAGACTTTATTGGTCAAATGGACTTCCCTACGCCTGCCAATGCTGGTTGGGGAGGCATCTCTCTAGCAGACGAGATGGTGGGCCCCCTTTTGCTCGTGGCCTGGCCGACTGGGAATAATGTGACAAGTTCATTCCGGCTCGCGAAGAATGAGGATGATAGCCCGCCAGTGACCACGGGCAGCTTTGCTGTGTCGCCAATACCACAGGGAACGAGTGCCAATGGGACCCATATGAAGTTTACCTTTCTTTGCCAGAACTGTATAGATGGAAAGTTGGGGTTTGCCGCGGGTGACACGAATTCAGCGGGTTTTGAGATGGGGTGGGCGTTGGCGAGTAAGGCCGTTAAAAATGCGGCTGATCCGGCAACGACGTTGCCGTTTCATAACTCTGGTATGTATTTGCCCTTATACCTGTCTTGAAGATATCGAAGTAGTGGATGACGAAGCTAATTAAGGTTGTGTTTACAGGATTTGAGACTTTCCAAGCCCAGCTGAACCTTGCGCGAAGTGCGAGTTTTGGGGAGTGGGCTGCGATGGCAGGGGTAGCTGCCAGTAACGGGTCGACGACGCCGGTTGCTGCCGCCGCACCTGGGTCAGCGTCAGCTAGTAGTTTTGGGGGTGGTGATGATGATGACGATGATGATGATGATGATGACAGTGATGATGATGACTGAGTACTGCTTTTGTGGTGCGAGATTTGGTGAATGCCTTTTCTTTCTTGGCATATGTATAAAATTCTATAGAGAGGCAACCTCGCAAAATGGAGTTCACTTTTGGGTTTGGCAGGCTCTCTTACTCTTACTTGGCGAGGTACAATGTACATAGCTTTCCGCATCTCGTTGGTTAGTGCTACTCAATAACTAGACGATTATCACGTGCTACACCAGTCCAAATCTGAATTGGGAAATCACAGGAGGGGATGCTGTTGTTCAGGAATTTTGATATTATGTTTCAAGCACAGCTGGACCCAGCTTGGCCGTCTTGTATGGCTAGAACCCCCCCTTTTCCGCCAAGTGTATTTAGCGAGCCCCGGGTTGAAACCAGATATATAATGCATTTTGCTCTGCACCAAGGTGCCAGGTGCAAGGCCTTTATTTCACCATGACATCAAACGGTTATTACTTATAATATTGTTTTCATTAGTGCTATTAACATTTAGATAAGGTAGTTGGTTTGATTTCAGCCCTTAATCGTAGGCTCAAAAAACCCAAAACTTGCAAGGCTTCAACCCAGAAGCTACGCGAGGTAACTGCCCTGGCTTAAAGCATCGCCCGAGCAGCTACTCCGTAGGTAGCCGTCGAGTAAATAAATACTAGAACAACACATTGTCGATTTCTATTTGTAAGACAAAGGAGTCCTCCCTAGTACAGAACAGCGACAATTCTATTGTTTTCTCATTAATAAGCGCATTGCTATCGCAACTCTTTTTGCTGTACTCTTATTAGATCAGAAACGCACTGCAAAAACAACCGTAGTTCAAAATGCATTTAAACAGTACCTTCGCTGGTAAGTCTATTGTACATTTTGACTCTCCATTCCATAAACAACCTCAACTTCGACCTGCTACCCTCATACATCTACACGAGCACTCAACAAGGTACGAACCGCTATGTCCGACGAAAATCCCCACCGTAGGACCATCGACGTGAACTGGCGCCACCCGGCTGACTACTCGCCAGAAGATGATGTTCCAGACGCCAACGATGCGGAGCTTGCGGGCTCATCCAGCAATGCTGCAGGAATGCCTCCCAATGCCTCCGCCGGTCCTCACACGGGGGAGCCAGCACCTGTAGGTCTTGGATTAATACTAGCTGGTGCACCGCAACCAGGGGATAATGATCCGCTAGTACCAGGTCCAATGGGAGAATTAGGTGACAACGATGTGGTGGTCCCAGCTATTGATTGGGAGGCCGTTAATTGGGAGGTTGTATTCCCAGATGTTGATCTGGCGGCATTATATCCAGATATTGACTGGGAAAATGTACCCGATTTGGATATGGATGGGATTCCTGCTATCATACCGGCGGATGACATAGCTAACATTGATCCGGACGAGATACGCCGCCAGGTTCAGGAAGCAATCCTACATCTAGACTATGATCCGCAATGGGCCCCGTATTTAGTCCCTCGACTCCCTCCCAATCTAGGTGAGGGCGATGTTGACGCCTTACTACTAATGTTGCCTGGCATAATTAGAGGTAGCAATGCCCCATCCCAGCGCGAAGACGATGCAGACGAGACAGATGATGCAGACGAGACAGAGGATGCAGACGAGACAGAAGATGCAGACGAGACAGA